TTTGCGGCGCTCGAGCTTCTCTGATAGATGTGACGTAAGTGCTGATATTCCGAATCTATAGAGCGAGTCCATGTGTACAAGCGTCGGTATCTTCCGGTTCGCCTCGTAAAAATTGTTTTGAAACGTTCCGGGTGGAGTGTTCAGCAATGATATCCGTTCAGTGTTTTTCGGTGGTATTTCCCCGCTGGAGGTCTCTGGCTCCAGTCCATTTATTTGACAGCTGTGGAGATCCCGGCCTACTTCCGTGCGTTATCAGTCCACCTTCGAATTACATCATCCTGATATGGTCAATGGCTCGTCAGAGAGCCGCTTCCATTCACGTTGAATCATTCGACTCAATCTCGTTTGTGTCAGAAATCTGAACCGCTCGTTTTGGAGTCAAATCCATCCGCACGAAATCCATGTGGATAAAATATAGCCGATAAAAATTATGTATTGAGAGCCCTCAAACAGGGAACGAGAGTTTTCTCAAGTTACCAAGCAGGCGCTCCCGGCTGTCGTTCGTCGTGCTGCTAAACCCACGTGGTCGATTGAGAGGGAAGAGCGATGACTTCCCTCTCTCTCGTTTCCAACTAGTGGCGGTGATGGCTGTAGCGAGAAAGCGCTCTACAGCACGCTGCCGCCCCCACGCTTGCCTCTTGGGTGCCAACACGGTCGTCGGAACCGCACCGTCGTCGGCAGCACATGGTTGATGTTCGGGAGCGAAAAAGGCGGCGCTTTCTCCTGAACTCTCCCCCAGACCCTCTCCCGCCCTCGCCACTTTCGAGCTGCCACGCTCGTCTCGAAGCCAGCCAGCAGCAGCGGCGGGTACAGCGGCCGCTGCGACTCGGCCAGGGGCGCCTCGTGCTGCTGCCACCCTGGCACTGACAATTCGTGCCTGCTGCCGCAATCAGCGTGTGAGTGTGTGTATTTGAGAATGACCGGGAGAGGGTCGGCCGTCCCGAGGAGTGGGAGGGCGTTCAGTGGAGAGAGGGAAGCCGGCGGCGGCGTCTCCTCATGACTTACTGCCGCTGCCGCCGGCACTGCCAACGCGGCGATCGGCGGATACACATGCACACACTCACGCGGGACACGGACACGCGTTCCCCTCTCCGTTTTCACCTCTCCGAACGAAGATCACGCGCTGCATTACGGGATATTGCTTTCTGCGAGCCGTGGCAAACGACCCTCACCCTTGACGGGAAGGAAGGAGGTACTGCGGCCGTCGTCGGGGCGAGGGGAGAGGAGTCCGGGCCGCCGCCGCGCACACATACACGCTCGGCGGCAGCTGAAAACGTCAACAACTGCCGCCGCAGCAGCAAAGAGCGCATGGGGAGAGAGAACTGCATGCTGCTGCTGCAGGCGGTGGCCTGGTCGTCGACCATGGCTTGCTAGCACCGCCGGCCGAGAGCTGTGTGTGTGAGTGTTCTCATCCAGTCACTCACTCCTTTTGTATGCTTTCTACTGCCGCCGCCGCCGTGGCTGCCACCAGCACCGCTGTCGACCTAGAGTTGGGGGAAAGGGCTGCCAGCTTGCTCGGCAGTCGCTGCCGCCGCGCCAGCGAACAGTAGCAGCGGCGGCAAGGGGAAAGGACGAGTCGTGGCGTGGCGGTCGTTGTCGTCCTCAATGAATGCTCACCGAGCAGGCAGGCAGGCAAGCAAGTAAGCAAGGAATAGGCAGGCAGGCAGCCAGCCAGTCAAACAGGCAGTCAGTCAGTCAGTCAGTCAGCCAGCCGGACAGACAGGCAAGCAGGAAGAAAGGCAGGATAGGCATCGACAGCCGTTGCCTGGCAAGTGGGGATCTTCCTCGCGAAGACAGGCCCGTCAAAACGCGAGCGTCGAGCGAGCGAGGGCAAGTGAGCCCTCGGTGGCATGCTGTTTTGTCATCAATACCGGATACTTAACTTCATCATCCGCGGCACAAGCAGCGACGGCGGTGGCCGCGGCTACCGCTCGCACCACCACAAGCGACGACGACGACTATTACCCCTGCAACAACTATACCACTAGCTGTTGGTAAGGCCGAGCTGTGAGAGTCTGCGGAAAGCTGTGTGCCCGTAGGTAGTATGGTTGCTGTGCGTGTAGTTTCCCTCGGAGTTCACTGTAGGAGTGTTCCGTCTCTCATTGTGCTTTGAAAATCATAGAAATAAAAGTCTCCAGCTGCCTCATCGCCGTGAGCAGACAAGGAAAAATCGCCGTGATAAGAAATCGATCCGACAACAAGTACTCCCCGACTCCACGATTAGAGCCACCACGCAGCGAACATTGGCAAAAACCCGACCAGTACCACTACAGGCAAAGCCAACTCTGCTTAGCTCAGAAAGGCAGCCAGCCAGCCAGCCAGCCACTCACTCGGACAGGCTCATAGAACAGCAGCAACATCGACAACAACACCAGCAGTGGCGGCGGCGGCTGTGGTAGCAGCAGTAGTACCAGCGGCTGCTGCTGGAGATATCCGTCATCGTACTGAGTGAAGTTATCGTGTATAATCCGATCGTGAACGATCCGGAGAAATTTATCACTGACGACCGCTATCGAAGCGAAAACGCGGAACCTCTGGAGCATGGTATGATCTTGAGGAAATAGCGCACGTCGGGAGCCGTGCTCGACAGTGGTGCTGTGTATTTTTCCTTTGAAGGAGCTCATGACGGGGCAGGATGGAGGCAAGAGCGCAGGACTTCTGTAAGAACTCGGGGAACGATGGGACATCGCCCGGACCCCGAGAGTTGCAACTTCTCGTCGCTGTGTTTTCCCGCACCCTTTGGGGAGAATTCATCTCCCAGTCGGTGAATTCAGCGACCTCACTTGTGTATTGTGTACCGCTCCGGGTGGAAGCCGATTGATCGTGTACGAGGATACTACAGTCCAGGCTCAGAACCAATGTTACGTAACCTCTAGGAGGTGTGTCGTTGTGAATATGGGAGAGTTTTCGTTTGAGCTTTGCGAGAGAGCACGTAAGTTCGTCTTCCTTTGAGCCGCGATGACTCGAGGGGTCCCACAGAGCCAAACTGTCACCTAGCCTACGTGTTAGAACGTCTCGCCCATCTTCTCGCTTTATTCGTCCTTTCTCTCTGTCTCTCTATGTCACTTTTGACCGTCACCGAGCGTAGACAGCGGCTTTGCAGAATCGACCAATTTCCGCTCTTGTACGCGTTTTTGTCATCCTTGGCCACGTGCACCTGTTCACGGGGTCCTTCCAGGGCCATGATGGCATTCGCCTTTCCGAGAACTTGTTTGTTGTTGCTCCCATCTTTCTCGGCAACTTCCGACTCTCCTGGGGGGAATGCGAGGCTTGGGCAGTCGGGAGGGTGAGGTGCGCATTGCCCAGCGAGCTGATCGCGTTGGCCGTCATTGTCATCATCAGCATTCGACTATGATTATTGCTGATGATGATCAGCTTTCGATTCTGGTATGGCTCGGTTTGGGACGGATCCCAGTGCCAGCGATCACTTCATCAAGCCGCAGCTCGCTCGCAGGCCCAAGACGGAGATTTTCTTCGTAAAGCCATGCGATCTCTTCTTCCCTCATCGACTAGGTATACGATGGCCGCGTCCGCTCTCATACGGTTTTCGAGCTTATCACGGAGCCGGGGAGGAAAATCTCCGCCGTAATCGGGATATTTCGCATTGGCTAACTCGAATTATCTCGCATCACTCAGCGAGGAATGTGAGACTGTTGCACAATCCGGGACGATATCAACAAATCGGCTCGATCTAGGTACACAATTACTCTCGCCCGCTATTGAAAAAAGTTCACTCGCTTCGTAACTTGAAACTCTCCGACAAGCCCTCAGCTCCAGGATAAGAAGACTTACCGCAGATAAGGCGAGATCTTCTCCACGATTCGCTCCGCGATATCGAGAGAGACGCGGGCTACCGTTTCAGAAATCGAACCATTTTTTTCGGGACCGTTGTTCCAATCGAGATCACAGATGATCGATTCATGCAAGTTCATGGAATGCGCCGCTCAATCTCCATTGGTGACGGGAGTCTGTTAGCCAGATGTTCTCAGAAACGTGAGATTGATACAGAGAATCGTCGGCCGGGAATATCTGGAGCTTGCCGGGTCAGTAACCACGTAAGCTCTGTTTTGCGTCAATCTCGATTCTCCGAGTCAAGTCATCCGTGAGTGAACCGATTCCGGCAGTGCATCCGTGACCTGCAAAAAGATCGTCAGAGAATCTTCAAGACCCATCTTCGTGGGACTATAATGGATTGACCGTTCATATCTGGATTTGGACCGAGATCCGATCCTCAGGCGGGGCAATCGGAATAAGGAGGCGATTCCCCGAGGGGGTGGGGGAGCGATGATCCCACGGAGAGGGAGGAATGGCGTTGTGAGGTTGGGGATTCTGGATACTGAGCGGAGCATTCGGGCAGGATCTCGACCTTCCAGCCCTACCTTACCGGAGCTTGTTTCTCGAAGTTAGTCTGGTCCTAGACTCCTGGTAGGGGCTTCTGAGGTCGCAGATCGACCAATATTGAGATCGATGAGGTCCGATAGGGAGACTTGATGGCTGCATGGTGTGAGCTGAGCGATCTTATGAGTCATGAGATACATACATCCAACCGAAGGTCCGATGAAGGGACCTCATGCCCATCCATTGAATGAGAGAAACAAAGGTCCCAGATGCGGGAGCTCGGACATGATAATCACCTAATATTGCGCTGATCTTGCAGGTTTACCCGCGTGAGCACGTTCCTGTCCTCGTGAAGTTCGGTTGCGGTTATCGTACGACAAGCTGGCTGAAAATCCCAGACCTGAGTCTTCCGAAGCTCTGCTGCTGCCGCTGTCGCTGCTGCTGCCGACGACGCTAACCTGCGGCTGCTGTTCCTTTGCCAGTAGCGGGCAAACCATATTAGATTCGTTGGTCTCTCCGACGAATGCTCTGCAGCGGCTGCGCTGCCAACAGCAGCAGCAGCACCACTACTACCACCACGACGACCACCACCATCATCAGCAGCATCAACAGCCGCAGCGACAACACGGCCGCCGTTACCAAACACTGGATAAAGCTGAATAATGAGTATTCTCACATTGCTCGAAGCGGCTCGCTATCTAGAGTACAAGAGTGAAGCCAGTGCTCGAGGTAAGTGGCCGAAGCCCCACTCGGTTGGCATCCCCAGTCGGTGTGTGCATGCGGAGCTCAACTCGCCCCGGATCGCGACAGGATAAATGTCGGCGGTGAGGGTTGTCCTGCTCATTCCTCTTTTCCAAGTCTCTGAGACACGCGGATCAGGCTGCAGTAATTTCGGCCCTTCTCCGCATACGAGTGGATCAGACTTGCGATCGGTTGGTCATTCCGACATTTGAAAATGTCTTCGAGCTCGCGCACTCACGAGCTCTCCTCTGACTGAGTCCTGGAATTCTCCGAGGATATTTGGCGGAGGGAAGCAGCTTCACTGAATGCAACCGGAAACTCTCCCTCGTGCCGTAAACGATGTTGATGACGACGGACTAAATTTCATTACGCCGAGGGGATGATACCCCCGCTCTCCGTCTTCTTTGAATGAGTGCTCTGGATCTCGAGCATCAGAAATCAAAGGACATCTACGTGAAGATGATTCCCGGTCCTCGTTCTGAATTGTCATCCTCTGACCGTGATAACTCGCAATCGTGGAGAACAGGAGCCCGAAATGTCGGGCCTGATCCGCGAATCCAGAGAGTCTGCCAGCTCTCGATTCCGCGGGATATACCAGCGCGAAAAAAAAACCCGCTCGTTCTGTCTTCCATGATTTACATTGTACCCTCGGATTCTTGCTCAGAGCGGTTTTCTTTGTCCTTTCCATGCATTTCCTAGCTCGGCCCCCCTGTTTCGGCCTAGCTTGGCTAAGGGTATCAGCCAAAGCTCCGGATCTGGATACGATTTTGAGGCTCTTCTTCAGCCAGAATAATGCTTGAATCCGCGAGGTTCCTCATATCTGCTTAGACCTCTAATTTATCATGCGTGAAGCAGCGAGATGTGAGCTTCGCTGTTGTAACCCGTCCGAGCTTCGCTGTCAGAGGATGTTATCTTTGCCGGTCGGACGGCGAGCGAGGCTAGATCGATGTCGAACCTGAGATGACGTCCTGGAATCAAAGCTGAGGGTCCGGATTCATTCGATCCGCGACTCAGCCCGATTGAGGCAAGCTCGAGTTCACAGCTCGGGTTCTTCCAAACCAGACCAAACTAAGCGCCCCTGCCGAGTTCGCTATCGACTTGACATCGAGGCGAATGGAATTTATTGGTCCGTTCGGTTCACTCTCAAAACGCATATCGAATGCCGTATTCCTAGCAGTGTAATCCCGTTTGCGGGGATTTCTGGCATACAATCCCTGTACGAGCGATCGAGTTCTTGGAATCGGCTGGAAAAACGGGCAATAAGTCGCACAGTATCCAGATCACTACTAATTTTCAGGCTCCCGACGTCTCGAGAAGCTTCTACAGGACGTCGAGCGTCACAGAGCAATTTCTTTCCTGAGCAAGGTTCTATGGCTCCTGGCCCGCGATGTCGTAGTTATGCTCCTCATTACGCTCCGGGGGTCTCCGGCTCGGATGCTTCTCCGAATCGGCTCTCGCGAGGTCATTTTGCCCTCAGCCGTGAACGTTGAGTTTTTGTCGCTCGGAAGCCAATCGGGTTGTCAACCACCCAGTATCCCCCTCATGAGCCAATCAGTCAGTCCGAATTAGCGAGAGGACAGCGAAGCGGTGAATCGGAAACGTTCAGCCCCCCCTGGAATTCGTTTTCTGGAGAGTGTCAATCTTCCTCGGCGGCTTACTCGCCACTCGAACCTTAACTCAGACGGACGCTTGTCGACGTCTGTTGTTCTGTATGAGCGGGGATTTGAGCGTCAGTGGGCGCCGACGCTCTTGCAAACCTGGCTTTGTTGTGGACTGTTGCCGCGGTGGCTGGTGCCGCCATTGGTTCTCTTCAACACGGATAGGTTGTTCACCCGCACCGCAGCCGCTCCAACCACCAGTACTTCAGACGCCAATGACGTTGTTGACGTCGTTTTGCCTTGCCTTACAGCTAGCAATGTGCGGCGTGGATGCCCTTTCACCGCTGTCAGTGATTTCTCGTCAGAAATTCCGCTCGGCTCAGCGTCCGGAATCAACGATGAGATTATTTGTTGTTCCCACGAGAGCTGACGGACATGAATCGGACGCGGATTCGAAACGAAAGCTTGTCGCAATTGAATGACACTGATATAATCACTCCTTGCGTTTCTGTTCTCGCTTCGAATACAGTCGAGCGGGCATGGTGGTTATTCAAGAATCCGCATAACGCCTTAGATGGCTTCGGAAAGCGTCGATGGCATCCAGGTGACTCGATACTAATGGATGATTATCTCCTCACGTGAAGGCCCACGTGTCCGTGAGAGAACAGATGTCGTTTTTGGCGCTCTTGACTCGGCGACTCACGGCGGGAGACGTTAGGAGACGAAGGAAGAGGAAGCGCGCCTCTAAGGTTAAAAATTTCTGACTCCATCGGGTCTTTACCGCTCGACAGACTTTGGCGACCCTGCTCCCAATCCGAGATGAGGATTGAAGCTTCAATTGGATGGAATCTGAAAGAAAAAACATCTGCGACAGAATCTGACGAAATCATTTCACGGGTCAAGAGACGGAGTGACCAACCCTCGGGCCGGGGTTACCGCATGAATATAAATCTGTGATTGGAAGTCTATTCCGGTATTAGATATCTCGGAATCGTCGATAATCATCCCGATTGCTGAAAAGAGTCTCCACGGTCGTGCGATCACGAGCGAGTTTACGAACCGCGTGGTTTCGGTCAGAATTCTCCATCTAGTTGGAGTCTCTGCGCGTGAGCTACGTGACTCGAGCATGCGGAAACGTCTCTCCTCCCCTCCACGATCGGGTGAAGAGGAGGAGGGCGGCCATAGCCTTCGTGAGGACGCTCCGCACTTTTCGCGGACTTGTTGACGGCATCGCGATAACACATCCCGCCGATGTGTTCTCGTTCGGTACGAGATCCCTCTCGGATCAAACGCTCGATCGATATCCGGGGTCTTGTCCTCTGTCTGAAATTTCGGGCCTCACCGGCCTCCGATCGAGAAAGTGGACCTCCAGGATCAGATTCCCTTGGATTTGTTTGGTGGAAACCTCGAAAGAAAATTTTGGGTCTTGTGGTCGATCTCACCGTGCACAATTCATTTGGCTCTATAGGAGACGGCAAAGAAACACCATCCTGACATGCGAATTATTAGGATGATCATTCCAATCGACGATGGAGATCGGGCTTCCCGAGCTTTTTTGAACGATAAACGATAGAATCTCGAAGTCGTCCGTTCGGAACTAAGCCTTAGAACCCTCAAATTCCAGGTGAGGAGCCTCATGACTACACAACGTTCACCCAGCTATCGTCTAGCGGAACCTCTATCGGGAGTCCAACGACAGCCTCGTCGCCGTCTTCGATTCCGGCAACGCCGACCTCATCGAACAGCAATGGCGGGACGACGAACAATGTGTCTTCAAGCAATGCTGGTGGTCGATCGTCGCCCGTCGGCTTCAGCGCCGTATTCAACCAAACTAATACGTCAACGGCAGCGTCCACAACCGTCCAAACGGCAGCGTCGACGACGACTAGCAGCAGCGGAGGATCTTCGTTGCGCGGGACTCCACCTCCGGTTTTGCCGTCGTCGTCTCCGGTGACCGCTCTAACGGCGGCTACGACTACCACGACGACTCAAGGGGCATCGCCTATCTCAGTCGGAGTCGGTGTCATTCAGCAGGCCGGGGCGTACCGCCAACGGAGTGGCAGCGCAACATCTCGTCACCGAACGGATTCCTTGTCGTCACACGATGAGAACAGTAGAGACCAAAAACAGATGCGGAGGATTGGGGGGTAAGTCCTTGAATAATTTCCCCTAAGACGTGTTCACGGCTTCCGACACCAAATGGATTCCCATTGTCAGTCGTTTCCCGGAGGCGCCGTTTCCGAAAACTCCTCGGAATCCGGAAGCAGAGAGAGGGCTCGCACGGGACGAAATCGGAAAACCGTCAACGAGACGTCACCAGCAGCCCTGGGGCCCCCTCTCCCACGTCATTCGCTTGGAAATAAGAAAGATTACGGAATCGTTGAGAAATAGCCCTCGACGAAATCGAACATTCGTCGAGATTTCGATCGTCGTTCCGTCGGCATTCTCCCTCAGGGAACGCTGCGCTTACCCTGGCTTAGCGAAATTTATGAGGCTGGAGGTGGTGCTTGAGCCTCGGCTCGGCCTTCTTCTTGCCTAGATCACCTGCGGGACCGCCTAATAGTAATTAGACGGAAGGTTTTTCATCTCAAGTACCGTCGCCGGGAGGGAACCTCGCGTCGTATTCCGGTCTTTCGGTGACGAAATACGCCGCGATCTCTATCGAGCAGCCTTTTGGGGCTCGGTGGCGGCGTTGGAGAACGCCGGTCCGTCAGCTGGGCTAATGAGGGATTTTTTTTCCAGAGCGGGAACACGTGAGGTACATAATAAGTTGGAGAAGAATCGGAGAGCTCATCTGAAAGAGTGCTTCGAGAGTCTGAAGAAACAGTTGCCCAACATTCAGGACGATAAAAAGACCAGTAACCTCACCATTCTCAGATCAGCGTTGAGGTTAGTGCGGGATGGTCGTTCGGATCCGAGATCGAGCCAGATTACGGCCGTGTGTCTCTAGGGAGTCCAGGCGCTGTGGAAGCGGGAAGCTCGAGTCGTTCACCGTTATTTCCCTCCTACAGATACATCCAGAGTTTAAAGAAGAAAGAGCGAGAGTTTGAACAGCAGCTAGAGAAACTGGCGGGAGACAAGATCAGCGCTCAGCACCGTTTGGCCAATCTGCGGAAAGATGGTTGCTCAGTTCTCCCGCTGGGTAAGTTAAATGGTAAAGCAGTTTTCCTTCTTCTAATAGCGCATTCGAAGCACTCTGTATTGAGATCGTGATGAAATTGATCGATTCGCCTCTTCCCCTCCATTCCACGAGCCCCCGCCTAACTTCTCTCGTTTCGCCAGGGACGGAAATCATCGGTCCCGGACATCTGCTCGAGCCTCGGAGGGCGCTTCTTGCAGCCACCAATGAGTTGGTTGCCGCTGAAAGGCTCATGAGTGAAATGAAACGGAGAGGTAGCGTTTCTCCTGACAACGAAACGACAACTACGGCTTCCGGTGAATACCTAACCCCTCCCGCTCGTTGCGAGGGCAGTCTGCCTCGGATGATTTCGTACCGTTCGGCCATTCCTGGAATCCATCGTATAACTCGGATGCGTTTCTGGATATTGCAGAATGCGGCAACCTGAGCGACTATGAGGCGGATGAATTTGACCTTTTATCGTCGAGTGCGACACAGCATCACCAAAACGGGGCGAGCAGAAAAACTACGATTGAAGCACGTGTCGAAGCTCGCGCCCCAATCGTAGTCAGTACTAGCTCTGAAATGCGTGTCAACGGCGTAAACCATAACGCACAGCAGCAGCAGCAGCAGCAAACTTCGGAAGATTGCAAACCAATCACCATTTCCGTTACATCGGCCGCGTCGAACCCCATCTATCAACAAGCCACCAAAGGCCAGATACACCAACAACAGCAGCAGCAACAACAACAGCAGCAGCAGCAAACACAACAAGCTACGCAGCAGCAACAGACGTCGCAAACGCAGCAGCAGCAACCGTCGCAGACGCAGCAGCAACAACAATCGTTCCCGCAAGCTTTGTCGACTTCGCTCACTCCTCTGATAAAAGCAGGACCTGGGCTCATAGTTAGAGCGGCCAGAGAACAAGATTATCTCGACATTAAGGCAAACACTTTCAACGCTGGCAAGGTGAGTCTCTCGAGCAGCTACGCTAGACTCGATATTCGCGAGACGTTCCACGAATTCTGTGACGAGACGGCTTCTCACGGAAGCAGAGCGCGTTGCAGAAGGTTGCGGATTCGGCCCTCTCGAGCCGATGCGGGGCTTTTCCTTGAGGCTCATTCCCCTAAGTTCTTTTTCGCCTAATTCAGATCGACAAGACGGTGACCGCTGTCCAGGGAGATCGATCCTATAGCGCTGGCGGCGGATCGGTGAGCGGAGCGCCAGTGACATTCATAGGTGAGGATTTTTTCCCCTCTAACCTCGGAGGAAGTTCAGGCTTCCCGGACAGAGATCATCCCACGATGGACGATCGCACTTACCTCGCCAACAAAAAACCACAAACTTCTTTTTTTTATAAAAATTCCAGATTCCAAGGAGTACGCTAAAGTTGAAGTGACAGCGACGTCGTTGGTCCCGACGGCTACGCCATGTGAACCTCCAAGAGCGATTTTCACTCCAGGAAACCAGAAGACTATTCTTCCGACGTATCTCCCAAACACTGGCAATCTTGCTACTCTTCTGCACGCGGCCAATACCGTGAGCTACATCAAAGGTGAGACGCGAGCCCGATTCGGTACCTTATCCCACACCGACCATGATCCTACGACTCATTGTCGAGTTCCTTTTTGCTTCGATCATTATCATGACTGACATTCTGATTGTTTCACGATCCTCAGCCCCGCAATCTAATGGCGAGGTGACAGTCTCGGTATCGGCTTCCGGTCCCCATGGCGGGGGTGGTCTCACATCGATTCCGTTGATGTGCAAACCGGGAAGTGTCGTAAGGTTGGCTCCCAGCGGACACATTGTACAACCTCTAACTTTGGTAGGCTCTCTGAAAGTCTTGGCCGCCATATCCGACTACGAAGCCCTTCGAATTAGTGAATTCCCTATGATTCTCATCTCCTTCTCCTTTCGGCAGGTTCAGCAGATCCCTCAACAGAATGGTGGGCAGTCGACGCAATTGGGAGGAGCTAATAAGGTGAGGCACATCGACTCGACACCTGCAAGAGCTCGGCCTCATCATTCACCCTATGCTGGATTCCCTTCCCTCTCATAAGCATTACGGAACAGAATCAGAAACGGTGTTTGATTCGGATTTCATTTTCTAGACGGGACCGGCCCCCACCTTGTTCCTGACACAATCTGCAGGGTCTGGGCAGGTGCCAGGACAGTATAAAGCGACGAATCACGCAGCTCAGGCAACAACCATGGCCACCGTAATAACTCAGGTCAGTGCGTTCAGGACCCTTTTGCCTTATCGCTTACGTACATCTCATCATCCACATCTATTGCTCTGTATTTCTGTGGAAGAAAGAACCGTGCCGGAATAGAACCGTGCGTAGTAAATTGATGATATCGAAGTCACGAGCGAAAGCGTAATTGAAAGGTGTGTTGCTTCATTTACAGACGCCTCTCGCTACCGCTACGGCGGGCGGTCCAGGGGGCGCCGTCGTGGTCCCCCAGAACGGCCTCGTTACTGCCGGTGGCTTTAACCAGCTGGGAAAAGTACAGCTGAGCGGCACAACAACTCTTTCCATAAAGCCGGTACGTTTGAGCCTCTCATCATCATAATGAAAACGTTCAATCGCCGAAGAATGCGGATCATGTTACGAGGGCCGACGTCGCTCTGCTACGAGAAACATTTTCTATAAAAAAAATTCCATCGTGTGCGAGTGAGCGAAGCCATTCCTAAAACCGACCCATGCGTTGCAGGTGAGCCAATTCCCGATAATCTCGGGCCAACAGTTCATAACGGCGTCTTCGCAATCTCTGAAGCCCGTGGTTGTGGTTTCTGTACCGCAGACGTCGACGCAGTGAGGTTCAAATCTCGGACTTGTGGATAAATGGGCTTCGACGTTCAGTGTAATTCATCGCCTCGACAAACAGGTTGACGGAACATAGAGGATCACATTGAGTCAGACAAACAACAACAGAACAGACGAAACAGATGAACAATGACAAACAACAAGCAACCGAGCAGGTAGTAGAGAGACATTGGCGCGTGGGACGTCGACGGTCGAGGGACGTTGGGCGTCGCTCCACAAGTTCTCGCTCAGTCGGACCCTGACCTCGTGCAGTCCTGGCCCTATGTAGGAACCCTGCGAGGGAAATCCCGTGATTGTTCCGAAGCCCGGAATTTAAGGAAAGCACTTAGGTGAAAACGATGCGTGCCACAGCACGGGCACCCGGTCACAGAACGAGGACGATGCCACATGGACGATGGAGCCGGATAGAGGATTGAGTACAATTGTTGCTGTACAAAATGTCCTTATACATACTTAAAATCCCTATGGGCACATCGAAAACTCGAGGCAGGGTCTCACGTTATAGCAGCGTGAGCTATTCGGTCTGGAGCCTCCTCGAGTTCCCCAATCTGAGTGCTACGAGCTGCACGGAAGTTGAAGCTCGAGACGGAGAATCGTTACAGAATAGAAGATAGACGAACAGATTGACCGGTAAACGCTTTCGAAGGTGGACAGTTTTGGACAGTGTTCCGGAAGGATGCATCAGTTCCGTCGTTAGGTATCGTTACGAATGCGGATTTCTCAACCAAGTGTTTTGGATGTTCTCAAAAACAACGTGGAGGAAAACGGCGCCGAAAAATTGGTTTGAACCGCGTCAATCTAGTCGATTCAAAGATGGCTCCCGGTTTTTTTCTATTGGATCTGGCGGAGATCCTCAGCAGAGACGAATATTCGTAACGTTCGGAGATCGATCGGTAGAAGATTTCCGAACGCATTATTTTCGTAATTTCTCTATTTATTCCGCGTATCTCATGCTCTGATCGGGTCCGACACTTAACACCGTGCGCATGGGGTCGATCCTAGGGGATTTTAACGCGCTTGTCACCTCCGGTATGTTTCAGTAGTGTCTCCTCGTTCTCGAGTCATAAACGGAGGAGATGGGATTTACCTTCGGACTGGTACGATCATCGTCAATCGATTGATGTTTTTTCCATCTCTATTGATTTACTATTTATTCACGGATTCACCTCAGCAGCGAACAAACGAAAGCTTTTGAATTGCGTGTGTGACTTGAATACTGTTTCTGTCACGATTTATCAACGAGAATACACATCAAATAGTAACTCGGGGCGGATGAAGTCCTCTCTCGGAGATTTCGACCCGACAACGGTCAGATCGAGAGATGGAGGAGTTCATCCGTTGGAGCCATTTAAAGTATGTCATCGTCTGACCTCGTACATATTCATCACAAAAACGTATTCACCCGAAGAAAATCTCATAAAATGCGTTCCTACATCATTGTACTCGGAAGAGACACGGAAAACTAGCGAGGCTCGGTGATTACACCGGTCCGCGGCTAATCGGATGATCCAACTCAGGTGATTCCTGCTCGATTATCGGGTGGCGGAGCTTGTCCACCCACCGAGTCGGCTCGTTCAGAGGCGAGATCATAGATCGAGAGGGGCCTGCGCGGAAATGGCCCGCACTCGTTCCCGCCATTCTGACCGCCGCCATTCCGAGGACCTCGCCGTACATAGATCGACATCGCCGAATTTCAGCTTCGGTCGTGTACAAGGTTTTCACATCGAGACGAACATCAGCGGCGCTTTCCGGTTTATCACGTGCTCCCCCTCCTAATCTCAAGCAGCTTGTGGAATCACAGAAAGAGCTGTCGAATTGGGCATTTCATCGGGTGCTGTCGAGTAGTTGGATAAACTCTCCGATGAGAGGCGTTTTTTTCGAGAAGTTGAGTCTCTTCGAGAGAATTCTTCCGGGAGACAATGCTCGGGAGCGAAGTAGTCGCGATTCTCCTCTGAAGCACGGAATCCCCATCCCGAGTCCAGAGAAAACTTTATTCGCAAAACAGTGAGAAGATTAGGAGCGGGACCTCGCTAGTATTGTCGAGGAAAGACGAAACGGGGTTCATATCGAACATGACGGAGATGGAACAATAATGCGAAAACGATCAGCGGGATCGTGTTCGTATCATTCACTTTAGTCAAGATAATACGGATGGAAGAACGGAATTCGAACGCCAGCGCTAAAGAGCCGAGGAAATCCTCGAGAGAAGCGCGGACGTGATCGAGGGAAAAACTTATCGTCGACGGGATGAGAGCTGGAATGCTTCTCCTGAACGGTCTTTCTCAGAAAACTTGGGAGTTGTTTTCTTGAGCCGAAAGGGAAGCGGGAGATCCTCTTCGTGGCAGTCAAGGCCATTGAGAGAAGATAGATACCTATGATGAAACATTCCTTCCATGAGTGGTCCAGTGACGTACAATCAGCTGGATTGGATAATCCAATGAGGGAAACTGCAAAGCAATTCTTTGTCTTGTCATCATTTCCGAGCGTACCCAAAAGCAACGATTTTTCGAGTCGAGAAAATTTGCGATGGAATCATCGGAACGTCCGAAATGGGTTCAATGTACATTGGTTTGATGAGGGAAGCATTCAAGTGAGTTTTCTGAGCTCAGCAAGGAATCGCAGAACTATTGAGGTGCACGAGCTCTTCACCTCCATGGCATCGTAAGGTCCCCGAGTGATTGGTTGTCAATCGAGGACCGGAGGAATGGCGGGGAATCGATGTCAGCGTTATTGATGACCGCCCGGCGACTTTGCGAAGCGAACTCACCCCATCAGGGTCGTGGATGGAGCCTTAGTGCAGTAAGCCGATATTTGACAAATATCAGATTGAACAAATGTCTGGGGAGACAATGACTAAACAAGCTGGCTGTTATCGAGGTTCGATCTGGCCAATCACGCACAACTCGAGCAAGCAAGGAAACTATAAGGGAATTGGGCGAAACTGTCGGGAAAGCCGCTCCATCGAATTCAAACTGAAATGAGCTCTTCGTGACGTTTTGATAAGAGTGACGAATAGTGACCGATCGGCATAGCCCTCGATCGCCACGGGATGACTCGGATCCGAGAAACCCTTCCGAGGATTTTCTGCGGATTCCAAAGGAGTCCGATTCTAAAGTCGATCCTCCGCGAGGAGCGCCACTTATCCGAAGTGGAAAGACGGTTCCGTGCAGGTTATGACTCGAGTACCAACGAAAGACTTGAGGAGGCAGATCGAGATTGCGATGAGTGATTCCGAGCGGAGCTCTAGGAAAGCCAATACCTCCAGGCGAACACCAAGAAGAGGAATACAATGAAATTCTTGTACTGAGTGACTCAACCAAATGCGATTAGTGACGTCGTGTGGGAAGCGGGACGAGTTCATTCTTTCCTTCAGTAGAAGCACACTCAGAAACGTTCACACACACACACGAACAGATTCGAACACAGGAACAAACACCGGGACTCACGTTAGGACGAGAGGTACACATCGGAAGAGAGAGCGTGAAAGTCAACCCGTATTGTATATTTGATGTAAAATAGTCCATCGGAGAATCTTTATGACATCTTCATGATAAGATAGAACAACTCTTGAAGAACGTCTATTCTGAGACCGCATACCTACGCCTACACACCCACTCACAGACTGAGAACACAGAGAAACGATGATGGTACATTGAGAGGCATCGCAACACTGAATCGCCGAAATACGACACCGGTGTGGTGTTCCAGCAACAGTCTGCGGTGGTGACATTGCCGAAGATTGATAAAATAAGGATATAATAATCGAATTAGATTGAGATATGATGGTATCGATCATATTGTCGGCGACGACGAAGATTGAGACGGTGAATGAAGCGGGGAACTTTCTTGGGCTGTCTCCGAACGGCGGAAGGCTCCTGCCACCAGAAGCAACGGCGGAAACGCGGATGCGAAATGAACAACAAAACCCACACAGCCACCCCTATTGATTATGAGTGGCATAGAAACGATCTAACAAATTTCTTTATAAGAGACGATGAGAGACGGATAAAACAAGAATAAAGGCGCACGTCCTGATTCAAATTCCTTGTCTTTCTTGCCTTGGTGAATTCGCGGTCAAAGCATGGAGATTCGATACGATTCTCGCTCTACGATTCCTAGCTGAGAATCCTGTCTTCGTGAAATCAGCCACAATAGAGTATTTATTTTCCTTGTAAAACTTCCCTCAGTCGATCTAAGAGTTTCTTCCCGGAATGTTCCGCCTAATCGTCGATAGAACTCTCAAATTCCAAGAGTCTCGACGCCCCCCTCGAGCCCCAACCGGTCGTAATAACGAGGATCGACAGACCGGTGGCACCGCGGAATCGAGGACAAAGGAGAGATTCGGCTTTCGCGGAGGAGACCCGACTGAAGAACAAAGAACGCTTCGTCATGGTCTCGGGCTCAGTCGAAATCAACCTCAACTTCATCCTCAGATAGGTCATCGACGTCCTCGTCATCTCCACCATTTGATTTCTCTTTTTTCATCTTTTTGCCTTTGGACTTGATCATGTCGTCCGTCGCGTAGCGGAGCATCTGGTGCTTGTTCAAGCTCCTCGTCAATTTTGCCTTGACTTTTGAAGGGACATCCGCGAATGGGTCTTTCCCCTGAGTGTTCCATGAAGTCAACTCCAGCATGGCGTCGACATCACTGCGCTGCAGACTGTAGGCATCCATGAAGTTAACGACCTGCGGAAGACAGTTCTTTGATTCATACGCCGAGGAGCTGGGTTAGGAAAGAATCGAATCCCCGGTCATGTGCTGCCGGAGTCGGTCCATCACAGGAACTTACCTTATCCACGCCTGATTCCCCTTCTTTGAGTAGAGGCATCATGATTTTCTTCGTCATCAGAGGCATGTATTGGGTTGTGGTTTCGAAGGTGTCTCCGCTGATCAAACATTTCATGTGAGCGTTCAAGGCTTGAGCTTGCCTCGCGTGTTTACCCGTCGTGGAATATTTCCCAAACCATCCGGGGAAATTCACCATTTCTCGCATGGTTCCTTGCATCCTGACCGAGGGTATCACTGCAGCATACATGGCCTGGACCGAGAGAAGGGCCCACGCATTGGAACTCCGGATCTGGCGGTCAACGGTGTCCCCGATACAAATGGCTTCGGAGGAATCCGAAAGCCTTTGGAGTAGATCCCGTTTCCTCACGCAATTCTTTGGCTGTACTTTGATGTAGTTCTCTTGGACGAATAATGGAACAGCGTTGTAATCGTTGAAGAACAAAGATTGTCTCTCATTCAGATTGAGCGACCCGCCCTCCGATGAGACGAGGAATTTCTTGACGACGTCGAACGGACCGATTTTCACATCTTTCGTGACCTGTTGCTTTGAACTTGAGTCGTTGATTGCACAGAATAGGTTGAGACTGTGGACGCATTGACGGATATCCTGGTTTGAAGCAACGATGATCTCCTCTATCGTTTTCGGAGGAACCTTGACGCCCTCTTTGAAGCACAAGCTCATCAGAGCCGCCTGGATTTGCTTCACTTGTGGCTTGTAGAATCTCAGGTCGAAACAGTAATTCACGAGGGAGCGCATTTTCGGATGAGTTCTGCGGAGGAAAATTCCACTCGTCAATTCCTAGCGTTCCGATGCTCATCATGGAGTTCCCATCCCAGGAGGAGGAGGGGTAGGGGTTGTACCGGAGCCGGAACGCTCCCACAGTACTCACCTATCGTTGCAAATGCAGATGATCGGAACCATCGAGCTCTTTATCAGCTGGATGAGTTCCTGCATACCACCGCGATCCTGATTTCCGGACATGCCATCAACTTCATCCATGATGAGTACATGTTTTCTCTTCGCATTCGTGCTGTTCAATGTTCGATTGCTGAGGAGGGTCGCGACCTCCTCTTTGAGCGAACGCTTACTCCTGGTATCAGAGGCATTCATCTCGATAATCTGAAAGTCAACAGGTGCCAATCGAGTTCTTCCGGCATATCCCGATACGCAAGCGAACGAATCCTCCCGGCTTTCGATTCGAATCCTTGCCATATATCGGACGAGCTCGTCATCAAAGGGAAGAAGAAATCCGTTCTCACCTCGAAACCTAGCTCCTTGCACACCAGATGAGCACTTGTGGTTTTTCCAACTCCGGGCGGTCCTGACAGCAAAGCTGCTCTGAGACCGGCTCCGGTGGGGTTCTTGAATTTATTGAACGGTGCTTTCTGCTTCGTTGACCATTGAGTGAGCCACCGTCTCAACTTCGCCACATTGCTCTGATCTCCCTGCTGACCGATTATCTGTTTCGTTGCGGAAGGCATATATTTGTCAACCCACATCAGGGCTGGTGGAGCTTTGGCGGCCGACGTGCTCGGCTGAGATTCGGAGCCGCAAGCCGCCGCCGACTGTGTTTCTTTGCGCTTCTCCGGACTGCTTCTTGTTTTCGAATGAGCCCCCTCCCTCGCCGGGTCGGACTTCGGTTTCCTCGGCGAGCTTTTTTTGGCTTTGGCTTTGGCTTCAGCTTCTTCGATCTCCATCATGACTTCTTCGACTGGGTCAACTCTCTCCTTCGCTTTGAACGCTTTGGATGTGTCAGTTATCGATTCGACATAGTCGAACCATTCCAGCTCCTCCAGAACTTTTGCGCCCACCGCCTGAGCTCTGGCAACCTGAAAAGTCAATACTGCGTCAGGAACTCCTCAGCAAATCTACAAGCCCCGCTGGATTTGGACAGAGATGTACAGCTTTGCCTACTTTTGCTGGTCCTGCATCTCTCCCCGCGATCAGATGGGTAGTCTTGCCGGAAATGCTACTCGTAATCTTGCCCCCACACTGTTCAACAATCCGTTTGATCTCGTCCTTCTCCACGTAGTCCATGACCCCTGAGAGTGTGAAAATCAGAGCTGAGTCAGAATCCGGTGCTGAGACTCCAGGAAGGCCTGGCGCGTGATCCATCGACGGACCTCCTGTTCGAGAATTTTCCAGGCAAGGAACACCCACCTGTCATAACGATCGTGAACTTCTTCATACACTCAGGGGATCCTTCGGGATGATCCTTCTCCCCGAGATGCCGGGGTGGCTCCCGATTTAAATAGGCCAAATAGCTTGCTCCATTCCCGGTGGAAGCCCTCCCCCTCGGACTTGGCTCCGGGGCTGAAGTTTCTTTCCGTCGCTTGGTCGCGGATTCCACTTCCTCGTCCGATTCTATTTTTCGCTTCTTAGGAGCTTCGTCCCCCATTGACCCGCTTGCCTGTTTCGACTGTATCGTGGACTTCGTCTTCGGAACATTCTCCGACTTCCGCGAGATCTTCGGGGTTTCGGGTTCTTTCTTGGTTGCAGTTTCTTTCTTCGGACTCGTATGCTGGGGGAAGGAGGAAGAACTTAGAAAGAAATGATGGGAGAGCCCGACTTGGATATGGGAAGACCAGAAACAGAGAGTCCGATGTTGAGATTGGGGATGGAATAAGATGAGATACCTTCTCGGACTTCCGTGGAGATCTTCTCTCGCTCGTCCGACTCCCACTTGGCGGACTGCTCTTGAAATACTCGTCGGCGCTTATTTTTTCTTTCTTGACTGGACTCCTCCGGGGTGTTTTCGGCTCGTCTTCGTCAGAGCTGCTAATTTCGTGCACTGCCCTTTTCGGTGGCGCTGAGCTCTTCACGGCCGAGCCATTCGACGATTTCGATTTCGGTGTCAAGGGTGATTTAAAACTCTTAGATTTCGATGCTTCGGGGGTTCTCTTCTCATTCTTCGATGGTGATGGGGTTGTTTTCGTTCCCTCGGAGACCGTAGGCGTGGAAGTCTCCTTTTTAGATTTTGTCGGTGTGCGTCCGAAAAAATTCCGGATATCCATTTTGGGTCCCTGGGAGGAGAATCATCTGAGTCATCCATCTTCCCCTCGCTCGTACCCTGAGCTCCGAGGTATCTATGGTGCCTACGTTTCTTTGAGCGATGCGAGATGCGAGTTCTTAAACAGCGAGACGCCTGACGGACAATCATCGGTTCTCGGATAGATCAAGAACCGAACACTATTATCCTAATTGAAGACACTTGCACTCCACTCCACGGTCATCGTTAGGAAGGTCCCAGGACCTCAATGCGTCAATATGGCAGCTCGTTCCGTGAGCTTATACTCCTGATGAATCCAGTCTACGTGGAAACCGATGCCGGTCAGCTTGAGTGAGATAGCCCCTATCTCCGGACGAATTTTATTTGTCCATTCTGATATTGCTTTCCGCTGACCAATCACAATGATTACGTTTTAGGCTCCGCGTCAATATCCTCCCACCGCTGAGCGGTCAGGAGATCACGATCAGGATATGGGAGAGGTCTGATCAAATGTAATCAAAAAGATTGTCCTACCTCTTCTTGTCAAAGATCTGTACACGAAAAACAGAGAGCTCGCAACTTGGAGGGCTCTCTAAATCGGAGCTCAGGATTCGGCTGTTGATGAGCCAATCTTATCAGACGATGTCAATGGAACGTGATCCTGTTGTTACTTGTCACCAATAATTCTAGAATATCAGGAATGAGCGCGCAAATACCTGTCCCGGCATGAGTTGGTGTCGATGGCGCGATTGGAGGATCTCAGGAGGAGGAGCGAAGCAAAGAGAGAGGGGTGCAGGCGAACAAAATACGCGCTCGGAAGTGGAGGTAGAGCAATTGATTCGTATGTTACTTAAGGGCGATTGAGTCCATCTCCGAGAAGTCAACCTTTGGAGTACAAGGGGAAGAATTTAATTAGGAGCGAAGAATCTCCAACGTCTCCAACACCGTCCGCGGAGATTGTGTCGTCGATGATCTTTAATGGCGTCAATGCCGGTATCGAGGGGCTCATATTAGTGCGGAGCCAGCGAATTACAATATACGGAATTCATTCGAAACTAATTAGCATGAGGGAAGAGGAAGATGGGCTGGAGTTTCAGTCAGCACGTCGCCGGCCAGCGCGGCTCGACCAGCTTCGGAAGCGGACACCCCTCGGCATTGATGCAGCGTCCATCCCTTGTCTGGATCGTCCCAGAACTTTTGGTGAGGACCCGACATGGGGTCCCGATGGCCGACGATATCGCCCCCGGAATACACGATCCCTTTCTCATAAGGATTCCTTCAAGGACATTGAGAGAGTCGAACCCGGCCCCCGAGCTCACCTAGAAGTGACACGGGGCATATCGTCGCGTACATCGGGAATCAGAGTAGATATCTCCAGTGCGAACATCCCTGCGACGAAAAGAGGGCTGGTAGGTCCCGAAGGATCCCAGGTACTCCACTAGAGCTGATTGAGAGGGGTAATTACATGAATTCTCCGAATCCTTGCCCATCCCAGGACTAGGGATAAGTCAGAATGACGGCTCGTCGCGGCAGAGGGTCTCTCCCGTCCCTGACGCCGGTTTCGTGGCAGGATTATCCCTCTGGCGGGATTGATAGGACTTCAAACCTTCCGTAGAGTTTAGGGCTAAATCGATGTGGTCATGTAGCCAGAAGTCACTCGTTCTCTCATGAGCTCTGGGCGCAGTTAGAATTTCGCGCGCATGCTGCCCGTAAACATTCTGGCGGAGAGGGGGCCCTTGCGTCTTTTTTGTGTACATGTAGCTGAAGACAGAGCGTCGAATACTCTCCTTTCCCCGTACTTTGTTGGACTTTGACGCCCGAAACCAACAAACTCGAGGAGTTCGCTGGGTGGCCAGAGGTTCATGGGCAGCTCGGAATTTAGAGTTGAGTTCGATTCGGAGTCCATTCAGTTGTAACGCCAGCGATTCATCAAGGACAGAGTTCGGAGCCATGAAGATTCCAAGTGAGTTCGGTATGCGTGAAAGTTTCAATCCTTGGTCTGCACGGAGGAAGAGCCGGGTCTTTTTGTCTCTTGGGTGGACTTCTTTTCCGGGAGCGATTATGATCGTTGAGCGTGCTCCGTAAACATTCCGCATGCGACCGAAGTCACACCGGTCAGGACCTATGCTCGCATCTGAAACCGCTCAAACATCAATAGAAAACTGCCTCGGAATGTGATTGACACATTAAAAATGTTCTCCGTTCATTTATTCATCCATGAAGTTGAATAATCCGGTTGCCGCTCTGATCCGACATGCCTCTGAGTCAAACATCTCTAAGGCAGAGAATCTGAGGCGTGATTTGCGTTCTCCGACTAGCTCGGAAACTGATGTCGAAAACTCCCTTCTCGGTCGGGCCCCGCACCTACTGCATATTCTATCGACTCTCCTGGATGGTTATCGTATGATGATCCAGATTTCTCTAAAGGCGATGGGACGATCTTCCCACGAATTATAGCAGAGCTTTTTTTGTCAGTCACATGATGCGGAGCACGGAGCATAGCGGAAAATGCCAGGGACCGCAATCTATCATATTGCATTTCCCTGATCATCTCCGAATCTGATGCGTATCATCCATCCCGTATTTTGCAGAACTTCCACAGGAAATCAAAGATGCTGTCCAGGGAAAGAAGAAACCAGAGGATGGACTGGCCAAGACTCTCGAAGCGCTAGCTAGAGCACCCCCTTCACAACAATGCTGTGTGGGACTCGCAGCTGGACTGTGAGTACCTCGTGGATTCTTATACCAGATCAATCAATCGACGGATCCAAACAGATCATGGTTCCGTTCTGATCTGCGGTTGACAAGTCGGGCGTAGACTCACGAATATTGACAGAATTCTAAACAAACATCTCTCCTGAAATCGAAGGGTAAATGGCTTTGTCTTCGGTCGCCTCGGGAAGAATGCTGCTGTCATTGTCGGTGGGAGCTTGGTAATGCTTCAAGTGGCGTCATACATGGGCTACATCAAGGTAGGATTCGAGCCGGCCGAGTTACTCGATGCAGGCAACTTCGAACCTCCGTCTCGAAGATGTCAGTTTTCCGCTCTCTTCGCCCTTTCTAATTATGCGATCGTGTATCATTCAGATAAATTGGAAGACTATTGAAAAAGATCTGGGTGAAGTCAAGAAGGAGATCGCGAAGCCCGCTTCCTATGGTCCCATGTTCGAGACTGCCAAAGATTTCCTGATGGATCACGTGTACTTGGGAGGTGGATTTGTCGGTGAGTATTCTCAACCACATGGTGAAAATATGTGAGATTTTCGGGGAATACGACGAAATTACGTTAATTCGATTCACCGGCATTGAATCGTCTCTGCAGGCGGCTTCGTCGTGGGCCTCGTCACTTCGTAAGAAAATCTCGACGGAAGGATCCGGGGCGGACTCTCTCGGCGAACACATCTTCCCCTCCCTCAGCGTGGAGCTTCCAATGTAAACTTCACCGCTCCCGAGTAGATTCGGAATCTTAATTCTGTGAATCATTAAATCCTGCGCCCTGCAAAAGCCGAAAGCGCTTCCGTTTGTCGAAAAACTCAGAAATCGGGAGACACCCCATGAGAATCACCTCTCAGCTCTAGAATAAAGAGGATACCTGCGATTGTTGATCCGACGTGGCTCTCCTTGACCGCTCGCTTCCTCACGATCAGATGAATAATAATCTTTACGTTTCAGTCTTAAGATCTCATTCTCCGGTCAAAATAATTTTATTCGATCCGTTCACGATGTACGCTTCTCTCGAATATACTTCTCTTCCTCTCAAACATCTTGGTTGTCCACAGTCCATGCCGGGAAGTATTCGCTCGTCACCAACGAGACCCAGGGAATCCCGATTCGGCCATACTGATTTAGAATGAGGCATATTTCCCGCGAAAGAAGGATGTCGGTATACCTGGACTCTTCTAGGCTCGAGTGCAAATCCGGAAACTCCCATGACTATGCGCACGAGACGAAAGGCGCTCAAGCCTCCTCGGAATGATCGGGAAATATCCCAATCGAGATAAATCGAACACATTGAATAAAATAAAAGAATTCCCCGACGTTCATTGCGGTCCCAACCAGTCGCTGTGGTCGAGGGTCTCGTCGATGAGAGAGCAAAAACTATGATGATTGAGAACTCCAATACTCGACCGATCCGCGGAGGACTCAATGAGTGCGGAATTCTCTTGAGGATCGAACTCATGGACTGAATCGCTCTCGTTTCGATCGTTTTGATCGTATGAATCTGTACAAACAGGAGGTCTGGGAACGAATTTTCGATTCCGCCACAGCCGCCCGTTGCATCCCTCGGAAACTCGACAAAAGAATAGCTCGCCGGGTCACTCGGCTCTTTCCAGATATATTATTATTTAAGTTAACATAACTACTCATTGGGCGAGAGGTCTTCTTGTCTTCTCAAGCCGCTCTCGCATTTCTTGTTCTAATGAAACCATATCACAAATTATCTCCATCGATCACCATGCTTCGTGATCGCCCTTTTCCATTGGAGCAGCGTGACCGTTGATCTTCACGCTGGGAACCTCTGACGTTTCGGAATCTTCGGCCGTCGACATCGGTTTCTTCAGGCTGTCTTGCTGGCTCACGATGCCGAACCCGGACCCGCAGCGGACGAAAAACTCTTTCAGAGGACGAACTAAGTTTGGTTTCATGTCAGGCTGTCCGATGAATTCACAAAGGAATGGATAAATCAGTGAAGAGTGTCGCAGGAATTGCTCGTCTTGGAGCTGGTTCACGCGTGCGATGAGGAGAAGTACGATCGTGGACCAGGCTTTACGGTAATGTTCTGTGTCGAGAGACAAGTAGTACGTCAAAGACTCTCGCGATAGCTCTACCAAGCGTGCCTCGACGATGGATCTGCAATAGTGATCGCTGGGCTTATTTCTCCAGAGCTCAAGCGAAAAATCAAAATCATCAGGATCTGCGACGCAGATAGTTCTGCAGCGGGATCCAGTCGAATCGGAGCGCTTACCTTGACTGTAGCCGTTGAGGATCTCCGTACATTCTGAAGAGGATTCTGAATGCGCACATGATAGAAGCCGTTTCTTGCGGCAGCAGATCGGGCTTGATGTTGTTCCTGAAGCCGGCTTTCCAGAGGACCGATCTTTGCGCTGAGTTTCGGTTGAAACTCTTGGCCAGTCGATGAGACTGCGTCAAGCAATCTACCAAAAGGAGCAGGTGCTCACAGCGTAGGTACCTGCCGGAGGATTCAAAAAGGTGAACTCGGTGCATCGTCGAACCCTTGCCGTCCCGTCCCGCGGACCGCGAGCACATTGAGTCATTTCCGTCATCGAAGCCTCGGTGAAATGTCTTCCGATTTTCAGATTGAAGAGACGTACTTGAACATGCCATGGTACCGCTCGAGATCCGCAGCATCTCGATCCCGGACGATTCCCTGCATGAGCTCCGCTTCCTCCTTCTTCGAGGTCGCAGGGAAGAAAACAACGCTGTCCACGGTCTGTATCACTTCCATCTGCACCGTGCATTGGATTCGCAGCAAGGGGAACAACTTCTCGTTTCCTGGAACGGATCGGATATTTCTAGAAAACATTCATTCGCAAAATCGTGGTGCTGATAACGTGATGGAGTAGACTGATCGCAGAATGTGTTTCGGCTCTACTGACCTTCTTTCCAAGTGAGCAATTGTAGAGGTGCAGTGTTTTCGAACATTTTCACGATGCACTGGCAGGTCTTGACCCAGATCTCGTCACTGAACTTATCGCCGTTGCCGACAACCCAATGTTCAAGGCAATTAGTCCCGCTTTTTGCGAGCTGCTTGTTGTCCTGTTGCACGCATTGGAGCAGCAGCTTGTACAGCTCGTCGAGCAGTATCTCGGACAGTACGCTGTAGTATTGAGTGAATACGTCGATGGTGGCGTAGAGCGCATGATTACAGGTGGTCGTCATCCATTCTGACTTTTCTGGGCCGCTTTCCGGTAGCTTCATGATCATATTGTCGAAGATGCGCAGAATAAGCCGGAATAGATCGTTCCACCAATTTCTCGCGAATAGCGAGCCGTTGCTCTTGATGATCTCGAAGAGTACCGTCAGCGCTCGAGTGCGGACGTCGAGCTTGCAGCGGGAAACGATGCACGACAGCTCGAAAAGGATCGGGATCCAACCCCGGACCCAGAGCCGATCTTCGGGGCTGCCCGAGCTCATGCCATCGGCCCCGACCGCGTCCCCAGCGCTGACCTCGCGGAACAGGTCGGCGTGATCCGCCACGTATTTTGCGCAGTGTCTGATCAACCGGATCGCTTCCATCGAAGTGTCAGGGAAGTGGGTGTTGCAGGCGAACTCGGACAGGCACTTTATGGCGTCCTGGAACGAGTCGACCAGGTGGGGGAACTGGGTCTCGTAGACGTGAGTGATTATTCGACGGGTCGTTTGGAAAGCCGTGTCCACGAGCGATTCGTCCTTCTCAGAAGCCGCGAGATGGAACACCGAGAACACGTTTGTCCAGCCCGAGCGTATACTCGACGAATGCGTGTGTACCATCGAAGCGATGCAATGGACGACCAACTCTTTGATGTTACGCGAAGTGGCGTTCTTCATGATGTACTCGAAGGGCCGTAAGAACTCTTTCTGGAAGCGGAAGTTGGCGAACTCGCCTTTCTCCAGAAACTTGAACGACAACTGTCGTAGGGAGTCGATCGATGTGTAGGCGATGTGCTCATCGGGGTAGGTGCCGACAGTGTTGAAGTGGTTTCCGAGCACTTCCCAAATACGAGACCATTGCAGACGTATACGCGCCATGTTATAATAGGAAATCTCGACTATCTTGTGCATCGAAAACAGGCGGTTATGACTCAGTTCTCCCATGCAGACTTGGCACAACGCTTTGACGAAGTCGATGATTGCATTGCCATCAAGGTTCGCCGAATTGGTGAAGATTCGATCGACGGCGACCACCAGCCCTTGCTGCTGGGCTTCGGCGACCTGTTGACCGTTCTGCTGCTGCTTCTTCAGAGAGCCGAACAATTCGGTCATTTCCAAATGGGAAACGCACCGCAGAATTTCGAGCCAACTGGGGCCGAGGAAGTTCCCGTCGTGCTGGGCAACGGCTATCAACGTTCTGATCGTGTTGACGTTCTTCTCCTTGATGTCGGACGCCCCGCCCTCCGCCGTGAGCAACGTGAAGCGAACCAGCGCCTGCACGTAAGCGTCACGTTCGAGCTCCAAGCGGAAGATGCACGCGATACGAATCGCGAGTCTGATTCCGTCGAGGCAGAGCATGGCGACCTCGTGGTCGTCGCAGTCCTGAAGGCCGACCGAGAACGCCGCGAGGAAGGGAGTCCAGGCCAGCCGGAACATGGGCACGACGTGTTCGACTTGACTGGCGCACTGGAATTCCGCGTTGACGTGGGATACGGACTCCATGAGGGCATTAGCCGTCGATGCGATTTGTTCCAATTGCATGTTTAGCACCAGCCGTCTGCCGGTCGAAGCCGAAGGTTTCATCTTGATTTCGTTCTCGGCGATCTCGTCGTAGATGTTCGATAAATAATCTGCCGGCAGGTCGGCCGAGTCATTTATCCCCCTCTGGTTCTTGATGAATTCTTCTTTTGTCATTTTGTTCTTAATCTGGGGGTTGTGGAGATCGGTGGTCAGCATTATGATCGAAAATGCCAGTACGTACGCTGTGTCGGCGGAAGCGAAAACGCCGCCGGGGTTGTTCTCGAAATAGCGCGAAGCGAACTTCTGCATCAATCGATCGATTTTCTGAGACTCGCCCGGAATTCGGAAACCCTCGAGGAAATGCCTCACTGCCGCAACAATTCCTTTCTGACAGAAATCCATTTGGTCGATGTAAGCACACATGACACTTGTGTCTGGATCTCCGAGAACCTCTCCGACTTGGACTTTATCGAGCCGCGTCTCAGTGTGGAAAAATCGCGCGATTTCCTCCGGGGTGTCGCCGATGATCTTCTGCTCTTGGAGGAATTGGAGACCTCTTTTTGGTTTACGGTTGAAGAGCTCGATGCCCTGTTCGATGATTTCTTTCTGCTGCTTCAAGGCTTGCAGCTGTTCGGCGGAGTTTGATTCGTTGTCTTTGATCCGCGGAGCACCTTCTTCTTCGGGAGTTTCCTCGAGTCGCGGCTGACCCCAGTCTACCATGCACTTCAGGATGGACACCAGACACTCGAGCGACTTGAGCCTCATGTTCTTCTCATGGCCCTCGATACCAGTTTGCGCCAATCGCGAGAGATCTTCAACCAATCTGAAAAAACAGCGCATTCGGAATAGAGGCCTTCGAGAAGACGATTCTCCTGACTTTGGCACGGGAAGAGTTGAGCATTACCTTTCAAAGATGTTAGCTGCTTTCAGGTCGCAATCGTAGTTGACGTAAATATCTACAATGGATTGTGGATCGGCACAAAGTCGTGTCAACACTTGTACCACGTTCCACTTGTGACTAAACGAAGCAGACTGGCTCTCCAGAATGCCGAGCAGGATTTCCCGGAAGAAAACTTCGACCTGCATTTTCAGGTGGGTCTTGAACTTGTCCAACAGCGCCAAAAAGATCGTAACCTGGAACAGTCGATCGCTGTAGACCGCGATCTCGCTCATCTCAATGCTAGTAGCTCTCGATAAGGACACCCGGGGAACCCTGCACTATCCTGTCAGGGAAGCGTCAACCGACTCACCGATATTTGGAATACTTCAGGGACCGGCGAAACGCCGTTCTTGGAAAGTGCTACGCAAAGGTACTGCTTGATGGCGTTGATGAAGACAGGGTTCGTCCGGAATACAGGCCCAGCATTCTGGATTACAGTCAGCAGCAGTTGCAGTGAAAGGATCTGGACATGAAAAGAACAGTTAGAGGCGAAAACCTGTCGTAGATCGGGAACCTTCGGTGAAATGCCTCGCATACTAATCCGAGGGCCTCGGCTCGCGCGGCTCACCTTCGACCGCATCTCATGCGACTTGGGATCCAGGGATTGACTATTTGCAGCTCCTTCGTGAGGGAGTGCCTTCATCGACAGCTTGCACAGAGACCGAAACACAAGAAAGGCATCCTTGTGCGTTATATGGGCGAAATGCGACGTCGTCGAGTTTTCACCGTCTTTTGCCACCTGCGAAGAAACCTTCCATGATCTTTGATTGGGATCGTTCGCTGACAAAGGCTAAATCTCCGAGGCAATCGCTCAATACGTTCGGCATGATGTGAGAATGGCCACTCGAGAAACTAACCTGACTGACGATTTCTTGGAGGATCGTGGCAACTACCACCTCGTCGTCCTGAGGCGCGCGTTCCATCCGCAAGAAGATCGCGGATAGCATTTGAGTTAAGGTCGCGATCGATGTTGTTTGGTTAACCAGGTTCCGCGATGCCAAATGGATATTATACGCAGTTCTGACTGCTTGAAGTACGGCTCCTTCGTGTACCTTGAAATGAATGGAATTATCAATTACTCGTTGATGATCCCGATTCAGGGACATACATGGGGCTTGGAGGAGCCGTGATTTATAGTAGTACCTCACAACAAGCACAGGTGAGAAGGGTGAGCAGGGCTTTGAGTATTTGTAGTTGCACCCTTTCATCTGTCTGAGGTCCCAGGAAGCAGCCGCAGATGACTTCGACGATGCGGTCTTGTCCTGATAGTAAATACCCATAGGCTACCAGTTTTTGCACGCAGTCCAATGCGATCACCGTGAGTCTTGAGGGGAAACACAGATTGAAGTTATAATTTTTTCGAGTCTCGGCTTTACGGACGCCGTCGGCTAGCTGGATGTCTGTAACAAGCTGTATACCTTGGAGATTTGCTTTGACAGGCCAATTCGAAAGGCGCCATAAATATGTGCGCCGCATTGGTCTCCTGAGCCTCGCAGGGACCAGGCAGGGCACCTCGTCCGCCAGGCTGTTCCAGGTCCGACGGCGGGAGGTCTTTGAGTGACTCCTGACATAGCTGCAGAATTATATTGAACGTTTAGCGCAAACTCATCGAATGTGCTTCGTCGAATCCTCTATTGAATCACCGCTCCCGACGGGATAATCACAGGAACAGAATCATAGCCTCGCAGATCGCAGCGTTCCGACAGAATATTCCGAAGGTTACCGACACGCTCGACGCCACAAATACGATGCTCTTACAAAACAATTAACGACTCCAAGTTGCCCTTTGTCCCGCGTGGGGAGTGACGGAAGCAATCCCGTTTTGAGGGAACACATTTTTCGTGGCAATACTAAATGTTTTCACGAGCACTCCGAATAAATTAATCATTTTCGTTCGACTCTCGGAGCGAATTCATCATGTTCTTCCTCCCGCGTCATGTCTGAAGTCCTACAGCATCGGAGTTCATTGGAAGAGATCTTTTTCCAAACGATACGCGTCTGTGTGTAGTACCGATCGATGTCGTTGGTTCGTCGGTCTCGCCTAATGACAAATATCACGTGCAGCCCAATAAGGATGATGGGAGCGGAATTGAACCAAGCTCCGACGAATAGAGACTTCAGAGTCATTCGGCAGCGCGTATCAAGACCACTTCCGCCCAGCGGATCGAGTAGAGTATCGAGCGTAGAGGCGCAGTGATGCATCAGCTGGTGGCTCGAGCACGTCATCAGCTGATGAACTCCGCACTTCAGTCGAGCGCCAAAGTATGCGCTCCAAACATATCGAGCACATATCGAGCCTGGGCGGGGCCACAATTCCGAAATTCCAACCTGATTAATTCGAGCTATCTGTTTGAGTGTGAACGGGGAGGCCAGCCCGACCTCTCTTGATCTTTCAAGAATCGGATTTCCACTTCGCGAAATCATAAACAGCCACCCACATCATAGTCGGCCTATGATCTCGAACTTCACACGGATTCCTCGGTCGAACCGTCAAATATCGATGGTCTGCGCGAGGAACCAGCCTCCTCCGACCAGGTTAACGCGCTCCATCGTAGAAAAACTTTGGATGACACCTGCCTGTCTTAACTGAGTGCACTTCTTAGAATCTTTTTCGGCGAGCAGTCTCTCGAGTGCTCTTCTAACGAAGGGCTGCCATGACTCTCCTGCAGAAGTCATTGCGGCCCCCTTCAGTGAACCACTTCTGTCGAATAATTATTGTTTTTGAGCTGCGGCATCGACTTCTCAAAAACACATCCACGTCACACTGCAGCCGTCGTCGTCCGTGTTTCTATTCGAACATTTCTCATCGAGCTCGCTGCTGCCGACACTACCGCGGATCCCCATCAACGACGAGCCATCGAATGAGACTTTTGCGGGACACGCGTCGGTTTCGAGCACTACCTACGATATTCAGAATGATGGGATGGCGGTCTTCTTGACCCACGGCATATCATGCGAATGTCGTCGACGATGATATCTGTGGGAGATAGTCGCGCCCCCCCCCCGCCGGATTCACTTATTCGTCCTGATGCTTGAGTTTGGAGTGAAATTCTGAGTAATAGCACCTGGTCAGATCGAAATCGCGGGTGCTGTCTGAAGAAAAAAGGGCGGAAAATGGGGTGGATGAGAGTGACGGATCAGAGGCTGGAGATTCCCCCCTTGGATACGTCGGAATCGACTGGAGTTCCGTTAGAGATCAAATCGAAGAAAGGAGCCGGCGCAATCGACGATGAGCTCTTGTCCGAGCGCAGCGCTGGCCGGAAGCGGTTCCAATACATAAGCATAATCTCCTGACTACAGGTGGCGAATATCCTTTGAAGCAATGGCTCTGATTCGTCTGATAAGCCACGGACGATCCGGACTTCTTATGACGCACCTGCGAGAGAGCAGTCAAGAAGCAGCAACAATGCAATATATGAAGAACGGGAGGTCTGACTGTGTCCGAACCTCAGTCAGAAGAAACATCTCGACTTACTTCGAGGGTGACGGAGGTCGACTCTTCGATCATTTATATCAATTGAAACGTTTACACGCGACAAAATTCGCGATCTCAAAAATGGTGATGGAGTAGCAGGTCGGATGTGAGTCGTGGGTTGATTGATGGAGGAGTTTTGATCTCGTGAGTCATCGGAAGAACACAAGCGCAATGGATTTCCAAGTTTACGCTCATTTATTTTCATGACGACCACCTCGTTGCGTCATCAAATCATCAATGACGACTGATGACTAGAGTTCCCATTTACCCGGACATGTCCTTGTCCGTCTTCTTGTCCGGTTTTCCGCATTTTTGTCCGGTTTTTGGTAATCGCCGATTCCGGAGGGGCTAATCTTGGAATCCCGGTCTCAATTGATCCGTGCTGGACGCTCCCTGATTCCCCTAGGTCAAGGCTTTTCCTGAGCGTTTGCTCCTTCTCACGAAGTCACGGAGTCGAAGTCTCACTGAGATTTGCGGATTCGCTCGGGGGCGAGCGCAGGCCCCATTGAAACGATTCCCACTTCTAGGGCCAGTTTACTGGTCTTGCAATCGATATCCGTTTAAGCGGCTCTATGTATCGATTATGCTCTATACTCTCTTTCTCGAGTTTTCTCCAACCCCGCACGTATACTCGAAGAACAGACGTCAGCTCTGGACGCGTGTCGCTTCCGACACGCACGAATCTTCTTCCGTGTTGTAAGTATCAGGTGTCGTCGTCCGCCAGCTCGTCAACGAGGTTGAATGGTTCAACCTCGCTCTGGCTTCGAGAATACCGGAGAGGTCGAAGCGCTCAATGCTGTCCGTGATTCCGGCAAGAAAATTCGCTTACCAATGCGACGGAATTTTCGGAAGAGATCCGAATTCCGAGTATCTATCCAGATTGTCAGGAAAAGATGCAGATGTTTTCAAATATGCTGTTGTTCCGAATGCCGATGTTGAGCGATCTTTCTCCATGTACAAGAATCTTCTCTCGGATCGTCGCCATAGATTACCGCCCATAAATCTGAGAAGGCATCTTTCCATTCAATTCAACTGCGATATCCTCTTCGATGAATAAAGTGACGAGTTGGGTTCCTTCCATTATCTAACGCTCCTGATTCCCTTCTGGTCATCAAACTTCAAGCGTCCGGTTTTTTGTCCGGTTCAGGCCTCGATGTCCGTCCGGAAAATGTCCGGTTCTTCCCGGATAAATGTCCGGGTAAATGGGAACTCTACTGATGACTGATGATGCACCGAGATGGTCGGATCAGACTGTCGCGGACTCAATCATTCAATGGAGGAAATTAGGAGATCATGGCCGCTCACAGACCAGAGAGCTCGATAATCGAGCACACTGATCCTCTCACCAACCGAAAGCGGTCATAGCCGGCGCAGCTCCGACGTAGATGCTCGATCGAAGTACATGAGCGACTGACGAGAAAACTTTGCCCTTTGAAAGGAGGTCCGTAGAACTGCGTCTGCTAGGGTACGACTCTGCGACCCGACTCCGAGGTACACCCATGACGGGAATATTCGCCACGAATGAATCTCTTTCGTTCAGTGCCTCTGATCCCGTGCCGCGGACGAGGAGAATTTCGTTCCGGCAGCGCGATCTGGGATCAAAGATCACGGCTTTGTCCAGGCATCTACGACCAGGGTGAGGGATGACGAAACCTCTCTTGGCCCAGAAAAACATGAAGGCTACTGTCCAATCGGCTCTACCTCCACTCGAGAACAAATCAAGGACACCACTTGCAATCGGCGCGCAAGTCGCCCTCGAGATATCCGCTCTCCCCTTCCTGTCCTCGAGTATATCCCTCTAGACTCTGTAATATTGAGATGACACTCGCCATGGATTCGACCGTGGTGCTGCTGTGTTGTCTCCTCGGCTCATCTTCTGCCGATCCCGTTGTTGAGGGATCTCTGGGGAAAATCTCCGGAACAATCGAAAAAATTCTTGACGTAGAAGTGGAGGCTTTTCTCGGCATACCCTACGCTAAACCACCCGTCGAAGAGCTCAGGTTCGCTAGGCCGGAACCTTTTGGACCTGTGGGGAACTTGGAAGCCACAGAGCTGCCGCAACAATGTCCGCAGTTCCCCATGCATGGCTCGGGTCGATACTCCGATATCGAGGATTGTCTGTATCTTAACGTTTATCGCAAACGAGGAACAACGCCAGAAGATAAGAAACCGGTTAGTCTCATCACTCTTCATGGTCCCCGTGACGTGATGGCGATCCCCATTCCCATAAGCTCCGATTTCTGTTCTTTCCGTCACATGACGTTCCCGCAACATTCACTGACTTGACTCTGAATTCCACTTTGAAGGTTTTGGCGACGATCCATGGCGGTTCATACTCCGCTGGATCATCGGCAGACGTGAATCAAAGCGCGAAAAGCTTGGTCGGCTTCGGTGATGTGATTCTCGTCAGCTTCAACTATCGACTCGGGATATTGGGCTTCGCGGACATGAAAGGAAACGCTCCAGGCAACTTGGGCCTACACGACCAGCGTCTTGCGCTCAAATGGATAAAGGAAAACATCGCGGACTTCGGCGGAGACCCGGAGAAGGTCACCCTCATGGGCGACAGCGCCGGCTCGATGTCTGTCGCTGCACAAATCGTATCAATCGCCGACAGTGACCAATTGTTCCACGCCGCCATATTGGACGGAGGAGTCGTGGCCAGCAACGGCTACTTGGAAGACTCTGAGAGCAGTTTCACGAGGATAAAAAGAATTGCCGAAATCGTCGAATGTCCAACAGAATGCTCCGTCGGAATGGTGACGTGTCTTCGGAGCCTTCCTGTCGCTGCTCTACTCGCGAATTCGACCACAACTTACGGCTCCACCAGAATCTCGATGTTCATGCCGACCACCGACGGCGTTTTCCTCCCGGAGGACGTGCAAGCCTACGTAGCGAACGCTTCCTCGCGCCTGCCCAAAATCCCTATCATCATCGGCTACTCGCTTGATGAGGGCTCGTTCTTCCTGGGCAGCGTGGGCGATCGTGAAATCGAAGGCTCGAACTTCGATTACACGAGAGAATACTCAAGATCTGAAATATTGGATTTCTGTTCTAACATCGGCGCGACGTTCAATTTTCCATTCAATGCCAGCCAGGGTGACATAAGAGAGAAAATCGGCAAGGTTTACGTAGATGAAAACTCCGGTGTAGCGAAGGAAGCTCTCTCCGCTTTCTTATCTGATGGCTTGTTCAAGTGTCCCATCAATGCTTTCATCAGGGATTATTCACGCCACAGCGATAAGGTGTTCGCGTATCAGTTTGACCGAAAGCTTAAAAAGACTTATTTTAAGCTTCTGGATCCATCGGTTTTAGGAGTTTTCCATTATTCTCCTTACTTGCACTTTGCGGGCGTGATATTCCTAGACGAAGGGCCTGTCGACGAAGAGGACAGGAAATTCGCGCTCGATGCCATGGACACCATCGCTAACTTCATCAAGTCAGCTGGAGCTCCGAAATTCCGCGGCGTCGAATGGCCTGAATTCTCGAGCTCGGGGAAAGTCTTTATCTTTGACGAGACGCCAAAGGTAGCGGGGAGCCTTTCTAGAGAACAGGTCTGCAAGGAGTTGTTCTCGATTGACCGTGTCGCTTGAGCTCGATTAGCTGGAGAGGGATATCTTGTTTTGATCTTCACATTGAGTAGGGACTCCTCGCTGCGAGCGCCCAATCCAAGTCTCATGCTCGTGAAAATAAATCTTTCGTTTGTTCACCTCGTACAGGGGAACGGAAGCTTCTTCGAAATAGTTCGATGATCTGACGAATACTTGGAATATCATCGGACGCATGATGCAGACTCCGCCCCGTTCGAACCATTTCCCTCTTTCGCAGGTCCCAAACCCTAATAATACACACGTCGAAGGAGGATTCGGGTATTCGCCCCTCCCTCGAAGCATCATCCGCCCCCCCCCCCCTCGGAACGCTCCGGAGTCCGCCTCTAGACATAACCGTCTGACCCACGAGTTTAGGTAATCGGGGCTCATCCCCTCACAATCAGACCCGGCTTTCACCACTCTCCTACGGTGATGGTGAGGATTTCCTTCCTGAAAATCAACCATTCCAAGGATAACTCTTCGCCCAAGCAACGGATTCGCGCGCCAGTACAAGTGGCGGCCTGCTGCTCGTCTGCATCCACTGGCTGCTAAGGCTGAGCGGTTCTCGACGCTAAACGTCAACGCGCGCGGTTTGACAGTCGTCGACCTACGGGGATGTCTTTAGGGCGCCGTCACTCAAGACGCTGAAAAGCACAACAACAACACATCACCACGACTATGTGTATTGTGTGTATGATCGTAGTCGATGTCTGGGATATTTGTGATCAGGTGGTACAAGAGACACATCGCCGGCTTTCGTGTCCTTGTACCGTTTTTCTCACGGCACGATACAGTGATTTTTCCGGGAGGGAACGCCGAAACAAAAACTTGTCCCTGTGGGTGATTGTTCGTTCAACGGATCACAGCATTGGAATTGGCCATGGGCCTCCTCGATCTCTGCATGCTCGCGTGGCTAGCGCTCTCAGTTCACGCGATCGTAGAGCTCCCAGCTTATAGAATGCAACATTTCGAATTGTTGGGCATCACCAGGTGAGGGGAAAGTCTTCCGAAATTACCGAAAGTCATGTTCGCTCGCGAGGAATGAAGTAGCATTCGCTCGTGAATTCGGTCCAACTAGTCTCTTGTGATCCGTGTTCTGTCGATAGAGAAGGATTCGTAATAATTACAGTTGGGATATTCCACACGCTGGATGATTTATTTTGAATGATTCCGAAGAAGATGGTATCACCGGTAAATATATGGGATCCTCCTGAATACCGTAGGGATCTAGTTACATATGTACGCGGATCGCTCCGAACATCGGACGTCGATACGGCGTGCTGTGGTTATGTCTGTGATTAGTCCCCGCGGATCGAACTCTCCGTGGATTATCGATCCGACGCTCTGAACTGTGTTGAACGCCCGGCCTTAGCCCCGGTCTTCGTGTTTCAGGGGGAGCAAAGCGTACTCGCTCAATGGTGAAGCTGTCACGTGGTCAACACTGTCTGGACTACGAAGTGGTTCCGGTATGATCGCGCTGTTAAAGTGGTCGGAGATTCCATTGATCCGCGAGGCAGTGGCGAGAGGTGTCTTCGGCGTGATACTCGTTCTGCCACCAGACAGTCCCGAGCTCCCGCCCAACGAGGATCACATGGCGAACGAATTCGCCCTGTTCGAGGTGAGTAGCTGATGAGGAAGTTGGGGGGATCCTTTCGATTTTTCCGGCGTTGTGCTATCGGTGCGTCGCGTCGTGGCTGAGAGGGGCCCACGACCCGCAAAGGGGACTCGTGTTTCCTGACGGTCTTGTTCTTCCCAGGAAACGCATTCGACCTCCATATACATTGTCAAAGACAGTCCAGAGATCCGAGAGGCTTTCGAAAGGGCCCACCGACCCAATGCCGGAGCCTTCGATTTGGGAAGGCTCTGGTCCGGAAAACTGACACAGCTGACGATCACGGCACCAGCGCCGCAAGTGGTGAGCTTCCGGTTGCACGGACCAATATTTCTCGATTCCCATCGCCGACCGCTCCTGATCTCAATGAATTTTTTCGTCCCCCGTCAAGATCCGACAGCCGCGTCTACCAACACTCCACGGAATGTTGCCGGGATTCGGAGTCCAAGAGCAGTTACCCACCGTTGCTGTCGTCGCGCATTATGACGCTTTCGCAGCCGCTGCCGATTTGGCCTATGGAGCCGATTCGAACGGATCTGGGATTGCCGCCGTTCTGGAGCTCCTGAGGTTGTTCTCACGGTTATACTCCGGCGATAAAATGCATCCCAGGGCGAACCTGATTTTCGTTCTGAGTGGTGGAGGAAAGCTCAATTATCAAGGAACGAAGAAACTCGTCGAGGACGCAGTCGAAAGCGCCAACTCCGACAGTATCCTCGCGGACTCGCTCTTCACGATATGTCTAGAGTCTATCGGCTCGAAGCCGGAGCTCGTCGCCCACGTCTCGAAGCCTCCTCGGCCGGACAATGCCATGAGGAAATTCTTCAATATCTTGAATGTGACGGGCGATGTCCCGATGGTGCACAAGAAAATTAATTTGGCCGAAGAGATGCGAGTTTGGGAACACGAACGGTTCTCATTGAGCAAACTCCCCGCATTCACTCTCTCCTCGCTCGCGAACCACAACTCACGCAGCCGGTAGGTGAAGATTCTCGTGCGAAGTTGAGACGAGAGATCGCCTCGCATCGAAACCTCCCCCCTCTCGGATTTGAAAACATATTATTTCTTCCTCAGCATGTCTCTGTTCGATCAACGAATAGACATTTCCGCTTTGGAGGAGAACGTTCGACGTATCGCCGTGGCCATATCAGCCTTCGTCTACCAGAGACCTGCGGAAGTAACCGACGAGTTCTTCAAGGGCGAGTTGGCTGTCAGCCGGGAACATCTGCAGGTAGGCAGGGTGGTCCATGATTAGAGTTGATCACCCACGACGAGAGAGTCCTGGGTGACCCTGATCGAAACGGGTGCTGATGATTCTCTCTCTCACAGGCCGTGGTCGATTTCGTGACGAGTCGGCCGAGATCAACGCAGGTCCTGCTCGAGAAGTCGAACGATGTCGTTTCGAGCCTGGAGAAAATGATGAATCGATACTTGCTGAAAAGCACCGCAAAGATTTCTATTTTCGAACCGGATCGCCGCGAGCCAGAGTTCGTCTTGTACGACCAAACTGCGGCGACGTTGCAGATCAGCGAGGTATGAGCTCGGATCGCATGCGAAACTCGGCGCTGTGAATCGCTGGAACCGAAAATTGAGAAGATGGCTAACAATCACCCATTTCAGGTCAAACCCGTGTTGTTCGACATACTGCTTTTTTCGATCATTGTCGTCTATCTGGCAGTCGTCTACGTTTCAGTCAGCGAGTTCGGACTCGTCGTGCGTGCGCTCAGTCCGAGGAAAGCGAAAAAAGTTGACTAGATATTTTTTAGGATTCGGTTTTTGCTCTCGGGAGAATGTTGGACGATACGAGTGACTGCGAGCTTGAGTGCTTGCCTTCAAAATCCGCCATGAGTGTCTGGGATTCGACGGTGTGAGCTCAACCTCCGACGGGCTGTCGCTTCGTTGGTACTACATATGAAACCTTGGTCGGTAGTGTGAATGAAGATGCTTGAAGTTGGGATGGGTGGGCGATACGAGAATTCTCTGACCAAGCCGGAGGGGCATAGGTATCTAATTATGTGTCCAAGACTTGCGATTGGATTCCGCTCATGGATTTCTAGTCTCCGGAACAATGACCTTCATAGTGAAAAGCGAGCGGCAAAACAAACTTGTTGAGCATTTTTGATCAACGACGAATTCCCAAAAGTGCGTCTGAATGTTGTTTTTTCGGGGACGCAACTGTCACGATCACTTAATTCCCTAATATCGCACTGTACGGTCGGTGACGGTCTCCCCCGTTTGATCCCGGATCACTTCCCAAGATCGTCTGCTTGATACATTTTGGCTCATTGCATGAGATCCGTCGATGGAATGCCTGCGAATCCCGTGCAAAGGCCAGAAGGGTGAGGATAAGATAATTTCAGTAAAGCATTCGGCGCTTTATTCCTTCTGATTTTGTTTGAAGCGCGGTCTTCCCCTCGATGGGCCAATCGTTAATTCAGGCTTCTCATCCGACACACTTTTGATGAGAATGTGAAACACTTTTCCATCCGAGAACGTGTGGTCCCACAACCCCGACTCACTAATCGGATGTTTATTTTGTATACGTTCTTCCGGTCGCAGCCGGGGTTTTTCAATAAATGAATGTGGATTTTCGGAATGGATGCCGCTTCCATATCATCACTCCTCGATGCGTTCGGGATGGGGCATCTTCAAGACATGGAGGAAAGATGACTCGATAGATAGAATGAATGAATAAATCACTCGGATTGCGACGGATGCACAAGCAGTTCAGAGACTGGTATTCCGAAGAGGTTGGCCGATTAGTTCTCGGAGACCCGCCGACGGTACAGATCTGTCGTCATGGGGTTATATTGGGCACTAAGAGGCGCGTCTGATCGATAGAGTGTGGGATTCATTTACAGTACGTGGGATTTTCTTGTCCGCACGGTCTCAAAATCGCTTCCGATACCTAAACATCATCCTCGGCGAAAAATATAAATATATCCATCTTGAAGCTCCTGCTTTCCGTGAGGTTCCCCAAACTTGACTATTCATCTCCAACATGTTAGTTCCGAGGTTTTCATTCATATAAACAGTATAATGCATTGCACATACGGAGCCGGAGCGACTGACTGCCGACCTATTGCGCGACCGGCTCCACGAATTCGATTCGATGTGGCATGGACCATAGCTAGGGATGTAAATTTTTCGCAGACCGCCATTTTTCCGCGAATATTCGCGGGAATTTCCGGCCACTCCCCATAGAGTTTCAATGGAGGCCGCGAATTTCCGCGAATTTGGCGGATATTTTCCGCGAAAAATTCACATCCCCAACCCTAGCGTATGTCGTATAATCCTCAGCGGACCGCTGACGCTGCGGCAATGCACTGCTGCGTTTCTGTCTCCACCACCGACGAGAGGCATTAGCTCGGATAGAAATCTGAAGCACAATATGAGCAGCGAGGATTCTGAGGGGGAATCCGGTTCTCCCGCACGGGATCCGCGCCTACAGTTGTCAAGACGCCACTGAAACTGACCGACGAGCAGGCCATCCGAAGGGGTCTAGGAGAGGATGGGGTCGACATCGGAGCGTCTGTTATTATCGTCGTCTGGAGCTTCCTGGGTGTTGCTCTGCAGAAGCAGGGAGTAGTCCTTCTGGAATGATGAGGGGTTTCGCCGCGATCAGTCCCGCACTTTGGAATGAGCGGGAATTCGAAATCTCACCGAATCCATATTTTCTGACGGAGGAGTCGAACCGCGCCGTCTTACCTGAGAAGCATGGAGATTCTGTCGTTCTCGAGCCATCGATACTATGATGTTCTCTCGTTCGTGGTAAATGCACAATTTGCGGATCGAGAGAACGCTCTGTAGTATCCAGCAGACCCAACACGTCCACTGGGCGAATTGAATGGCGCCCATCATGACATAGAAGCCGACGGTATCGATACCGTCTCCCGGATCGATCTCCGTGACGCTGGCTTCCTCGCAGCTGGTGAAGAGAGAGAAATGATACATCATTTTCCATAGGAGACGTATGCGTCTCTTGCGGCGCTTCCCAGTGCTCGCCCGGGGTCTTACTCATTCCGAGTTCGAAGAGGACCTACCCGGGGAAACGTTGCTCGATTGCCGCGCACCACGTGCGGAAACCATCCGATACGAAAACTGACGATATGAAGAGCAGGCTCGTTAGGGCCACCGAGACCACGCAGTCGAAAAAAGCGCCCAGGAAATTGCTGCAATTTCAAAATTGGCAGGATTCCCCCGTACAAAACATCTCTCCCCTATTGAGAGCCTGGTATCAAAATCCTAGGCACGCAGGATTCTTATCTCCTCTCACCTGTCGCGGCTCTGGTAATGCATGACACCGTATTTGACAAGATGCAGCATCGACATCAGCACAATGGCTACGTTGATTATAATCGAATAGTAGCAGTAGAAGGAAGATCCCCAGTCCGGAATGAAGTGTCCGTCATTATTGTCGAATGTTCCATTGGTATACAGGAGGCAGTGTCCTGAAAATATTGGAGGGGAGACGTTCGTCATTCGATCTCCGTGAGAGGACTCTGTCACCTCGACACCATTTCTAAGAACGTCAGCGTCGGGACTTGACAGAAAATCACCTTTGAAATTGCTGACATGCCAGGACATGGGAATGAGGGCAGCCATGGATAGCAAGAGTGTGAGGCTACACACCGTCGCTTGTGCCAGGAGGGGTATGTTACCGAGTGACATCTGTCAACGAGAATGATACAGTGAGAGTCGGAGACACGAAGTCAACGAAGATTTTGTCGCTTGCGGCAGAAAATGACTCATAGATTCCAATCAGACGCGGAGTTATCGCTCGTCTAGAGCTCATTTTCCCCGGGGCCACGTCGAGCAAGAATGGGAGCGCCGCACAAGATTGTATGTCCCCATGTTTCTCATCATGCACCTCGGAGAACCTACAGGGACGTCCAGTGCGTCTCAGTTTTCGGAGCTCTCGTCTCTCGGTCAGAGATTGACCTCACCTTTGACCCTGAGATTCTGGAATCAGGGCTGATATCCTTATGAGTGCAACTTTTTTTGCGAGCGGTCACTAATCGGGAATGAGGATTATCTTCCGCTATCAATTCGCTTGCAAGAGCAGTTGTTGCTCTTTGTTGACGAGCACTCCTCTCTCCACTCATTGGTATCCGCCAACGTTGGACGAATGCAGGCACCGAGGCGGCGGGGTGGGCCCCGCGATATTCTTGAGGTCCCGCCATCCACTGAAGGAGCATTTCACCTCCGACAATAAATAATTGTGTTTTGTTCAAAACACTCGTGTCCAGGAATCGCGATTCGGGTACATGGAGCAGACCAAAGAGACTGGTCACGTTTCCCGAGAGAAGGGCTCTCGCGGAGCGCAATCGGATGCATTCCTGAAAACCTTATTTCTCGATCTTCGCTTACCTTTGTGCGATGTTTCGAGCCACCTCGGCTAGCCCGCAACCGCTGCTGACTCCGCGAGCGAAACTCTGCCTCGCTGAACTGTTGCTAGGGAGTTGGAGCGAAATACAAAGAGAGCCGACGAGTTTGGAGTCTGAGTCACACTGTGACGCCAGTCCCTCTAAGAGCGAGCACTGCTTCATGGGCTGGAATCGTTTTATTTTTTTCTTGGCGAATCAAGGTACAAGGATTCAGACCGCTTGATTCATGTCCTCGTATCGATACGGGTGATGAACCCGATCTTTCCCAGGTCGCCTAGCGTTCACGCCATTCTGGTCGTTTTGATTAGCTTCTGATTGGCTCCTCGCGGAGCCGCAAGGACAGATCCTTCAGGCTCCTTGGAAGACTCGCCTGAATTAGGCAGAAAACCATTGCATTCTTCGATTTCCGTCGCTAGTATCCAGACATTGGAATCATTTCCAAGCGACTGTTAGCATTATTCGGATCCGCGCGTCACCCGGGAGGCGATGATTCGTAGTCGATGTCCTGGGATGCTCGTGCTGTTGATCGAATGCTTATAAGCCTTACTGATGGGGAATTTCGGCCCTCGCGCCCAACTCCATCCTGATCGAAGCACCTATTGCCAGGCGACGGGAAAGGAGGAAACATCGGGATCTCAGCGGACTCCTTCAACTGTGAGGTTCAATTCGGGAGCTCTCCAAGTTGGCGAGGGTCGACTTGCGGGGAGAAATGAGATAAAGAACGGGAGTCTCTCGAGTTCCACTAGGTTTAATTCATTCTCGAAGCTCTGAATCAATCGCGCATATCTACAATACAGAAGCGATCCGCAATCAGAATCAATCCTGTTTTCTTCCTTCATGATCTTTGTCATCAGCGTCGTCGTCATCATCATCGACTGTATCATCTTCATCGTCACCGGATTCATCATATTCGGGGATTTCCGTAGCGTATGCCTTGCGTCGGCCTTTCGGGCGCAGCTGCCGTTTCGAAAGAGTTGCCGCGTGAGCGATGTCTCTCTCCTCCTTTTCCATTTCTTTCTTCGTGAGCTCCGCCATGGTCGCGTATTCCTCGGCCAATAAACCTGAGGACAATTTGAGCACATCGATCAAACAATTTCGTGCGCGGAAAGAAAAAGTATGATTCGAACAATTCCGATTCCAAGATCCTTATCCTAACCAAGATTTCGATTCCACGACTCGAGCCTCACCTGTCATTTTGAGTATTTCAGCATGCGGTGATTCGATCATCACAGTGAGGGGGATACTATAATGCCTTTTCCGATCTTTCTTATGAGGCCTGATGTATAATCCGCTCCGGAACAGGAAGTTGTATCGCGTTCTGATGTGCTCAATTTTATACGACAGATAGCTGTATGGGAGAGAATCTCGGTTCTCAATTCATTCAAGGGAAGGCACGTTGTACCAAGGATTCGGATCGAGCTCGAGCGGATATAAAATATTGGGTGATTCAGGCTACCATGAAGTCTGGTCGAGTTGGTGAACTATAAATCAAGCGACTTGCGGCGATCTTCCGTTCATACTGACCTCGAATAAACAATATCCTTGTGTCGGGCCCCTATCGTATATAGAGCGAAATCGATTTTTTCTTCAACTTCTTCCCAATCATCCATCATAATATGTGGGGATTTGTTCAGCATTCTGGAGATATCGGTGTTGGCGAAGATTTTGGTAAGATTATTGAAGGCTTCGGTGTGAACCTGTGAACGAGTTGTATGGACTGATTGCATGGAAGGAATCCATCATATCACGCAAGAATGATCGGGATAATTTATATAAAGCTCACAGATGGCCGCCAGAAGAGGATCCCAGGATGAGCATCAATCGTCTCGGGCTGCAGTGTCGTGGTCCAGAATTGTAACGCTTTGTTCAGATCTTGAATCTAGAAATAGCGAGAACGATTACCCTCAGAGGCTCTTTGAGTCTTCGGGTTCGGATGAAGACTGATTGAAGCGGATGAGCTCGAAAAATTCTGAGAATGGAAAACCTCGGCTATCCTCGGTTCCAGTTTCAGCATTCGGTTCCCTTCGAAGCCATAGCATTCGAGCAGCTGGAGAATCCTCTGCCTGGCCAGGAAAGACGCCTGCGCGGTTGGGAAACTATCAAGTTGTATTTGTTCGAAAGCAATGGTTTTTTGCGACGGCTTGATAGTTCGTTTCCCCGGGATAAACTGGGGAAGAACGTCGACCATTGTGCTTACGGAGCCGAAAATTTCGGAAAAGCGTATAGGAGCGAAACTAATTTTCTCCAGAGGAGACGCACCATTCGATTCCTCTGACCACCGACGGTTCGAGAATTTGCGGCGACCCGACTCCGAGACGAAGGGAGATAAGGCTATGCGGTGCGGTTGATACAGGAATGCCTCAAACGGGCGTCACTGTGTTCAGTCAGGGAAGTCTGTCGATGATTCTGACAAAATCGCGCACCGGCTGAATCCACTCTCATCGAACAGATCCGGCCTGTTGTTATGGCTGCTGTGTGTAGGGAGCACTTACCGAATGTGTGAGCAGACAACTGATTGGCCGTATCGTCTCTCAGAATTCGAAAGTGGGGACACCGGTGTAATCATCCTGACGAAACTTATTTTCTTGTAACCTACCAAATTCCAGCTTCGGTGAGAGCGACCCCTAATCATTCAAATAGATGGGGGGTGATTTCACGATCGCGGCATTGAGATCACCGATTTGAATCGAGGATGGGTTCGCGCGCTCGCGCCTGCAGTGGTTTCGAAACGATCGTGTCCCATCGGAGAGGAGCACGTGGTATCCATGCTAGACTCGCGCGAGTTCTGTTACGGATCTCATCGTTGACGCCACGCGCTACGACCGAACTCGAGAAATGGTGGACGCCGCTCAAGGTGGGTGTTGTTTGCAGGATTTTGGGCCAGCTTCAAGTGCGGTGCGTGTCCTCATCGATTCCAGGGATCGTCGGTGCGGAATTATGAGTTCTTTCGGCACCTATCGAGTTCGCGTGGGCTGTTTCCGAGCCGGTGATGTCTTTCGAAACTTTCTCAAGCCGATGCCGAATAATCGATGACCGATCAAGGATTTGAATTTAGCTCTCCCGTTGGTGGAGTGCCTTGTTCCGTGAATTCGCGGTTCCCATTGTCGGGAAACCAGAGAAAGAAATTGTTGTTTTCGCGGTCGGGAAGCATTGTTTTGTTTACATGCGAGTAGCGAGCACGTGGAGATTGATGCGTCGTCGCCGGAAACTCTCGACTCCGGTCTGAAAGGTGTTCGCCATCAATCATCGTTGAGGTTTGAAGTTTCGGTCTTCGATTTTCCACGAGATCTCCGGAAAGATCGACGAGTGAGGGACCACAGAATGAAATTCTACTTGAGAAAAATCCCGTTGGAGCAACAGGCGCCCCTACCCTGACTGCGATGAGAGGAGACGCGGTGCGCCTGAGCCATTTATTCCGCTTCTCTCGGGAGACGCAATTCTAAAGTGTCCGTGTATGTCCTTGCAGTGCTGGGTTCGCCCAAGAAACAGAAGAAAGACAAATCAAAGAAGAAGAAAGATGTCGGCGAGGCTCAGGCCCATCAAGATTTCCGCATTGAGCCTTCCTCGGTGGCTCCGACTCTGGACACATCGCAGTGGCCGCTGTTGTTGAAGAATTTCGACAAGCTCATCATACGCACAAATCACTACACTCCCGTACCGCAAGGAGCATCGCCTCTGAAGCGCTCACTGAAGGACTACCTCAGTTCGGGCTACATTAACCTCGATAAACCCTCAAACCCATCGAGTCATGAGGTGGTTTCGTGGATCAAACGTATTTTGAAGGTAAAGTAAGAATACCGCATACGTTATCGAAAAATCTGCATATAACTAAACTGATTGATGATTGATGATGGGATCCCTCCAAGGGCTTGGCTGCCGCTGCGCTTCATCAACCTTTGTCTGGAGGGTTTCTCAAGTTCTACCCCCTCCTTCTAGGTGGAGAAAACCGGCCACTCTGGGACACTAGACCCGAAGACTTCGGGTTGCCTCGTTGTTTGCATCGATCGTGCCACCCGTCTCGTCAAGAGTCAACAGTCAGCTGGTAAAGAATACGTCGGCATTTTCCAGCTCCACGAGAAACCGGAGAGCGTGGCGAAAGTCTACCAAGTCGTCGAGAAGCTCCAGGGGGCTCTTTTCCAGCGTCCCCCGCTCATCGCCGCCGTGAAGCGACAGCTCCGGGTCCGTACGGTGTACGAACAGAAACTTCTCGAGTACGATGAAGAGAAAAACTCGGGAATCGTCTGGATGTCCTGCGAGGCTGGCACCTACGTCCGAACCTCGTGCGTTCACATCGGTCTGCTCTGCGGGACCGGAGGAATCATGACGGAACTCCGTCGATGTCGGTCCGGAACGAATCGCGAAACGGACACGATGGTCACCATGCACGATATCAAAGACGCCATGTACGCCTACGAGAACAATCGCGACGAGAGTTACCTGCGCCGTGTTGTCCGCCCCCTCGAGGGACTCTTGACAGACAAGAAACGTATTGTCATGAAGGACTCCTCCGTTAACGCCATATGCTACGGCGCCAAGATCATGCTGCCGGGCGTACTACGATACGATGCCGGCATCGATCTCAACGACGAGGTCGTCGTGATGACAACGAAAGGAGAAGCCATCTGTCTCGCAATAGCTCTCATGACCTCATCGACAATCGCTTCAGTGGATCACGGCTGCGTGGCGAAAATCAAACGTGTTGTCATGGAACGAGACGTGTACCCGCGGAGCTGGGGTCTCGGCAAGGCGGCTCTTGCGAAGAAATTGTTGATCTCCGAGGGTAAACTCGACAAGTACGGCAAACCGAACGAGAGAACACCCGCCAATTACGTGGAAGGTGTGGCTCCGGCGGCTGAGGCAAAGAAAGCCAAGAAGAGCAAGAAAGAAGAAAAGAAGCAAGACTCCGACGATGACGACGACAGCGAAGAGGACGAGCAGCCCGAGGAGCCGAAGAAGAAGAAGAAGCAGAAGTGAACTGTTTCAGTGGATTAAATAAATATGTGACCCCATGTTACATCATTATTACTACATTATTACGCTACCATCCCGGAGCGTCGTTTCGGGGTCGCTCACCGCCCAAACTTCCGTCTGTTTCTGAAGTTATTTCATCTCTGAGCTGATCACGATTGTCTGCATTGCTGCGTCATTGCTGAGTGAGACATCGGAGGCTCCAGAACTCTAGACTGACGGGTGCAAATTGCCGTGTAAACTCGGGAGACCTCATCGCGAATTGAAGCTCGTGTCCGTGTTTCTCGCGGATACTCGTCGCAGATTCGGGGCTCGAAAGTGTAAAGTGTGACTCGTTGTCTGCAACGGTCTGTCGCAGCGATTTTCAGCGCGAAAAGCCTATCCGTTGAAAATAAAATGTCTGTCCCAGTATATCCCTCGAGATTCGGAGTTTCACTTGCAGTCATAAGAAATTAGGCGTCATCGCTGGTGGTGGCTCTTTATTCATCATGCGTCGCCATCGCATAGCACAGACAGGCGCCGAATCCCAGAACGATATCTGGATTCGCTCCGGCTGGAACCGATACACTCCACTTACATAGTATCGTAACCACGAACGTAACGCGAGCTCTCACAATCAAAAGTGCACAAAGGGGTACGAAAACTCAGCAATGGCCAACCATGGAATGCTCGGAAAATCAGATGATTTCTGTGAAAACTGTTTCGATCCTCGTTGCTTGCCCTCTCCGAAATTTTGGAAAAGCAACGGAATCGGGGTGTTTTAGCTCTGAGTGACAGCGTCGGAATCTCTCTCGCCGATCCAGTCATGCAAAGGCTCAGACTCTCGCACAGTTTCACTCATTACCAGCGTTCCTTTTTTTCCTCGAATTCAGGCTTTTCCCACGATTCCATTGTCTCGCAGCTCCTGTTCCAAGTTCCGCGAGAGACTGAGGCTCATTGGATCATACTTCTACAGCAACCCAGATCATCGCCATCGAAATCATTGATATGATAATAGTTCGAAAATGCTCGCGTTCTCGCTCGACGAGCAAACCTATTCAATTGAATGAACAATCGAAAATGAGCTCCCTAATGAGCGAATCGATATTTGCATCTCGTTTACCGAATTCACTCTCCTACTAAATGTGCGGGGACATATTCTTTTTCATATTCAGTATTCTGTCGCCTCCACCCAGGTGGATCAAGCGTAGTTTTCCTTGTTTCTTTCGACGTATCTATGAGCAGATATCCCTTGTCTGCTGTCAACATATTCGGAAAACGATCACGAAGAACTTTGCGCTTGACGCGAACAATAGAAGTCGCTGTCATCACGACGCTACTCTTGTATGTATCTCTGACTTGGGCCAACTGTTGAACTCCAGTCGATCCAAACACCCGCTTTCGAACTTGCATCTTCAATCGAGCTCTTGTCCCGTTGAAGGGAAAGGAAAATCTCTGGAATTCCTCTCGCTCGTCCCTCTCCCCGACTAGTTGCCTTACCCTAAACTAATGATAAGTTTTCCCACAGTGGGACTGCGTTCCACCGGCAAGGAAGTCGCGCACTCCAATCGGCGACGACCCTGACTGGTCTCCCGCATTCCCATTAACGGAGGTCCTGCATCAAAAGAAATCGGTATCACCCTATCGGTGAGCCTCAAGAACTCAGGCAGTGTTCCCCTCTCGGAATTCTCCCCCAAAACGGGGATCATGGAATTCCCTCCTTCCGGATCGACGCGGTGAATCGATCATCGCTATGAGGTGAGCGCGGCGACTTCGCGACAGATCCCCTTCTGTTTTCGACCCCGAGTCGGGGAGGATCCGAGGGTTCTGGCGCCTCATTTTGATCGTGACATCATCTTTTAGAAATGCGGCTCAAGAGCGTCGACGATCATTTTCGCCACTCCATCTCTGCTCGCTCTCACTGTGAGACGGTACATCCCGGCGTTGCGATTGGGCTCCAGTCGGAGAAGCAAGCCAACCTGACCTTGCTTTGTATGCAGGATGCCTGCTCCCACCAAGTTGTCAGGATTTGGATCGACCTGCGAAAATGAGAGAGGGTCATTCCCGGGAGCGGATCGTCTGCAATTGAAAGAATCAGGACGAGCTAAGTCCTTCAACAGCCTCGGAAGCTCAATACTTACTCCCTGCAGGACCCCGAAACCGAAACCCGAAAGTTTCAAGGACTCTTCGGTCATCGCCTGTGTCGATTTGAAAATACGTTGCTCTTCTTGAGAGGGTTGCGTAAGATTCTTCCAACGCATGAAGAAGGCTTCGGCGTTCATCATTGTACCTTGAATGGAATCGATCGTCAGCAAACATTCCCGACTCGGGGCAGACGCGGCCATTTCCCTTTTCAATTGAGCCTACTACAACACAGGAGTTTACGACGCCGCGCCGCTAGATCGGGGCCTAATACACATCGGATCTCGTTCGGACACGAACCTTCGAGGAATTTGTGTAGGAACACGGGCAGTTGGATCTGGAATTTCTGTGGAACTCCGCAGTATGAGAATTGTACGCTGAGCTGTGGTTTCTCGATCTCGAAACCGACAGCCTCGATGTTGATCGTTTGCTCGACCTGAGCACCGGCCTCCACGGCCTGGTCTACCTGGGACGCCATGACTTGGATCCCTGCGAGACGAGAACTGAGTCAGCAAATTCGAATTCTCGATCCGCGATTTCCGGCTCGAGCTCGGTTATCCCGGCTTTCCCTTCCGGACACACGAACCGGGGCTTTTCCCGAACGCAGAATAAGTTCGGAGGCAGTATGGGGCAAGCTCGGCCAGATAAGGTATGCCGCCCTGCTGCTGACACCCAAGCCCTCCACAGATCTTTCCTGGGTCTAATGCCCGTCGTGTGCTTATCGGTTTCATGCAGCGCTTCTCACCTTCCAAGTCGGCGGATGCCAATGCGGCCACGAATCCATTCAGACGCACTGGACTCTTATTGCCGTAGAAGACGCTCATACGGCCAAGGCTCTGACGGAATTCAGCCTGGGGAGGGAAAGTTTTGGTACTCACAGCTGATTTTCCGATATCGCGGTGAATATCCAGCCGAAGCGATCATTGAACGCTGATCGAGACTAAGCGCTGTCGGCCCAGCTTCTCACCTTGATTCCAATTTGAAGGATATCGCTCTCGAAGAGAACACCCTGGTTTTTTAAAGTGAGTTTGTGGAGGCCCTCTTCATTTGTGGTGCCCAGCGACACGGTATGCTGTTCTTCCTGAGATTCATCTTTGACAGGACGTGCGGACTCCGGTATGACCTCATCACCCAAGCCCAATAGATCGACCATCCCCGACGCCGTGTCGGACGCCTTCGGAGGGGGAGCCGCCGGCAGGATGTCCTGCAAGAGGAGAGTTTAGTCGCAATTGGGATGCGATGACCTCGTAAGACTCAAAATTCTTAAAGTGTCTATCTGTCTAGCTCGACGGACCTGGGCGGCTTTGATGTTCTCCTTCGCAGACGCCTGGATACCCTCGGTCATGTTCGGTTTCTTTCTCTTGAGAATCGCGAGAATCGAGCTCTCTCGCTCGGCGAAAGGCGGCATCTCTTCCAGGACAGTGGCCAGGACATCTTGCGACGCCACCTGATGTGGAACAACAGCGTGATTGAGTCGTGCAGAACAAGGGCTTCGAGGGACAGAAATCATGGAAACATTGTTCCCCGACCATTCGCGGTGGGTGGGCGCGGACATGAAACTAAAGAGAAGGAAGGCTCACCTGGCTCAGAGCGAGATATTCGACAGCTCTCTGCTGGAGTTCGTTATCTGCGCATCGCATGTTCGAATCTTGCCGCAAGACGGCTTGGATTTCATGCTTGATTTCGGGGAACAAATTTATAAACTTGACATAGGTCGTCAACAGTAGGCAACGAGTTGGCAGAGAGCACAGATGATATTTGGAATGTAACAGGCGGAACTGGACCTGTAATGACAGACGGTTAGCGTTAGACGAGAGGAGCCTGCCGGACTCGAGGCTCGCCCCCCCTCGGGCGCGGCGAGGAAGTCGGAACCTACCATTGGTCCGGAGCGCGAATCACCGGCGATTAGATTACCGAACTCTCCCAGAATATAACCGGCGACTTTGACCATGTTCTCGTGACAGGCGGGCGCCTGGAGAGCCTCGAAAACAGTTTTGGCCGCGTATCCTTGAACGTCGTCGCGATTGATGACGATCTGTACAACCCGGTACCAGACCTCCTCGCTGACGTAGTCTCCCGCGATCCGGATCAGGTTCAAGATGACGTCGACGTACCACGAGTAGTCGGACGCGTATTTCTCGGCCAAGATCGCGACCTTGAGAACCATCTCTTCCCGGATCGAGTAATCAGCGGTTTCCAGGTACGACAGCATTTCCGAAACGATATCCTCGGAGTTTGTTTTGTCGCACATGGCGTACAGAAGGTCTACGGCTCGCTGACGTACGCTCACGTCCCGCTCGGATTTCAGAGCGCTGACCACGGTCTCCTGATGCCGCTTGACGGCTTCGTGAGAGAATTCCGACGTAGCTAAAAGGCACAAAGACTCCAAAGCCAGGTATCGGAGATTGGTCTCCCGATGCTGCAAGAAGGTGCCCAGCTGATTGCAGGCCCTTACCTGTGGGAAATTCAGCTGCGTTAGATCTCTCCCAACGTCTCTGTCACGGGTTTCGCTCATCACTCAACTACGAATACTACTGAAGTAAATTCGAATGGAAAAAAAAAGATCGGGTGTGGCGACCCCCGGGACCTTTCGGAGAACAGCTCGCCCCCGAATCTAAATCGTGGTTGAACCTACCAAGAGACTCGGCTCGACGGCGGCGCCGAGACGATCCATGTGGATGATGAGCGAAATCGCCTCAAACAAAACGGCGTTTTTGGCGTTCGAATGTTGGACCTTCTTCGACTTTGGCGGCTCCTGAGCTCGATTCAACAGTGTGTCTAAGCACTCGTTCAGTCGACCTTTCACACCAGGATCTTCCGGCGGAGGATAATTTTGCAGGAGACGCAACAATTTTATGCTGAGCCAGGGAGCCGGAACGAAATAGTACGTATAATCCTGTAGGTCGGTGTACGACGATGTGACGATCCTGCTCAATCGAGACACTGCCAAACTCACACAACCCTTGTACTCTTCCGGCGATCGCTTCGCCAAGGCGTCGATGAGGCTCACGGCAGCGGTCACCACTCCCATGTGAGGATCGTTCAGCAGATGGATGATGCGAGTGGTCCACTCTCCTGCAGGTGCAACGTCCTGATTTGCTCTGATCAGACGCAGTAGACACAGAGCCGCACTTTGTTTGACAACGTCTAGCGTGTCTCCATTGACGAGCAGTTTCGGTATTTCGTTGGCGAACGTCTCCGCCATTTCCCGAGAACCGATGTTCGCGATGCATTGCAGTGCGAGATTGACGTGGATCGGGTTGCGGGCACAGAGATCGTTCTTGACGCTCTGGATGATCAAACGCATGAGGTCGTTGTTCTCGTCGAGGAGAACCGAGATGAATAGGTAGCCGATCTGTTTCTCCGAGTACTTGTTCGACGAAAGCAAATTCACCGCCTCCATGTGACCGAAGTCGATATCGTGACCGAGGAGAAATATGAAGAGCAGTTTGCAGACGTACTTCTTCTTCTGGTAGCCGTCGAGCGTCTTGTCGCCCTTGAACTTGGAACGTATGTTCGCGAGTTCTTTGTTAATTCTCTTAATCTCCGCTTCCTTACTCTTGCAATTGCGGATGTCTGATATGAACACGGCCAAACCACGGATGCCGTCTCCACGCACCGCCGGCATCTTTAGGGCCATGTTCAGTCCCACCGATGAACTCGTCTTGAGGCCTGTTTTCGAACCTCGTTTCCGATTAGTCTGGGTCGAATAATTGACCAACGAAGCTCCTCTCGCTGCTTCTCGCGATGAGTTCTCGTCGAGCAGCGATGGGTTGGTCCCTCGATTGAGCGGTGGGTCAGCAAGTCAGTCGATTTTCCCAGTCAAGGTTGAGCTAGGTGGAGAAAACCTGTGTTTTCCGATCCTCGAACGAGTGGGTGCCGATGCTCGAGCTGAGCGTGTCCAGTGCACTGCACTTCGAACGCGCCGTCAAAATTCCGCGAGAGTGCACTGCTCGGAAGATACCGCTGATGGCATCGAATGGCACACTCACACACATTCACCCACTGGGTTCGGAGAGAACTCCGCGGAGATGTCGACGAGCATGCGCGCGCGCGAGTCAAGCCCACTGTTCGTTCTGAAAACCCACACAGGTGGCGCTCTCGTTGCCAACGGATCCCGTCGGGTATGGCTCTAAATTGCTTTGAATCACTTGCCCGGAATTGGTCAAAAAGCCGCGAAAAGGTCCAAAGAAATCCCATAGGAGGACCGAGCCGATTGACTGAGCGGTGACACTTCTCATCGTCTGGAACTCGAATCCCGTTCCATCCCGATGTCGCTATGAAACTGAATCCGAATGAGTTTCCTTCTATTCGGAAGCTCGATAACAATTCCAGGCTTCTCTCCGGAAGTCTTGAGTGTATTTTTTTCGCCCCGTTTCTATTCTCCTCTCGTCCCTGGGTATCCTTGCGACCCCATCGGAACTAGCCTGATCATAATGCTTCGGGTTTCGGGCATTCTCCAGACTTCCTCTTACGGAATTGTGAGCGATTCCCGCGGAAACAATGAGCTCGAGTCGCATCGATCGAGGGAACAAGAGCCTCGAGATCCTCCGAGGGACACGTTCAATCTTTAGGATATATCCCAAGTCAGACGGTCAAAAAAATTCGATGACGACCCCGAATTTGGTAATCAGTCGGAGAGCGATATCAACGAGACACGGTCCCTCCCTCCATCTCTCTCTCTCTCATGTACGAGGATTTGCGTGTAATCGGAATAATTTGCGAATGCGCATCGGGGGCCCAGAACTCGCGACGCTTTCATTCGATTGAAATGAAAGCTCTCGGCTGACCCTCCTGCGATGAAGATGCCGCCTGAGCGAGCGATCGGACTTTTTGTTTATTCGGCGCCCTGGAGGCTCGGCCCATCAAAGTCGAGCCTGTTTCTTCTCATCGAGAAGCTGTTTTAGCTCGCAGGAAGCATCTTCCTTAGACGACATTTCGAGACTGTCAGTAGAGAGTGTTTGAATCAGCGGCTTGAATACTTGCCTCGACTCTTAGCACTTCAGGATTCCCCCTTGGCGTGAGAGCTTCCTGATATCCATTTTTTCCCCCTCAAAAGACCATCTTTACTCGAAGGACCATCATGATTCACCCATCTGGCAGTCCTCGCGGCAGCGAGCAAACCGGATCGGTACCTTTATTCGGAAAGGAGGAGCGAATAAAAAGCCAAAAGAGGGCGCATCCTTTCCCCCAGGTAATATCGGATAAACTCGATGTGGAATAACTCTGGCCGTCCATGATCTGTCCTCTTCGAAAGAACACCTATCGATCTAAAGCAATCACCGGCTCGCTTCCCGGGATTGAACATCCGGAGGAAAAACGTATCGCGCATCGGATTCAGGACCCTTCCCCATCCTCTTTCCTGCTCCTCCACGATCCCGGCGGTGGGTAGCTGTATAAGGAGCGGGCCAGCGGGCAGACAGGCAGGAAGGCGAGCAAGCGACCGTCCGACAAGGACCCCAGTGCCCTATATTTTCCCGTAGGGCTAAGCAACTCTAAACCCCGTCCGAAATTTCCTCCCGATTCAAATCGACGCCGCACCGTCAGCCCTTGAGCTGATCGGTTTGCTGGCGGAGTTTATTCCTTTAGACTGATGATGATGTTGGATACCAGCCGATCTGCTCACGGATCTTTTCGGCGTCATCACCACCAAAGTTCGACAAGGCAGCTCCGGACCATCTCGGCTTCTGCCGCCGCGGCCCACACCACCGTCGACACATCCGTGGACATCACCATTATGTCGAGTAGCGCTTCTAGGCAAAGTGTTTCTTCTCCTCATGTTAGTCATGGAACCAACAATCACGATTCAGCTACAGCTAATTCAACCGCGTACGTTCTGTGCCGACGACGACGGAGACGTCGTAGTCGATGTTCTCGTTGTTGCTGTCAGTTAAAACAATCCGATAAACTACTACCGCACCGTTACGCTACCTCAACTAGAAGAGCCTCCGACGACGACGATCATATCTACAACAGCGAACACGGCTACCGAGGAACGAGCTCGAACCATTGTGAACCACGAACCCCGATCTCGGAGTCTCAACCCCGACTCGAACAAAGGTCAGAGCAGTGTCGCGCACAGCACTCGGCAAGCAGGAAGCAGTTTAGAGGAACTTCGAAGATGCTAGCTCTGACTGTCGTACTCCTCGGAGTGACGATCGGTGGATTCGTTCCTGGAGCTGGAGCGTCGCGAGAGGCTAAAAGGCTATTCGATGATTTGCTAAGCGACTATAACCGTCTTATAAGACCTGTGGGCAACAACTCTCACAAAGTCATCATCACGGTCGGCCTCAAACTGTCACAGCTCATTGACATAGTAAGTCCTGAAAATTGTGCAATTGTTCCCCATGCTCCCCTTTACGTCGTACCCGAAGGCGGCTCGGAGCCGACTCATTCGACGACCGCTAACGAAATTGGGTCCCGCTTTACAGAACTTGAAGCACCAAGTGATGACAACAAATATTTGGTTGGAACAAGTGAGTTTCGATGGATTTTACCCCGAATTTATCGTGAGGTAGCCCGATTCTCCTCTGAATAGGCAAATAAACATATCGAGGGAGCGAATCTTTCTCGCTTTCAAAGAGCTTTCGAATCAAAGGGCGTCTCTGCAGGATTTTGTGGACCCCGGAATCAGATGTTGCCTAAATTTCTAGGAGTGGGAAGACTACAAACTGAAATGGAACCCTGCGGACTACGGTGGAGTGGACATGATTCATGTACCAGCCGAGAACATTTGGCTGCCTGACATCGTTCTATTTAACAAGTGGGTAATCTCCTGTAACATGTTGACCGGCCTGTCGCAGCAAGAGAGTCAGGGATGTGGGGGGTCCGAGGGGAAAATATGCTAGATTAATTCCTGAATTTTCGTTCTCCAGCGCTGATGGAAACTATGAAGTCATTCTGATGAACAAAGCTACGGTATACTACACCGGCAAGGTAAGCACTTTCAGGCCGAGAAACCGTTGCGTCAGAAAATTATTGTTCGTTCCACGGGTCTTTTACTTGAGATTCCCGAGTCCATGGAATGCGTTCGATGCTTTCCCAGGATCGTGTCCAGTTCGCCCCCTCCGTTTTCTCTCCAGGTGGTCTGGAAGCCACCCGCACTGTACAAGAGCACGTGCGAAATCGACGTTGAGTATTTCCCGTTCGACGAACAAAACTGTTTAATGAAATTCGCCTCGTGGACATACGACGGTCATGAAGTGGATCTCCAGCATCAAAAGCAGAAGCCAGGAGAGGTCGTGGTTCAGACCGGAATCGACATGAGCGAATTCTACAAATCGGTCGAATGGGACATCCTGTTGGTGCCCGCCAAGTACAACAAGGGCAAATACGACTGTTGCGAAGAGCCATTCCCGGACATCACATTCAACATAACGATGCGTCGGAAGACGCTGTTTTACACCGTCAATCTGATCATACCGTGTGTAGGGATCTCATTTTTGACAGTGCTAGTCTTCTACTTGCCGTCCGACTCGGGTGAGAAGGTTACCCTCTGCATTTCGATACTCGTGTCTCTCACTGTGTTTTTCTTGCTGCTTGCCGAAATTATTCCCCCTACGTCGCTTGCGGTCCCCCTACTGGGGAAATATCTCCTGTTCACCATGATACTCGTCACGTTGTCTATATCGGTGACAGTCGGTGTTCTGAACGTACACTTTCGATCGCCTTCGACCCACAAAATGTCACCGTGGGTGCGGCGGGTGTTCATCCACATTATGCCCCGTCTACTATTGATGCGTCGTCCCGTCTATGAACTGATCCCCACGAATCGGGTCAAGTGCCTGGGACAAAACTGTAAACTCCATCCGGAAAGTAGCGCGGTTTTCGAGCATCCCTTCTACCAAGCCCGACAAAATCTCAACAATCGAATTCCGCAATCCGTTCGCCAACCTCAACACGCCCCTCCCAGCTGCAACGGTGTTGATACGAACTTCTGCGACTCGATGCTTCGAGGTGAGACATGGCTAGGGATTCGCGCTCCGGTCGAGCTGTGAATTTTTCCTGCTGTGGATTCCGGGATCGAATCAAGGTCGGACAGGCGTCCTGGAGACTATCGGTACACTTCATTCTAGGAAACCCTAACGCGCTACAGCTGGGCTCCATCCGTGCCTCAATGCGTTCGAGCCCCTTAATGGAAGACGTAGTTCTTCACGACAGTATGGGGAACCCTATCGGAATCCCCATGGGTCACATGGGAGGACCGATGGATGGACCCATGGTCATGCCTTTGGGAGGCGCCATCGGTGGACATCTGGGCGATTCTCTGACAGCTCCTGCCAACCCCATGGAGGCACTCGATGACTACGCACCAGCCCACGAGGCACCCAGTGGCATCCCCATGGGTGTTTTGGAACACCCTACCTTCCTACCTGACCTCCAACAGGCTGTTGAATCGATCATGTTCATCGCCGAACATCTAAAAAAAGATGATGAAGACGAAAGCGTGAGTTCTCCGCGGATTCCTCGACGGAAGCGTTTATTTACCGTGGCTTCAAATCGTCAAATCGGAGGGATACCGAGCCGCCTAATCGAGTCCACTTTTCAGGAACGACAAGATTGGAAATATGTCGCCATGGTTCTCGACAGACTGTTCCTGTGGATCTTCACCCTGGCTTGCGTGGTCGGAACAGCCGGGATCATCTTGCAAGCTCCGTCGTTGTACGACGATCGTGAATCCATCGACGTTCTCATGTCACAAATCGGCAGAGACGCCGGACAGGCAGCAGAGATCGCGGCAGCGACAAGTATCGTTCCTTAAGGCGCGCGCAGTAACAACCTAGGCAAGGTACGGTGCAAGCGCATGCGTTTTGTGGTCGCATACCCTGTCTGCGACGAATATCATCCGAATGTTCCATGTCCGTTGAGTTATGTATTGGGCGTTCTTTTTTTGCAGGTTGTTGAGTTGGTTTGTGTCCTAGTTGATTGGCGGCATAATTTCACCTCAACGATGATCACCTTTCTATCTTAACGTGAACACCTCGATCGAATAGACTTCAGTTTTGTCGGGCCCTCAGATACTGCGGCCACCGTCCAAAGTTGATTTGACCCTCTGAGATGTTTGAACAGGCCTGCCTGTAACCTTTAGCGAGCCGCTACAGAGAAAGCACAGCTTAACTTCAATCGGCTTCCTGAGCAAAAACCGAACCACATCGAACCGAAAACCGAACAGCTCCGATCTTCAAGTTTCGGATTTCAGTCACGTACCGATGCTGCGTATGCGCTGAAAGCACCTCAAGCGAACTCTCCTTACAAATGTAACTGTCTCTTCCCAAATCTACATACCCTGTCTACAACGAGAAACATTGCGACCCCAACGAAAACTCGCGGCACACTGACTTCAGCACTGATGTCAACGTACCTACTTGAGAATGCTTAGAAACGAACCTTGTTTCTGAGAACCCTTTTTTCCGAAGCGAGCTCGTTCAATTTCCTAGAACGGCTCCGCGCTGGCGGAGCCGAACATTCTGGAGCTCGAGAGGGTCGGCGGAAACCTAGTAAACGGGTGGGAGCTCAGTTCCCAGGGGAAAAAATTCCGAACAACGTCTGGCTCTTGATTGTTATCTATACCCCTCTTATACCCCCTGGCCCGATCTAGAGCTGGTCCGATTCTGTCCCTCAAGTATCTCTGTGTAGAGTTTCGACGACTACGACGAGCACCACTAATCATTTCTAACGATCAGAGACATTAGTCAAGGAGTTCGTTTAATACTAGCCAAGGTTCGATTCCGACGCAGTGAATTCGCTTCTAATGAATTTTCTTGTCGCTATTGCAACGTAACGAATTCGCGCGAGGCGCTCAACACACCGTAGACCTTGCGCGAACTAGGCAGTGCTTATGGAGAGCTCACATCAAAGTAGAGGGTACCACCCGTACGGAATCAAGGGAAGAACAATTTTTCCGTGACGAACAGAGCTGTGACTCGAAATGTAGTCGTGGTAGAATACATCACACCAACCACACATAAGTTATCTTGAACCGACCATAGGCAACTTCTGTTGGTAGATTATTGACCATTCCCGCCCAAGATCATCGGGCGTTTCGTAGAGCGTACCACGTGCGGCAAACGAACAGACACTCGGAGCTTCGACCCGTGGATCGAGTGCAATTCCAATTGGTGCTCTCTGACTGCAACAATGTCTCATCCCACTCACTTCCATTGCATCACCCTCCCGATCATTATTATCGGTGTATTCATTATAGTTCTAATCATTGTGGAACTCATCATATTTATTATCCTATATGATTATTATTGACCTTATCGTCATCGATTGATGTTGTTATCAATCTCGATGGGCTTACGAACCTACGCTTGAGTTGATCCGTGGCTTCACAAATATTTTCTAGGCAAGCAGCAAATACCAGAAGCGGAATCCGAGAGTTGGAACGAGGACCGCCACGTCCTCTTCATCGGCATCCGAGGAGCCGGGAGTCTGACGCCCCCTGCGTGCTGAATTTCCCCCCCTCGAACTAGACGTGCAAATACTGGCAGCTATGGCGTAAGCGCCCGGATTTCAACCACCTTGGAATTTTCTCCAATGAATGCGATGCCAGATGTCGAGCATTCACCGTCTCGACTGCGGTTTCAAATTGAACGTGAAGTCAGGAACGAATTGATCCTGATAAACGGAAGCTAGAGTAGACCATCTCAATATCATAGAGCTCCGGATACCCGCGCTCGCGTCGTCGATAATGTTGACGCGGAGTCGTGGTTCGACTCGGCGGGCTGAAGCTGTCGATTCGGCACCGGAAGTGTCGAATGAGATACGCACTGAGGAAAACAATCCAAAACCAGCCCTGCGCACAATGATGAGCGATATCTGAGTGCAATTCTCCGGAGGGCTCGCTGAGTTCAACATCACCATGCATTGGATCCGGAGTGTGGGAATACCACTTTCGTGGATCGCGAATTCTGAAATCGCACGAATTTCGATGTCTCCCAAGATTGGCTTCTTGTTCAAGTGGTCGGCTCGTGAGCTGTCCAACGTAGTCGAGAGTTCTGAAGGCCAACTCTGGGACACGAGAGCGAGACCCATGAACGTGAACACGCTGGAATCCAGAGAGATATCGAGATTCGTATCTCTAGATAGACAATGTTCGTCCTGCTTTGGGCTGATTGAAGAGAAACAAATGTTCTAATTGTAAGTCCTCCTCATGTTTTGGCATGGGAAATCGCTCACCGCGATAAGTTCCCTAATCGAGTGAATCGGGGAAGCGACGACATTCTTCCCTCGGCAGCTTTTCGCTCTTTCCCCCCAACGGGAGTTACTATTTTCCCATCGGGCGGCGAAGAGTTACATTTAGGTTGTTCTGATCTGGGGGCTTCCTTCGAGGTAGCGGCCTTCGTTTCTGAGCTCGTCCTTGGGCAGAGAGAGGAAAAATCCTTAGACGTGGAACGATTGACCGGGAATCGGAGCAGACGATTCGGAAGAAATGTCTTGCATCCCAGGATCAAATTATTCCTCCCCCGAATCGCCGATCCGGTATGGAGAAGCGATTCTCTTGAAGATGAGAAGGTTCCGAGCCCGCTTTGCGAAAACTATCGCGACGACTCGGATCGATGAGACCTATGTTAAGCATCTGATCGCAATTACGTCTTTGTTCGGGAGCGATCCCTTTCTAGGTGAAAATAAGTCAATAAACCGACTTCGCAGATTATAGGAGACACCAGGGACTTTTCTTTGGAAAATGGGATGATCCTCCGGGAACACCGAAATGAGCTCACGATATACTACATGTACCGCCAATTCAGGGTGCGAAACAGGCAATCGATGCATGAACATCTCCAATTCGATGAAGGCGGTGTGAATTGCGACTCTAATGGTGCAGAGGATGGCGAATTCTTGCATGCCGTGTTTTTTGTTCGGTCCTGAGCTCGTTGCGTGCGCAACTAATCGATGCTTCAAGTTCATGATGATCAGACGCGGGTCAGTTTTCCCTCTCGTCATCTGGACGGGTATGAGAATTGTGTCTGCGTTCTCGAGGCTACCTAGCGCTAGAGACTGACGCTCCTCTGACGCTTTCCCTTCAACTCCATTGTTTTCCCCTAGAATTAAATTCTCCCTCTCCCCCTAACCAGTCCGCTTCGCGCCCGATTCCCTATTGTCCCCCGACACTTCTGAAGTTCTTTCTCTCCGATGTCCCACGTTCACGAAATTTTTACCTATTCGACCTCCCAATCTCTCAGGGTTTCCCCGCGCCCTCTCCCTCACCTTGTTGTTCTTTCCGGGCTTCGTTACCCCCTGACAGTCATTTGCGCCCTCCCGGGAGCAAAGTCTCCCCTAAAACCCCGAGGGTTCCGGAGCAAGAGATCCGCGAGCTCGACTTATCGAGGGTTTATTTATAAGAGTCTCCTAGAACTCCGAAAAACGAATCGATCGGAAAGCTGCAGATTTCGATGGAGGCTCCTCTGATTTCCATCATTTTAGGAGAACTCTCTATAGCTGCTGCCCTCCTGGTCCAATCGACGTGGGATGATTGGATTGGAAGGGCAGATTGGGTCCTTGACGGCGCAGAATCCGCCAGAATCGATGTCGGCGACGCACAGGAATTCCGTGCATGGGTATTCTGGGTGTTCTGATCAGCCCCCCTCCTATAAAGTCGAGACCCCGCTCCTGTTCGAACTCATCTGAACAATGGTGGTCTCTGACAGCCTAAACAATCGCTCTTCCACGACGCATAGAGCCCTTGCGGTCATGTAGCACGTTGAAGCTGCTCAGGTAGGTGTTCAAGCCATCGCAGCATTTCGTAAGCGTGGCGAGGAATGTTTGCAACGCGACATCGTTGCACTGCATGAAGAATTCTCTCCGGAAATCGTCGGTGTCCATCACTGGCAGCTGGCGGCAGAGACTGAAGATTTCTCGGAGTATCGATCGATTAGGCTTCAGAACGCCTTGCTCAACCGCTCTGACATACTGCTCGAGAATTTTGATCCTACTGAGGAGCATTTTGATCGCGGAATGTTGCGTCCGTAAATGCTGGGATGCGAGAGACTCATCTCGAGTCTCAGCAATAGACAATCGCGCCATGTTGTCCAGACCGATTCTCTCCTCTTCTTCCGTCACAAGTGAATAGGGCAAGTTGATGAACAAGGTCGAGGGTTCCTGGAGAGTCCGGAACCGTGGAAATTATGAATACAATCGATTGGTTCCAAAATCTATCACGTCGCGTTCGATCTAGGAGGACGGATCTCGATGCCGACGCTCAATTAATTGCACTTTCGAACGAACCTTGTCGACCATTTCTATGACGGACTCAAACATCGCGATAGGCAAGCGATTTGAGCGATCTCCGGCTGGATTGAGCTTCATCAGAATGGCGCTGTCGTTGAGAGCGCATATTTGTTGATGAACTTTGACGTCGGACCCAGTTGGTTCAGCCCCCGTCGTGTACCAACCGACGAGCTCGAGGTCTTGGAACACCTGTAAGGGAGAAGCCTCCGCATTGGCAAACCTCTCTTGCGGATGCTGTTCGATGGGATAGGTCGATCTGACAAAGCCGCAGCTTTCTGACCTGTCGGTATTGCCGCTGCTGACCCTCGAGGAAGTCGAGATTGATGATGTCCGAGTCTCCTCCTTCTTTGTACAGCTCGAAAGAGTTGAACACCTCTATCGTTCGATCTTTCTGCTTTCCCAGCAGCGCTCCGAGGACCTAGAATTTCACAGAAACCTGGCTGGGGAGTCGATCAGCCTCGGGTCTGAGATCTCTGAGGGAATGCGGGGCGCTCGCCGCTGCTCATGTTCGTCATTTGGGATCTCCTCGGACTCCCAGCCGAACCTCCGATCGAGTGACTTCGGATTTCTTTCTTGATCGATGCATGAGTAAACGGAGAATGCCAGAATTCGCTCTCGAATCATTTCCGTGGATTCGACAGCACAACCTACCTGCTCGGCGCGCCCATTGTTCTGGGCTCGGATTCGAGTCCAATGATCGGATACGTTCATTATGACGAGGGGATGCAGTAAGACTGAAACACTGGGATGGACGGATGGACTCCCCATCACGCTTGCAACTACATCGTTCAATGTCCCCACAGATGGGGCGGCGATCAGAGCCGCGGTTTCGCCTTTGACTTCCATGACTCCGCCGAGAAGTCCAAGGCTCGAGGAGCGGGAAATGTCTTCATATGTATGCAGATCATCTGATCGGACGTAAACAAGGTAAGGCAGACGAACTGCCTCGTACTTGCGCTTGAAGGCCCCGAAGAACTCGGCCAAGACGTCTGGATCCGGGTATACTTGCCTCATAATGATTCATGGTTTGCTAAATCGATTCCCTGCCGGGCTTGCCGCTCTCCCCTACGCAGGACTCCTCCCTCGGCTCTCTGGGTATACCGATGTTCTCATCATGGAATCTAATTGTGAGCTATGTTTTATGTAATATCTTCTCCATCTCAGCCAGACTGCTCATGACTGACATCAAGGATACACTTCGAACTTCTCGAGAATCTTGAAAATCGTAATGCGCAGGTATTCGGGGACTCAGCGGGCAGAGAATCTTCGAGAGCGGCCTCCTCGGCCTCCGTCGCGTCCTTGAAAGGTTATTCGGTCGAGCCTGAGCATTTGGCTCCACCTAAAGCTCACAGGAGTTTCTTCTGCATTGACTGATCGGCTATTCCGGGCCCATCGTCAGGGCCCGGAGTGTTCCACAGTGAGCCGAACGGTCGCTGGCACTCCGAGATTGAAATCATAGCTACATATGCTATCTGATTTCTTCGAACATGCTAGCCGTAAGCCATCAATCAGAGCTCGGGCGATTTTCGGGTTTCTTAGAAATGGTCGAGGCTCACCCTCGAAGAATCGAGATGTCATACGAAGGGATTTCCGGGTTTTATGCTTCGAGTCTCTCATCGACAAGGACCATGTGCTCCTCCATCCTAGCTTCGGACTTCCGGAGAGTTTCTGCGACTTCCCGTCGTTGAGCTCTCCATTTGTTCAGGAGCTGATACAGACTGAGTGCCGCATCCAAGTTCAAACATGGTTCAGCGATGTCAAATCACGGGAGACGCAGTGAGTTTCGTGTTGCTTCATCTTGAGGATATATTCAAATCAAAGAGGAGACATGGGATCTGGAATTCTCCCGCCCCAGAGACAAGAAGTTTACCGGAATCGATGCGGATCCAATTACGGAGTCTGATGCAGTCATCATCATTATGCGTAACAAGGATGAAATCCAGGGAGAATCCTGGCTTTCATCGAAATTCCCGTCAAGAATCCCCGTTCCCGCCACACGGAACGTCGAAAGATATCGCGATGATATGTCGAATCATATTTCATTTATTGGGTTCCAAGTTCTCCGGATTCGACTAGTTTCCCGGGTCAGATGTCTGCCAGAACCTTAGTGAATTTGTGCCGGAACGAATAGATTCTTGACCTCAGTGTAATTGACGGATCAATCATACTGATACATAATAATCATCTCTCCGGGAGCCGCTGCCCTTTGTCTCCTTTCTCCGTCTCTGCGTGTTCGATCCCTCGGAAGCTCCTGCATATCAAGGAACAATCAAGGCTCCTGAAGTCAGACCCCTGCCTGCAATTGAGATTTTATTCTTCCCTGCGCTCAAACATGCATTCGGCGTCGGAAATTCTCGAGCAAGCTTCGGCATTCGATCTGCCCCAACTCAGCGTGAATCGGATCCAGGTACATCTACCTTGAGTGTGCGGGTGAACGTCAGACTTGACCACAGGATGCGTGGAATGTATCTTCGATTCCATTCTGAGCCAGGGTAAGAGTGAAGTCACGCATAAACTCACGGAGCGCGGCGTTCGTTTTCATTAGATGGGAGATGGGAGTTGCATCTGCCTACAATACCCAAGCAGCAATCGACGTCGCCAAGTCGCTGGTACTCCGCTTTCTCCCGTGCTCGATGTTCGTCCTTTTTTGTCTCCCGTCTTTATCCTTTTTCTCCTTGCTCGATGGTCCTCCCCTCCTTCATCTGCACCTCCCAACCCATTCTCACTTCCCTTCGGATCAGTATTTCCTTTTTTCCCAGAATTTGTCAGTCCTCCCGTTTCCTCCTCCGCTCCGTTGGCCGGGCTTTCCGCCCTCGTCTCATGTTCCACTCCCCGTTTTTTCCCCTCATTTACTCAATTCGAGTTTGATTCTCTTTTTGAATACTCGGGTGATCGGAATCTCCGAGTAGACAGGATGGCAGCTTGATCGGTTCAAGCTGCGGCCGGGGCGGCGCCGGTGGTAGCTTGTCAAGCAGCGGCAATACACGGACTTTTCAATACACAATTACTATTTATTCAGAGTACTCGTTCGTTAAGAGCTTTTCGTTGATCATGACTCTCGAAAGGAAAATTTCTCGACATCTAAAAGGAAAGCATCGCTCTCGTACGCGAGTATTTATCCTGGTCAAATGGGGGCTGGTCGGCGCATATGATCGTTTTCGAAAGGACTACAATCTCGTGGGTACGGCAGAAAGGCAAAGCTCACTCTTAACGGGAAGTACGCCATTCCCGCCGCCCGACGTGTGTCCGGAATGGATCGTTATTTTCTTTGCTGTATCACCACTTCAGCAATCATCGGCCATCTGCGCTTATGATTCCCATTGATCCTGATTCAAAGCTCGATATGCCTCGAATAGAGGCTAAAAGGTTCGCTCCTATGCCTCCCGATTCGGGAGATGACCACAGGTCGAGCTGGTCACCGTTTTCGCAGCTCGGAGATCGAGAGCTGGTTCGCAAGTTTCTTCAACTATGAGGGGAGTCCTAACGGAAACAGCGACGTCAGGCTTCCCGATTAGAGAATTATGTGACTCCCCGCTACGAGGAGGCTTGCCGGAATCCGGGTTTCCACCGCGCCGTACGCACGGGAGGTATGCCCTAGGTCAAGTGAATCCTGCGGCAATTCAATGAATCGCCCCTCTGTCTTCATCCCACTTTCATAAACCATCAGTATTGTCGTTCGCAAGAAGAATAGCGAGGAATGTCAATTTCTAGACTAATTGCACATAGTTCGCGGGAAACAAGCCAATTTTTCCGGTTTTGGGACATTTGCCGCGCCACCAACCATCGTCGATCTCTTCGATGTCGGTGATGATGTCGTCGGGATCGAACGAAATTTCATCATCGTCGCCAGCCTGATAATCGTACAGAGCTACCGCTCTCTTGTTCTCTTGGGTCGACTTTGGCGCAACCTCATCGTAAATAGCTTCGTCGTCGATTGTCGTTTCGTAGCTCGTGCAACCCTGCGTCTCCTGATACAGCTCTTCTTCCACAACGACTGGGTTTGAGGCTCTTGGACTTGCGACCGGGACCGCAGCGATTGGTGCGGCAGCGGAGGCTGCCGCCGTGGGCTCGGTCCTTGGAGGCGTGGCTGCAGCGGCAGGTACGGGGGACACCTGTGGATTCTGGAAACGGCGGCTCTTAGCTGCGGATAGCGACTTGTGACGCTCTCGAATCGACGTCGACCACACTTCGTGCCTCAGTCAGAGGGCGCGTGCCTACGTACGCCAAGATACTGCTTTCCATTGCGAGGGCCGCGGACCTCCCGAGCCTATCCTCACCTTTTCAATTCGGCTCTCCCGTTTTTGTGGACTCGGGGTCTCCTTGATCGTTTCTGGCGTCTTATGTCCTTCTTGAGCTTTCGACTTCTCCTCGGCAGCTTTCTGCTTTTCGGCTTCTTGTCTCTCTAGTTCCTCAACCCTGCGGGAAGCGCTATTCTGATTCTTTCCGAACTTCTGCACTTCTGCCCGCCGGTGAAAATACGATACCACCCGGGTAGCGATGAGATAGGAGCAAGACTTCCACGGCTTACCTTCTGTGCTCTTCCTCGATCCGCTTCATTCGCTCTTTCTCGGCTTTAAGGGCAGCTTCCTTCTCTTTCTCCTCTCGTTGTTTCCGTCTGAGCCTCTCCTCGTCAGCCGCTTTCTTGCGGTCTTCTTCAGACTCTTGAGACATTTTCTCGAAACGTTCTTTGAGACTCTTCGTCTTGACAGAAATCTCAGGTTTGACCTTCTCGGGGGGCTTCGCGGGCTCGTCTGCGGAGTCTCGGAGCCAAGCTGCTTTTCCGACTCCTTCGCCATGTCCAAGGGCACACTTGTCCTGCCGATCGCGCTCGATCCCGAACTTACCCCCGAAACCCTTTTTACCGTCGAGCTTAGAAGGATGAGCTTCCACCTGCAGAAGAGTTCACGAATATCTGAGAGAGCGCATTTATGATTGGGGAGACACACGACGTACTCGAGTTCACCGATCGGTCTCCGAGCGAGCATTGAGTCAGACGAACCTTCTCTCGGTGCTCCCACCCGACTGCGCTGCGATCTTGGCGGTCTTCTTGAACTCCAAACTTTCCTCCGAAACCTTTGGAATGATCGACTTGAGAAGAATGTTTCTCAGTTTTCTCATGATGATCCCAACCGAGAGCACTCTGGAAAATATATAAGAAGTCATATACGAGCGATTTCAGCGCGTTTTCCATCGACTGCGAATATCGGTACTGGCGGTTTCTCCTACTCACCTTGTCTTTGCGATCATCTTGGAGTCCGTACTTCCCGCCAAAACCTTTAGCGTAGTCCGTCTGAGACTCGTGCTTGTCGACTCGTTCCTTGTGGTCCCAACCAACCGCACACGAGTCCTTGCGGTCCTCCTGAACGCCGAATTTCCCTCCGAAACCTTCAACGACATGTCGCGCTTCATCAGAGTTTCCTCTCTAACAAATAAATGCATTCGGATAACTCTCGAACGGATAGCTCCGATCACAAGCCGAACACGATCTACCTCTCGAGTAGTCCTTCTGACTTTCGTGTTTCTGGACTTCTTCTTTGTGTTCCCATCCCACAGCGCATTTATCCTTTCGGTCAGATTGGACTCCGTATTTCCCACCGAATCCTTTCGAGTAATCTTTTTGTGACTCATGCTTGGCGTTCTTTTCTTTGTGGTCCCATCCGACGGCACTCTGGGATCGAAAGGACGTTAGAACGCTGCACCTCAATTTCCCGAGGCGTCTAAGAGTGTTAATACAGGGTGATCGAGGAGTCGACTTCAGACATACCTCATCTTGGCGATCTTTCTGAACTCCGAATTTCCCACCGAACCCAGTCGCGTAGTCTTTCTGTGAAGAGTGTTTCTCTGTTTTCCCGACGTAGTCGTGACCGACAGCGCTGCTGTCCTGGCGATCCTTCTGAACCCCGAATTTTCCTGCGGATATCACCGGAAGGTCAATGGGAATTCACGGAAATAATCACAGTAATGGATCCCTTTCCGGAATCGAATGAGTTTCATGACTCACCTCCATAGCCATAATGTGAGGAATCGACCGCTTCCCCCATGACAGTTTTCTTGTGTTGTGCGTCTTCGTCTTCGACTTCTTTGCGAAGCTCATTGAAGCTGCGAGGAGGCGAAACTCGAGTTACTTCCAATGTTCAGAAAGTCGGACACCACAGTGTGTCTTAGAATGCCGTATCGGATAAATCTCATTATACTTACTTGATGGCTCCTCCGGTGCGTCCGCTCCCTTCGATGGTTCGGCTTCCCCAGCGTTGTTCTTCTTCTGTCACATCGTTGACAAATGACGGATCGGTCTCCCAGTCATCATCATTGGTGTCGAGGTCCAACTTCAGACCCACGGTAGCCTTCCACATCTGCGAGGGTCGTGTTCACGTAAGTTTTTACGGAGCTTGATCATCCGAAGACACATATTGGAATCAACGAGGGTCCGGCAGCTCTACGGGAAGCCCGCGTAACGCGTACAGTTGATGATCGTGTGGAATTCCGAGAGTACGCTCGGATAAGCGGAAAGCTTCGCAGCTCAGTGATTCGGAATGGATATTGTGTTTACGGCCATTTAAGGTGCGACAGCGGTGTCAATCCCGAGACGCCAACGTCAAGGGGCTGAAGCTATCAGGAGATGAGTCACTCGGAATCAAATGCCCCGGATGCTCCCAATTCTCTGACGTACGGAAGAAATGCCTCGAAGCGGGCGATACGGTTTTCGATTACACGGAGGAAATAGCTTCGGATAGCATCTGTCCAGATTTCTGTGAACTTGACGCAAACGTCACTGATATATACAAGAATCGAATCTAGATCGGTGACGTACTGAGAGCATTCAAGAACATGAATCACAGGCGAGACGGAGGCGGGAGCCCAGCGATCGCTTAGTCAGTAGTACGATTCATTGGCTTGTTCCATCGATTCAATGTTTAGGAACGAGAGTTGCCGATGGAACAGAAAATAAATCGTGGCGTCGTCGCCCCAGCATTGCTCATTGACTCCTCCAGGGGCTGACTCCGAGAAGGTGACCGGGTGCGGGACACGTCAATACCGCCTCCCCTCATCTCCCACGCACTTCAGAGACAGCCACCATTTTAATCAAATTTCTCGAAATCATGTCTCCGGCTCATTCGTTCCAATCACTCTGGAGCGACCGTCCGAAAACGGAAAGACACTCACGATGGTCGAGTCTCGGCGTTCGAGTGGCACTGTACGGGCACTAAGAACTTGTATCGCATCCGTCTAATTCATCAGCAGCAGAACGAACACGAACGGAAAGCCTGTGGAATGGAGGGGCGCCGGGATCAGCGTTTCGGTGGTGTTGCGGAGGACCCAAGAACCGACTGTCAACTGAGGGAGGAGGACGAGCTGTCGTCTACATCAAAACATCAGAGGGAGAGGGAAAATGGAGGACGGGCTTTGCTGGCGCGAATGGACCGATTCATGATCGGGGCCCATAGGTCGGCCTCGTGGCTCGTGGTCTCTCAATCGGATCCTGAGTACCACAAGACGAAGTTCCGAGTCTTATTGCATGCGTACCGTATACTCCACACTCTCCGTTCTTCGGATAAGCCGGGTGTTGAGCTGTCAGAAGACCAATCCTGTCTAGCCTCGCTCAAAATTATCTATTCGTAAGGTCTCGAAAGGCGGGCAGACGGCATGCGAGTCACAAGGAGCCTATCCCGAGCATCGTGTCACATAGGATGGTCAGGAGCTTTATACGAACCTGAACTCGTGGGCACACCTTCCACAGCCGTACCTACTACGGCGTCCTATGTTTTAGTTTCTATCGATGACGATCACTTTCCTCTTCCAGGTTTCTGAGAATGGCCTCCTCTATCCTGAATCGATGGGCCCTCATCTGCGGGTCTGATCGGCATCCCCATATCTAGAGAGGGACTTCCGGCAGAAATTAGCTCTGACAGCAGAAAAGAGCACAGTACGGATGAAAGCGTTTCCCAGCGCATCGTCTGTAACTGTCACTCGCGAAATTGACTTGATGGCAACGGGACAACCTCCTTGGAGATGGGAACGCTCAAACCTCACGCGCACACGCGCGGGAGGTTCTCGGACAGGGTCATCTCAGGACTTCTGAGCACATTGTGAAGAAAATAATTTTTTGCGGATCCTCGGAAACGTGAGATTAAGCACGATTGACTTCCCTCAGTTGGCACTCATCGGCACCTCCATTCCAGAAGACAGAGCGAATCGCGCGTCGACGGTACGAAATCCTTGAGACCACGTATCGCGGGCCTCATACGGCGGAATTCGACGTTTTTCCCATGATCGTGGAGCTGCAAAGTTGGCCTGGTGTAATCGATTTAGTCAGATGGATGCAGTACCTATAGAGATGAGACGATCGCGATCGCTCAGTTCTAGAGAGAGCATGCCGCTGATGCCGGAAATAGCTCACCTATTCCGGATGGCATGCTTCTTCGAAAGATTTTCCCTCTCCGGGACGAGGCCCGGGGTGAACGACGGAGGGGAAGGGCGGTACCCGAATCGGGAGAAGCGTGAAGGACAAGACGCAACATTGAGAGAGACTCGGCGCCTCATCGAAGACGCAGCCGTGCCAACATACAGGGTGCTTGTTCAATCATGGAATACTCCCGGCGCGTCTCTGCTGAGAAGTATTTCTCCGGACGTCACAAGAGCTCCCAGTCATTTTTATGGTCTCGCTAAGTTCCTGGACCGTCAAAAGATCGGGGAGTGCTCATGCGGGGAATCTTTTGCGAAGCTTACGTCCCCTGCACCTCATCCCGCTATTTGTAAAGTCGCGGGTCGCGATGAAGGGAGAGAGGGCAATCTATCGATAAACACACGGAGTTGCTTTCCATCTGCAGAGCGCGGTCGGTGATCACTCCACTGACGGGCCCGCGAGAGGTGCACTCGCAGTATGCCGGGCTCCATCGCTCCATCCGGAGACGAGAGCGAGAGAAAACCATGACTCGAGTATGCTTGTAATCTAACTCGTCCTAAGCTATTTCGAGAATACCCGGCGATCCTGAGACGTTACACTGCTGGGGAGGATGGTCTGACACGAGTTCCTCATGCGATTCCATCGCTCTCCATCCCCATTGAATTCCGGTCCCGCCATCGGAAGATCGGGGAGCTCGGGCCGCAGTCGACCTTCAGCTCCGGGCGGTCTCCTGGAAGTCCCGGATCGACAACAATAATCTCACTACATCGTTCCCGGATAAAAAGCAGGAAGGAGCCAGGTAACCTTCATGCCTCTAATCGCTCCAATTAGCCGCTCATTATCCCCGAACCGGAACTCTTGCTACTGAGGATTTCATTCTGAAGCTCCGTTCTAAAACATGACAAACATAAGCATCATCCACCACAGCGCCGGCGCCGCTGCTGCCGACGACGGAACCATCGCAGCACCGAGCCGCGATTGCCATCAGCATCTTCACCACCGGCCGCAGGTAGGGAGCCGGGCGGGCAGTCAGTCAGTCACCAGAACCGCTGCAGAAGATGCTCTTGTGCTCTGTGTTTCATGTCGGATCTCGGATGGCGAACTGAATGTGGTGCCATAGTCTACGGACTGGACAAAGTTCATCTTGTGACAAAGACCTTCTCTCGATTCGTCGCTGAAATCTTGCCCCGACATAGCAGTGCGCTCACAAAGGGAGAAGAAACTTGCTCCACGTAACCACCGGTAAGTTGACCACCATACAGAGTCTGGCTCCATAGTTCCTCTGTGCTGCGCGATTCGGAGAGTAGTTCCCCTGACGAAGCTGATTTCTTTGTTGGGTGATATGAAGGGACATCGATCTGGGTAGCTGGATGCTCCAACAACCGATTGGGATTTCGAACGTTCGATGACGATTGACGTGGCTCCTACGGGGACGTCTCTCCCATCCCAGGCGGCTGGCCGATCCTAGCTTCCCGCGCTCAGACATTCGACGCCATGCGCGGGCTAGCGAGTTTGGCTGTGATTTCACGAGCTCCGATCACCCGAATCCGCCCCGTACTCTGAGTGAGCACCCTCTGAACTCCACGATCGGTGTCTCGCTCGTGGGTCTCGGGAAACCTCCCTCGCACGGCTTCGATTTCTATGACGGTTGAGCTCCGAAGTCAGGCAGCGAAGAGATGGGTACATGGATGTACTTCGGACACGGATCGCGCGGAGTGTCCGATTTTTGAATGCGGTTACTCCGGGCCGACACTTTTTGGTGATAGGATCTCTGGATCAGGGACAGATCACGGTCGATCGTCGAAAAGTCAACGTATGCATCGGATCGTATCCTGTCGTCTTATATGTCTGTGGCTCGAGTCTTCTCGTTTATAGAGACCCCTGAGAAGCATTCGTCTGACCCGCAGCTCTGCCAACACTTTCATTCGCCCGTTTTGATGGAAACTTCTTCGAGAGTCGACCTTGGCGCTTCTGACGTGGTTGGCAGGATCGACGGGGAAGACTGTGACGCTATGAGAAATTTTGGGTTGATTCACCCGGAACCGGTTCTCTCAAAATCTGGGACACCCGCGAGACGCGAGCCAACGAGCATCTACGGTCGACCATGCGGATTCCGATCGCTCCGCTGACTTGGATGAACTCCGATTCCGGAGATCGTGCTATGGAGAAATGCCGAAATTTCCCGAAAAAGAAGCGCGCTATATGCGGGCCTGGACTGAAGAAAGGAATTTCGACGCGGCGAGGGACGGATTCTCCTCGCAGATTTTCCTCGAGACCGAAGGACAATCATTTTCCCTTTTTTCGCGACGAAAATTTTCGCGGTCCGTTGTGTTATCGAAGTGTGCGTTCGGCTCGCTCAGCTTTTCTCGCGATTTTTCAAAGGCCTCTGGTGCAGCTCGCCAAGATAGTCATCAGTAAAAGTGAGCAGAAGATCTTCCTGGTTTTCGCTGAAACGACTTCTCTCTGATAAAATGGCGAAGGGCATCGCTGTCGCGGAATGATCCCTTCAAGATCGTATTACAACACTTTGAGCGACTCGAATGACATCGAGTCAGATTAATATTTGATGGCCTTCCGAAGAGCCGCGAGTAACTTCGATACCGGCGCACAACTACCATAGTAGGGTCGGGAGACGAATTGGCTGGGATGTTCGCAGCAAACTTCGATCGCTGAGTGATCGATAATGATGATCGGAGTAGGAAAGGATCTGCGAAGCTCCCCGAGAACTCAGTGCACTCAGAAAAACGATACCATTCAGGAAATGGCAACCCGAGGTAGCACCGGGTCGAACCAGATCTCCGATGGAACGCCACCCAAAACTTGGAGCCATGGCCTCCTCGACCGGCCCGATAAGAAACAGGATATCTTCCGGAACAGGATCAATCGCAAATACGGCCTGGCCCTCGGTAAGACTTGCTTCTCGAGACGTTTCCGCATTCCAAAGCTTCCTAATCGTTCGATTGATCGAATTTCTCTAGTCCGTTCCACGAATTCGACTCACCGGATCGAGAATCAAGAGTTCGTCTAAGGTGATCTGCCCGCAACTGAATTATCCACAGGCAATTACCACGACTTATACGAGTGGTCGGTCGGCGCAGACAGCTTCACTTGTTTCTGGGAAGAGTTCCTCGACTTTTCTGGAATAATTGTCTCAGAAAAACACAACCAGGTGACTTCCTCGATCCCTCTGATGATTCAGATTATCGTTTGCGTTGAATTTAGGAGGATCCTGTTTGAATTAATTATTCTTTCCCCTGGAGGAGATTCGAGCCGAGAGCGGACTAAAGCGGCTTTCCTCCCATCCAGATAGTTGACGATGTTCCCATGCACGAAATCCCGCGATGGTTCCGCGGATGTCGTCTGAACTACGCTGAGAACATTTTGCGGAAACGCGACGACAGTGTCGCGCTATACGTTACAGGTGCGTCCGCCTATTCTCAAGGGCATGGCTCTTATTTCGACCTGAAGCGTCGTTCCTCACGAGACCGTCGCCGTAGTGAAAAACGTACATTGAATGACAGAACAAGGAACTAACGAGCTCTCTCCGATACCGCAGATGAGAGGCTCACTCGAACCCGCAAGATCACGTTTTCGGAACTGTACCGACAGGTTGCCCGATTCGCGAAACTTCTGTCGAGTTTCGGAGTGCAGAAAGGGGACCGAGTATGCGGCTATGTCGCGAACACGGAACACTCGGTCTTCGCGTATTTGGCATCGGCCTCGATCGGAGCTATTTGGAGCTCCACGAGTCCCGACCTAGGCCACAGAGCCGTGGTGGATCGTTTTCAACAAATCAAGCCCAAGGTATGCGCGTGATCCAATGCTATAGTAGAAGCACGGAATTTCATTCTCCAACGGGCCTTCAGACCTAAGAAAATGATCGCTTCCCTCAGGTCATTTTCGCCGTGGAAAAGCAAATTTACAACGGGAAGATTCACGATAAGCTGACGAATCTGGAACTGATTCTAAAAAGTAGGAAAAACCGAAAACTCCCAGGGAGCGAATAATACCCCTAATGCTGATCCCCGGCTCTCATATTGCTCCGCACTCCATCCTAAACTCATTCGTTCGTACCTAGACTTGGACTCTGTGGAAGCCGTCGTTATTTTGCCATTCGACGAAGATTCGTCGAGCGATATATCATTCCTGAAAAATTCGTTCCACCTCAAGGACGTCCTGGCGGAGGTTGACGATGACCCGAAGCTCGATTTTGTCCAAGTGAGTCCTTCTTCTTCGGCCCTGAACTTCTCGACGCTCAGTCCCTTGCCCTTTACGAACTCTCGGATGTACTTCAGGTGCCTTTCGATCATCCTCTGTGTATTCTATTCTCTTCTGGTACAACAGGGAAACCGAAGTGCATGGTGCACTCTGTCGGTGGAACCCTGATTCAACATCGCAAGGAGCACGAACTCCTCGGCGATTTGGGTCAGAACGATATTCTGTTCTACTTCACGACGGTTCGTACCGATTCCTGATTATGAATAAATACTCCAGCGTTCCCTTAGATGTATCCGTCATTTTCGACCATATGGATTTGAATTATTAATTGGATCGGGCTTCTCTCCCCAGACCGGGTGGATGATGTGGAACTGGCTCCTGTCAGGGTTGGCGGCTGGCGCCGCCCTTGTTCTCTTCGAGGGAACTCCTATATCAGCGAGTTCCCCCTTCTTACTTTTTGAGATGGCGGGAATGCTCGGCGTAACCGTTTTCGGCACATCCGCCAAATACCTCGCAACTCTCGAGGAAAAACTCTCGGAGGGATCCCCAGGTACTTACTTGTGCGACTGCAAGAGTGTCGGCGAGAATCTTGGCTGATTCCTTTTTATTTGGCCTTTATTCCCCCTCCCAGGTCGTCTGTACAATCTGGGCGCTCTTCATACCGTGCTGTCGACTGGTTCTCCCCTGATGCCGCACAGTTTCGACTACGTCTTCGAGCACATCAAGGCGGACGTGATGCTCGGTATGATTGGGGATTGGGGCCGAGTACTTTTGTGTTAATGAAATCAAGTACAATCGACGATGATTTTAAAAGGGTAGATCTTCGGGCTGCATTAACTGCCACCCCGAGGCGGACTCTGCTTCATGCCTCGATTGTCCCTCGGTCACAGCGATTTCCATCATTGAGTCACGCATCCCGGTTAATCAAGTTCGATGAATTCCTTCCCTCAGGGTCGATATCCGGAGGCTCGGACATCGTGTCTTGTTTTGTGGGACAGAATTGCACATTGCCCACAGTGCGCGGTCAAGTTCAGAGCCGAAATCTTGGAATGGATATCGTGTAAGCTTCCGATACGAGCGCGTTCTCTGTGACAGGATAGTCCAAATCGAGCTGAATGGTTGTGCTTTTTGAAGAACGATAATGGCAAACCCTGGATTTCTCTCCTTCCCAGGGCGTATTCGAATGAGGGCCTGCCTGTATGGGACGAAGAAGGCGAGCTGGTTTGCCGTAAACCTTTCCCAGCGATGCCCGTGTACTTCTGGGGTGATTCTGACGGCGAACTCTATCGGAGGGCCTATTTCTCACGCTTCCCCAACGTCTGGCACCACGGTGATTTCTGTATGGTGGATTCGAAAACACGAGGAGTAATTATGTTGGGTCGCAGCGATGCAACATTGAACCCCAACGGCGTTCGCTTCGGGTCCGTGGAGATTTACAATGTCGGTGAGTGATACGAATTTATCCGCCCCTTCTGGGAATCGGGCCCCTCTCATGTGGGGTTGGTGCCAAGAGTTTTTCCTCGAAGAAATTCAGGAGGTATGGGAAGGCAGAGCTCATACTCCTGATTTTCAGTGGAAACCGAACCGAGAATCAAAGACAGCGTGTGCGTTTCTTACCTCTCGAAGAAAACTAAAGACGAGAAAGTCGTCCTCTTTGTGAAAATGGCTGACGAGGACGATATCACCGAAGACCTCCGAACCAAGCTCAAGAGCATGATCCGAGGCGCGTTGTCAGCTCGGCACGTACCTTCGCTCATCATCAGAGTTCGAGACATTCCTGTGAGTATTCGGTTGAGCAGACCCGATTTCAAATTATGTTGCAATATGGAGTCTCCCTCGAGTGTGTTCAGATTCAGACTCCTCGGGACAGCCATGGTTCCCTATTCATGACTAAGGCTCTCTTCCACGTGCAGTATACGCTCAACTTGAAGAAAGTCGAACTGGCCGTCAAGAAGATTATCAACGGGAACACAGCAGTCGATCCATCTACATTGTCAAACCCCGAATGTCTCGAGGAGTACAAGGCCCTAATCCCGATGATGTCGATTCTAGATTAGCGGCAGCGATGACCTCTCCACCTTGTGTTTTCCCCCGGGATTTTGTATGTTAATCAACTCTTACTAATGCTATCGTACTCGCATTGAATCCGTGCGGACATGTGTCATATCTAATTGCAGTACTTTCTCAAGCCTGCTTTGCTCGCTCAGTCTGCAGAAAGTCAAAGTTGTGATCCCTCTTTTACCGGCATTCGTCTTTTTTGAATTTGCCGTTTTCATTCGCGAGGAAAATAGAACTTAATCTAAAATCTTCGAGAATTCTATAACTCGAATCCATCGCTTCTGAGGGAGAGAAAATGCTTTCTAGCACTCGTTCTGACTGATTGCGAGTGGCGACAAATCCTATTCAAAGGGGAACTTATTGTAAATTCGAGACTCGAGCTGCCAAACGAAAGAATGAGCTCCCCACATGTTGATATTCGAAGAAGAGAAATATATCGTTCCAATACTCATTCATCATTGCAACGATTTTAAGATTCGGCTCTTAGGTACGTACCTAGCTGTGGGGAACCCGACCTGTTTTCGAGAGTTCGCCGATCCGGAACTACTTCAGGAATCGCTTGTTCCTCCAAGTGGGCGAAAGCCTCGGCACGTTGGTCATTAATTACGCCCTTCTGAGCGGGGGAGGGGAGTTGCGTGGGCAGGCGGGCCGGCTCTCGGAGTTCCAGTTTCCGGGAGAGCGAGATCATCACTCAGTGACTCCCGGAACAAGGGATCCGGGAATGATTACAATCGAATCGTACCGAGAATCATGATAAGCAGTCGATTGTCAACGTTAATGTCGCTTTGAGAGGAGTGACTCATACTTTATGGAACGGAGTCGATGGCAATCATAGTTGCTCCCTCTGCGAACTTCCTACTGATCTCATGGAAAATATTCACACCGTAGATCTATAACTACATCAATCGCACCAGGATGTGAGCCCATTCAGTATAGACTTCAGCTTTCAATAGATATTGTGGGACATGTCAGAGTTGTGCAGCAGAGGCTCATCGCGAGGTTTCCTTCGACAGCAGTAGAAGAAGCAAAGAGTCATCAAGATAACGAGAATGAGACCGGCGCAACCCAAACTGACGCCGAGAATGACAACGAGAGCCTTTTGACGCACGAAGTCCTGATTATACCAGACACGGTAGGAATCTGGAACCACAAAGAAGTTTTTGTCATGACGGTCCGATGGAGTCGGCCCCGGCCCCTTTGGATAAGCTCCGCAAACGAAATCGATGCCTATCTGTGCTCCCACGAGCTTCTCGGTGGATGCGGGGAGAGCGCTCCCAACTTACTCTTCAAGACGCACTCGGGATGGTCCGGCTCGTATTCCAGCTCGAAGCTGTAGCGAGCCACCGTGGCGACGTACTCGGTCGCGTTGAGGAACACGCAGGTATAGTAGTTCATAGAGAAAACATCTGCGATTCAAGGAAGGGTTACCTCGACTCTTGGTGTCTAACATCGGAGGATCAGGACTTCCATAGCGATAAAAGTCCAGAGTTAGGATACTTTCCGGTCGAATTCGAAGGCAGCGCTTACCTTGATATATACAAGTCGCCGAAACGATGTCGCCCGACGTACACGAGGTGCTCTTGCCGCCAAGGCATTCGATTTGGGGCAGGGAAGTCTCTGAATCCGGGCATGAGTGTAGGCATGTCGCCGTTGCATTCGATCTGAGCGTTATGACACCCCGACTGGTGATGAGCTCATAGTTCCCGTACGCTAGAAAGACAATTTGAAATCAAAATACATTCTTTCGAAACGGGAGCTCGATCCACGTAGAGCAGAGCTTTCAAACTTTTAACGTCGGAACAGAGTCAATCAAATACCGGAGCATGGATCCTTTGGCGTCGCATCGTGACCACGAGCCGCACTCAAGACACCGATCAGAGCATAGAGGAAAATGGATGAATGGAGCATCGCTGATCACAGAAGAGCTCCCCTGCGCTGGAACATTTATCGGACGTGACAGAATTCAAATCGAAATGAAATTCTATTCGTCTAGGCGGAGCCTGCGCCGCAAGTGATCGCGTATCCGAGGATATCTATCTATCTACAGGATCGCTAGAGTAGTCAAGCTGGTTACGAAACCCGGCCGAGTTGAAGTAGAAAAACGTGACACTCATATTTAGCGTTCAATTGACATTTGACACGGTGACAGCTTTCCGGGCTAGATGATCGTATTCTTGATCTTAAGTCACTCACTCGAGTTCCGGGGTGGGAGTTCCGAACGGAGTTCGGGACGATTTTCTTCAGGTTGACGAACCTTCCGCGACTTTCTCGCAGTTCTGCCTTGGGGTGGACACGATTTTCCCTCGTCGTGTCTGATCGCTGCCTACCGCCTCAATGATTTGATTGCAGTATAACGCATACAACAAGCAAAAGTACGCCGAGAGCTCTCCCGACGTGACGCATCTGTCATCTGAGTACAAGAAGATACCAAGTTCCCGGATTAGATGGATCGAATTCGCTTCGTTCCGTTCGCGGAGTAATCTAACCAACGTTGGCTGGAAGTCAGATTAGGGACACTGCGCCCTCGAGTCACTCCTTAACAGTTCCGCTCCATGAATACCATCTGCGGAAAATCCGAGTTCAATTGGGTATTACTCACCGATATCCGCAAATGATGTTTCGACACCACAAAGAGTCTAGATCATGCACGGGGGATTTCGAACGAGTTTTTCGACGGTGCCGATGCTGAGCCTATCATTTTTCCACTGCGTAAATGAGACTGCCGCCGTCAGCTTTCGAATTCTGCGCGCTTCATCTGTCGTGATATCATTTCCCCTTTCCCATTCCTAAAGCGCGGAACGTAATCTTCGGAGGATCATCTCATCAATTCGTCGAACACACGCAGAAGAGAAAGGGAAAAGCACCGCCACAACCGAGGGAGTACTCTACGAGCGGCCTGAAACGTGGAGTCGAGCGCTTCCTATAATTTGCAGAGTCCGGTTCGATCCCAGCCAACATGCCCACCGTGAACATCAATGCCGAGGCTCTTTTCCGCTCCCTCGGTCGTCGGTACACTGAAGACGAGTTCGCCGACTTGTGCTTCGAATACGGTCTCGAGTTGGACGAAGTTACATCAGTCAAGAAACAGCTGGAGAAACAACACGGTAAATCCGCCGGCGGAGATCCAGGAACCGAGTCGCCGGAGGACACCATCTATAAAATCGATATTCCTGCGAACCGGTACGATTTGCTGTGTTTGGAAGGTCTGACCCGGTCTTTGCTGATATTCCTCGGCAAGATACCCATTCCTCGCTATACTGCCGTAACCCCAGTCTCGCCGATCGAGGTGACGATAGATGTCAGCGTGCAGAAAGTCAGACCGGTTTTCATCGGTGCAGTTTTGCGGAACGTGACTTTCACAAAGGAAGTTTACGATTCGTTCATCGATCTGCAGGATAAGCTACACAATAACATAGGTCGGAAGCGTAAACTGGTGTCCATTGGAACTCATGACCTCGACACGCTTACGCCTCCGTTTACCTACGAAGCTCGCAGACGCGAAGACATAAAATTCGTTCCGCTCAATCAGACCAGGGAGTTCGGCGCCCAAGAGCTCCTCGAGTTTTACGGAAAAGATACCCACCTGAAGCCCTACGTGCAGATCGTAGAAGATTTCGACGTGTTGCCCGTCGTGCGTGACTCCGAGAATGTCATAGGATCTCTGCCTCCAATCATCAATTCGGAGCATTCGAAAATCACCCTGAAAACCAAGAATATCTTCATAGACATCACAGCGACCGATGAGCACAAGGCTTCGATCACTCTCGATACGATCGTGACCATGTTCGGCGAACACTGCGCGGATAAATTCAAAGTAGAGCAGGTGAAAATTATCAAGACCGACGGCACCAGAGAGCTCTACCCGAAATTGCCCTACCACAAAATAAAGCTACAGCCTAGCCGCGTCAACGAGTTATTGGGAACGGAGTTAGGAGCGAATCGGATTGCCGAGCTCCTCACAAAAATGTCACTCAAAACCAAAGTCAAGTCCGGTGCGCTTCTGATCGATGTTCCTCCAACCCGGCACGACATCATACATCCGGTAGACGTGATCGAAGACGTTGGAATTGCTCATGGATACAATAATATTGAGATGAAGATGCCGGCCACTGTGACGACGGCTTCCCAACTCCCCGTCAATAAATTGACGGACCAACTCCGCGAGTCTCTGGCACAATCTGGCTTTACCGAGGTGCTCACGTTCTCGCTGTGTTCCACAGAAGACATCTCGAAGAAACTCCGCAAAGCCAACGGACATGAGAATGCCGTGAAAGTGTCCAATCCCAAAACCCTCGAGTTCCAGGTGGCGAGAACCCAATTACTGCCGGGAGTTCTGAAGACAATAGGCTCAAATAAGAAGATGCCCCTGCCGCTACGACTCTTCGAGATTTCCGACATTGTCGTGAAATGCGCCGAAAGTGATACGAAAGCCCGAAACGAACGGAATCTCTGTGCCGTATACTATGGCAAGACATCAGGTTTCGAAGTTATCCACGGTCTCCTAGATCGGATCATGTGCCTCCTCCGAGTACCGCATGTCACGCAGAGCAAAGCGAAGCCCAGCTATGAAATACGCCAGACTGAAGACGAAACGTTTTTCAGAGGACGGTGCGCAGAGATCCTCATTGGCGGAAAGCGCATAGGGGTCCTCGGTGTCGTCCACCCTAACGTCCTGACTAATTTCGACTTGAATATCCCTGTGGCTGCACTGGAGCTCTGCATAGAGACCTTTATTTAATATATATATATTTAATTCATGGATCCGGGGTCCCCGATCGGGCACTGGCAATAAAAGCTCGCGGAAAAAAGCTCCTCTTCACTCTGGTAGTACATAGATGAACACGAAACGCAAGCGGACGATGGACACTGTCTCTCTTGATCTTATGGGTCATAGAGGTGAGGACGCAGAAGGTTGCGCTCAATGAACTCCGGGAGCGCAACTTGTCGCCGAGGGTGCTGTAGGATGATTCTCGTTCCGTGGGGCTCATTTGCATGGAACTTCGTAGATGACGTATTATTGCCGATCGGTAAGTCTTCATCTTGAACTCGTCGCTCCGCTTCCGGTGTCGTCTTTCTTTTTTTCCGGGTCGTACAACGCGTTTCGTACGAACCGTGAAGCGGTTCCAGGGGCGAATCGCGGTCGTTTCACCCGATCTTCGAGCTGCTGAACGCGGGTCATATAGTCTCGAACTCTATTCAGTTCGTGTTTCAGAGCGGTGTCCTTCGGGTCTTCGCCTGCAGAGAACGATTTTCGGTTCGGTTAGCGTTGCGAAAACTCCCCGCTGTAGATGGAGGATCTCGAGTCCGAAGGGAGAAATAGTCGCATCGAGGTCTGTCGGTGCTCTTCATAATAGATTAGCCTACCCTGGACCAGCATGTACGCCCACAGAAGAGATGACAATCCATAACACAACGAGAGGTCGTAACGAGCTTTATCCGCCGAATCCAATGACTCCTTCGCTTCTAGGGCAGTGCTCGATAAGAGCGGTTCGAGCAGCTTTTCGAGGTTCTGTCGAGAATCGCTTTCGGTACAGTTCATTGTCTCTGGCTCGATGCTTACGCATCGAGAAACGCTACGTTTCTCATCATACGGGAAATCACCTACTTGGAGCTTCTCGTGGAGATTTCTGACTTTTTCAGTGAGTTCCGAGGGGAACTGTTCGGGGCTAGATTTCTTCGTATCCGACATTTCGTCGGGAAAGATTCCCCCCTCACTGAAAATCCGAAAGCTGACCGTGAGCCGCAAGCAGGCAACACTCTAGCGACTCCGCGAGGAATGAAGGAGATCTCGCCTCTTCGATCTCTGGAAACCGTCGGTTCGGCGTAGACAATCTCTGATTTCACGTGGTATTCTATTCGGAAGCATGCGGAATTGAGGGAGAGGGGTCAGCTCCTCTCTCCACAATGTGTTTATTTTCACACCCGGTAGATTGCAACGCACAAGTGTCCAAGTCTGACGACGAAGTGGGATCGGTGGTATTTTCCAATCGTCGATCAGTGCGAAGTGCTCGTTGATCGTTCATTCAGGGCAGCCAATTGGAGGAGCTTGCCGAACCGTCTGATTTCGAGGGATTTTCCTCTGTCGAGATCCGAAGCAGTGCCGACAATGTCCGCCTACAGCGAAGACCTCGTCGGAGATTACCAAGAAGCCTTCAATCTGTTTGACAGTCGAGGTTGGTTTCCACATATGAGAGCTCTGTTTGTGGGATGATTTCTCTTGCCACATCGATGTGTCATTCCTTTCAACTTCTTCTCGAGTCGCATGAATGTGCTCCACTTGCTCGTACCGCGAGAATTCGGGTTTCCGGAGGGGGATTCGGGACTGCTGCTTGCCATATATGGCCTTGGCGGTTGGCGGATCCCACAACGAGTATCATGAAGATTCAACGAAAATGACAATATCGCGAAGCGATCCGCCGATTCGTGCTGTTTCCATGATGCCGTCAGTCTGCTTCTGTAGCCTTCAGCTGAAGATACGAGGCTAGAGGACTGCCAGCTCTCATTCATGACTCAAGACCTGTGGAGCCGCATAATAAGCAGAGGGTTCGATCATTCGCTCTTGGAAACTCCGATCACCTTGAGAAACAGCTCGGAAAGTTAACGGGGAATGTGCGGGGCGAGTTTGTCGCGTCGGATGCCGGTCCTCGAGTCGTGGAGAGTATCGCGGCAACCGTGGTCAGCCTCCGCCCTCAGTGACTGCTGACTGGCGAACACCGCTCCCTGGAACGGAACGAAATGTCTCCAGCATGAATCACTACATGACCCGCATTCTAAATGCCTCCGTGACGTACACTTGAATGCTCTGCAGCGAGCAAGGAGCTTATATCAGGGCTGTAACACCTTCATGTTCGCGTCTTTAGCATCAGTTTCTCCCGCGGGAAACTTCGGTTTTTCGGGAAATCGCCCTGTCGATAGTTCTAACTCCGGCCTGAATCATCAGAGTGGAGCTACCCATCCGACGTATTCTTACCCGATTGACGTTGAGAACTGGGAAAAAACTCTACGGAAACCTATACTAACTCATCTTCAATCTGAGCCCACGCTAAGAGATTCTCCCTAATATCCTTCGTCTAGAATCTCAGCTCAAGGGAGAAACAGCTGAGGGATTTCGATACGAGGCCAGCACTCGGCGGATGTAGCAGTTTCGCGCATATTGTGGATGAGCGAATTCCTTCTTTGACTTACTGGTCCATTGAGAGAGCTCTGGACTAAAACCTGATGCCTCCTCATCAAGATTTTTCTGCTTGCGATGCGTCATCCGATATCTCTCGTTTGGAACGAACGTGATGCAATATGAATTTCATCCTCAAATCAGAGTTTCTACTAAAAAATCCGACCACAACCAATAGGTCCGGTTCTTTAGTCGCGTCGAGTGAACGAGAAGCCAAAGAATAGTATCGGTAGCGTTCCGTTACAGTCCGCCTTTGTTCCGAGTCGCTGGCAGTGATCTCGTAGAGAGAAAAACTTCTCACCACCCAATTCACAGGTGATGGCAAAATCAACGTGTCGCAGCTGGGGGATGTCCTCCGAGCACTTGGTCAGAATCCGACGGAAGCGGATGTCGTGAAATTCACCTCGCAGGCTAGCGGCGGCAACAGCAAGGATAAGGACAATGCCCGCATCTCTTTCGATGAATTCCTGCCAATTCTGGCCGCGATCAGGTTGGTGGTCCCGGAAATTTTCCACAGTTCCTTCTCTGAATCCAACGACCGAGCTGACGGAGTAACGAATCCCCCTCTGATTCTTTGCAGCAAAGCCCGTCCCTCAGACACCCCGGAAGATTTCATCGAAGGCCTGCGACATTTCGACAAGGATGGGAATGGCTTCATCAGTTCCGCAGAGCTCCGACATCTGTTGACCACTCTCGGCGAGAAGCTCTCCGACGACGAGGTGGAACAACTTCTGAACGGCCAAGAGGATCTGCACGGCAACGTCAATTATGAAGACTTCGTCAGGATGGTGATGAGCGGTTGATCCACAAGCTGCGTGATAAAGCTATGGAACATCAGAGCGCGCGACTATTCGGAGAATCATTCCATAAATGCCAGATCATCAATTGATTGTTGTTGATCTTGTTGACGACGTCTTTCTCCACCTACCCAGAGATTCCCCCGATGGCCAATAAATTCTTACTTATTCTGCCTAAATAGACAACATCTCGTAGCCGTCTCTCTGCAGTCTCGGATTTTTTTCTTTCGAATGCATTGGTAGGCACCGGAGGACATTCGTGAATTATTTTCTATCTCATTCTATGAAGAGATTCTCCTGTTTCCGCCCCTTCTCGTTTCGTTGATTCGACAAGGATCTTACACTCATACTTGGACAGACCTTCTTGCAAGGCTTTTCTGCAAGCCTATAGGGGACAGATCGATGCAAGTAGATTCCGGTCAATGGCGACAAGTGAACACGCGAGTCTGTCACTATCTCGAGGCACGAACGTTGCTTCATGCACCCCAGAAGTCGTCGAAGAAAAGATCAGGATAAGTGCTCCGTGAACGGTCGATTAGTATTTTTCTGTATTTAGGAAACGCATGTGCTTTCATGCTTGTCTGATGACATGCGTACAGGCACGAATGCGTCGGGGCCACTTGTCGTGGTGGGAAAGTCGTTTGGGGCATATTTCCTGTGGATATGGATTGCTGCGCCAAGTCGGACTCGACGATCGTCTTGGCTGTCCGGATTAACTGGCTGATTTTCGATCCAGACGGAGTCTATTCGATCGAAGTTCGTGCTTTTGAGGTTCGGAGGGTATACCAACTTTATCGGGGTTGTGGACCCGACCGATGGAGTTCCCCTGCTTGGGGTGGATGGGGGAGCTCTCGAGGTTCACGACCGAAGCACGAAGCACCCGGAGCAAAACTTGCGCACCGCTCTCCGATTTCTGCGCCGCTCACGTATGATTTCGTTACTCCGCCAACTTGAATCTGACCAAGAGTGGACAATGAGAATTCCAGATTCCCCTTGCGGCAGGCGATTCGAGGTGTTGCAAGACTAAAGGCGCTGACTGTCTCGTCGTTCCTTGCATGTTGGGAGTTTGGAATCGGGGGTCCTCCTTCATCTCCCGTCAACCTTCCCGGCTTTCTCTGAGAAAGAGAGAGACGGAGAACAGGAGAATCGGGCGCTGCTAGCGTGACCCATGATATTTTGCACAGAGCGATTCGATAGATATTTATCAGCAGCTTGTTCTATGAAATATGCCGTCAGATCCAAGAAGCGAGGGCTCAGATCGGATGGAGTCCACAACGGATGATTTCGGCTCAGGGCTCCTCAGAATCGCCGGCACCCTGTTCTCAAAATCATTCGAGATAAGCTTGCCGGGCTCCGACAAGCTCTTGCGGTTCGGACTTGAGGAGTCGGATCGAGAGTCTCGTTATCTTGATAACGATTGGTCGATTCCATGAACAGTCCGTCGATTAGAAAGAACGCAGAGAGGTAGCGAGAGATCGATGCGCGCTAAGAGCGGAAGGACGTCTTAGTTTAAAAAGCCGAGCAGCGGGAAGTGATCTCACCGAGTCTCCGAAGGAGCAGGTCGACCGCTCCGGAAAGCTTCCGAGGTTTGAGTTCCAAGCCTCGGAAAGAGTCTGAGGTTTGAGTTCCAAGCCTCGGAAAGTGTCTGAGGTTTGAGTTCCAAGCCTCGGAAAGTGTCCGAGCTCGGCAGAAGGGAGCTAGCATTGCCGCGGGAGCGCTCAGCTCCGCGCATTCGTCAGTCGCGAGAAGCTCGTAGGTGAACCCCCTCGGATCTACTAAGATGCGGACTCCGGTACGGAACCGAGGGAGCTCCCGAGAAGTTCGGCGCAATAAGGCGTCGGCGTCGGTCACCGGCTCAACGGAGGAGACTCGCCTCAAACTGTGATAGTTACAGCCTGTGATATGATCCTGAACTGTGATGCCCTTCAAAGCTGTGATATTTTTTCAAGCTGTGATGTCGCTCCGTGTCAACAGCGCAGGACAGTAGTCTCCGTCGGCGGTCCTGAGGCGATAGCAGACTGATCACCTATACCGATCTCTCAAAAAAATCGTCGCGAGCCACGCCGTATACTACCTACTGTACTTATTCCATTCGCTCTTGAATCGTGGTCTACAAGAATTTCATTGTTTTATTCATGGATTTTTTCTGGAATTCCCATTGAGTCGTTTGTGCTCGTCGCCGTTCGACGCATTCGTTTCATTTTACTACTTTTCGGTTTTCTCTTGGGCATGACCATTCGTTTGCCTTCCGTGCTGAGTTTCGAGCTTGTCTCAAGCCCTGGCTACATCTGTTCACATTCCGACTGTCAACTCGAAAGGATATCGAAGTCACATTCAACAAGAGGTCATCGAGATGATCACCTACATTCACGGCATGGAGCGGAGTCAGGAACGGACATCTTCGGGATTCGCGGACAATAGATCAATGCATGCGATGAGCGGATTGAGCGATAAAGAGCAGCGATGGCCACGAAGCGTACCGCGGCAGCTTTGGGGCACTCTATCTCCCGATGTGCGCACAACCCCTGCTGTGCCGCAGTTGTCTTCGTGAAAAGAGTTCCCTTCGTCCGGAGGAGATCCGCGAGTCTGATCTGGCCCTGATCGGACCTCCGTAGAAGTCGTTTGGGAAGCTAATCAGGACTGTTCCAGACCCTCATCGGAAGAGAATCGGACCCTGATCGGAGGAGAGCCGGGCCCTGATCGGAGGAGAGCCGGGCCCTTGTCGGAAGTGAATCGGACCATCATTGGAAGTGGATCGGACCATCAGTCCAAGTGGATCGGATCCTCATCGGGAGGAATTTGAAGCCTCATCGGAAGAAAATCAAAGCCTCATCGGAAGGAATTCGAAGCCTCATCGGAAGAAAATCGAAGCCTCATCGGAAGCTGATCGGACCCTCATCGGAACTTGATCGGACTCTCATCGGAGCTCGAGCGTTTTTGAATAGGCTCCCGAAGGGTCCCTTCACCCTCCATTCCGACAGCCCCATCGAAGACATTTGAAAGCGCCGATGGAGGGTCTCAGATCGCCCGGATTCAGCCTCCGTCCACAAGTCCAGCGGCAGGGACTACAGACGGAGATTTCATCGCAGCGACTCACTCTATGCTGAGAATCCGTTCCTGAGTCGAGAATCATGGGAATCGTCGTATACGGCAAAAATGCCGGAGGTGCCTCGCTGGACCTCCCCTTTCCCTGCCCTCGCTTCTGATCTGCATCTCAGGGCGCCCCCGCCCTGAAGGAGGAACAACAGGGGCTGTACCCTGTGGCAGACCCGTGGACCCGCCCGTCGATTCGAGATCCAACTCGCTCTCACAAGCACTGGAATTTCTCCGCATTCTCTATTTCTTCCTGCGGTGCCAAGATGTCCTCGTAGATCGAGGTCCACCGAGAGAGCACAAGAAGTCTCTTATGGGTTCGACTCCGAATCTCATTTGTTTTGAATGTTCTCGGAGCGATTAGCCGGACCATCTGGGCTCGCCTCTAGATGAAGATCCAGTGGACCATTCTCGGAGTGTGATGCGGTCGGAATGAATTATCGGAGCTCCGACATAACCGAGAGACTGTCGCCATCGATACTCTGATATGCCCAATGGTCGGGGAGAATAAACACAGACAGCGTTCGTAACAGCTATGGGATGTACGGTTAGCTTCGCGAAGCTCATGGGCCAACGTACTGCCGATTATCGCATGTAGATACCGTAAATATTCTAAGAGACGGGCATGCCCGTTTATTTTTCGATCCACCTGAAGGTGCCCGTTTTTTAGAGACTCATTAGAGACTGCCCGTCTATTGCGACTGCCCGTGTATTTTCTGGATTCCCCAGAAAATGCCCCTTTGTTGGAGACTGGCCGTCTAACAGGGACCGTCCGTTTATCAGAGACTGCCAATCTATCTGGGACTGCTCGTCGATATTGTGAGATTTGAGAAGAAAGTAATAAATGTCCACTTCTCGAATACGAATCGGATCTACACCAAAGCCTTTCCCTCCATTTTCTTGGCGGGTATATCTTACGCAGATGCTGACAGCTGAGCTCACCAAGTGAATGTCACACACAAGGTATAGATGAACAAGCTCCGTTCTCACGAGACGGTTCGAACTATTCGACTGTGAACACCGAGCGTTCTTGGATCAGGAGCACATCCGGATATCAAAGAAGGTCCGCCAAAGCGGGTGGATTCGCAATTTCGTTCAAGACATTGGCTGAGTCATGCAAAGTTCTTTCTTCCATTTCGTGATTCCGAAGACATCCGTTTCGATTTGCGAAGATTCTGGAAGCGGATCGTTCATTGAACTCTGACTGCCCGGCTATTGGAGACTGCCCGAAAATTGGAGACTGCCCGACAATTTGAGACTACCCAACTCCTGGAGACTGCCCGACTACTGGAGACTGCCCGTCTATTAGAATATTTACGGTATCTCGACATCAGGGATGGATGAACTCCGTTGGGTGATCCTGGGATTTGCATCCACAGGAGGCTTTTGACTCCAGGGCAGGCGATGCGGAACGATGAGTTTTGTCGACGAGAACGACTCCAGATGCGACGGATGATAAACGCCTTTGGTCCTCAACCATGTTACGAGCGCTGCACAAGAACCAACAAGTCCCCCTTCCATGCCTCCAGACTTAATTCTTGAATCATGACATGCGGCTCTGAGGCAGCGTAAGAAAATTCGCCCGACTGACGTGCACGACGGAGAGAATCGAGAGATGGGAACTACAGTCGGTGGCTCGAGTGAAAAGAGGGACTGCAGCCAGTCTCCTCCGATATTTATGTGGAGATTCAAGCTCCTTCCCTCCCTGCGGATTCGGTGGGTGTAGAGTACCGTGAGACTCGCCCGCGGCTTCGATCAAATCTCGTCCGTCACGATGGTATAACACACGACGTGCATTTATATCACTGTTATTATTAGTTCATAATCATTTCCATGAATGTCGGTACACCACCAATTCATATTCCATTATGATTCTCATTTTCCATTAATTGAATATAGCCTCTTTCGTCCAAGTGTGGCACTGTTACAATAAGAAACAAGTATCGCTATCAGTGATGGTAGTAGTACTTAAAGTCGTCATAGTTATAGTATTAGTTCTGGTATCGTGACCATGGTATTAGCCGCAACCAATGTTCGCTACAATCGTCGTCGTCGCCATGATAAATTTTTTATCTACTCTGTAGTTTAATCAAGGAGTCAGCGGTGGAGAGGTTAATAATATTAGAGTGTGAGATAGGTATCGAACGGAGCGGGATTCGAACTCGTTCTCCGCCGCTGCGATACCTTCGTCTGCGGCATGGAACTCGAGTGGAGAGATACAAGGATATATATCCATATAATAGTATTCGTACATGCGATGGTAACCCATTTATGTATATCCGCCACGGTCCTCATTGATATCATCGACTATTTTTTTTATTTTGAAACCTATTCCCGAGAGTTGTGGAAATCAGGAATTTCGAAAGTCTTCATGGTTTTGATCAGATGAAAAATCGATTATAGCAATGCGTTATAGTTTCCGCCGTTTATATATGTATGTGGTGGATCGAAATTGGTTTTATAGTATATTCAATGGTGGAACAAATAGAAGTCCACCCACAGTGTACAATTAGCGTGACCTCGAGTTCCGTGGCCATGGAACCGTTCAATCAGTGTTAAACATTAGAATGACGTCTATGGGTTGTTTGAAGGGGACGGGATCGGCGACAAAGAATGTGTGGGGCAGTCTCACGCACATTCCCCTCATCTGGCAACGACGTGTCAAGCGACCCTGCTCGGAACAACCCAATTACCAGTGCGTTCGTCGGGTGTCCGGTCCCTCATAAAGCAAAAGGACTTGTGAGGCTACGCGATGTTTCCATACGATGACGTCCACGAGTTACTGCTCATCTGAGCCTGGTCAGGTGCTCCGTCTGCTCGAAGGCCCCGTATCGGTAGCCACGTGGGACTACCGAAGCTCACTCACGGCAAAGAGGATTCACTCATGAACGTCATCATGAATCACACATTTCTTCAACACCGACGGATATCAGACGAGAGTTGAGTCGGAGTCCTCCCTTCGCGTGTGTAAGTCCCGAATCATCGAGGTGTTAACTTTATTGAATCACTGGGTGACGACTGTGATGTCGGATTCTGTTAATGTTCTATGTTGAATTGATTATTGTTGTTCTCTCAGTATCACTATGGAGATTTATCACGGGAGCGATTTTCGATGCACCTCGGGAAAATGATGCAACGCTGATAGTTTCTTGTTCATAATATGTGTCTGGTGCGCTCGTTCTCCTCACTCGGTCAATCGTACCAATGTAGAATGAATCGAAACATTTCAAGCGTCCGTGACTCCATGGGTGCGGGCAAGTCCGTGACCAGTCTCCCCGAGCAGCTGGGGAGCGATCGAGCTCGGCCGAGGCCCTTCGACGGGAGTCCGTATCCCAGTAAAGGTATCTCGGGTATTTTCGACTATTTCGCTCAGCTGTGGACGCTTGAACGGTGTTTTTCCCCTAAATGAGTTATTCTTCGATTCTCGCGTCTCGCAAGTCAACTTTTCGTCGCCCAGACAGTGCCGAACTCGGTTTTCGGGCTGATTTAGTCCCTTGGAGAGTGCCCAGTGTCCTTGGCATTAAGTGAGGAGTAGGCGGAAGGGTGTACTCTTTCCTCGAGGTAGTCGAGGGAAATGGTGAAACCAACAATCAAGCTTGTGTGATTTCCACCTGTGAGCGATAACAAACATGTCGTGACTGGGATCGCACTCGGAACGAGCCGAGGGGAGTCGGATGACTCCCGGGATGGGGCGACTGTGTAAACGATTTTTTCTAATTCCTCCCTGCGACATATATTTCGCCATCATCTACTGCATATAGTGATTCGTCTTTCCCCTGGAAGCGACTGTCTCAGGTAAAATGGTCAGTTTTGGGGCGACACGTCGCTCCGAGGAGCGACGAATTTTGGTACGAAGTGTTGTGATGTTGTTATTCTTATTATTAAAGATTGTCGACCATCGTATCTTGCTCAGGAATTCCACGTTTCCGATCATAGTCCCCAAGGATCAAGCAGCGAGTCAGCGAGTCGTCGATAGACTATTCGATTGCTCAAACTCATCAAAGCTCATCATCGTCATCTTCATCAGCGTCATCTGGCGATCCATCGTTCTTGGAATCCTGCTAGGGCCTCATTCCAGTGAGGTCATCTTGGTGAACAAATTAAAAAGTGCACATGATGGTTAGTCGTGTTCGATGAAGCCCTCGATTCATTTACGACGGGAGCAACAAAATGCGTGAATAGAGGAGCCAGGCATCTCTCGAATCGTTGAGTTTCTCGTTGATTCGACGGACCAGTGGCCGTATTTTCGGATTGAAATCTGGTTCAGGTGCTCTCCCCATGATTGAAAGCGAATTTCCGTGTGGGTCCGAATTGAGATACATATGGAGGTATGTATTATCTAGGTGTATCCGGAATCCGTTCTTGGACCCCAGTCTTGTTCCGGATGCTCTCTGGGGGAATTCGATTCTCGTGAGGTGCCAGCATGTACCGATCCTCGGTGACATCCGGCCTGGATAAATGTGTTCATGCTGGAATCAATGTTCGGCTCATTTGCATTTCGGAAATTAAAGATTGGATACCTCCATCGGTTTCAAAACAAAGATGCGAACGTTTAATTTCCGACGACGTACCACTAAATCAAATCGGAGACCGTGATATAAATTATAAAAATGACTACGACGAACTTGGCAACAAGGGGATGGGAACAACTCATGGAAATCAATACCATATTTGGATCATGATACTGTCTGTAGGTTGCGCGACTCAATGTATTGATGAATGGTGGATGTGAGGATTGATTGATTGATTGATTGATTGATTGACTGACTGACTGACTGATGGGCTGATTGGTTCCATCGGCAGCAAAACCGCATCGAGATTATACCACGACCAGCTTTGAACAGAGCATTAGGTGCAAGCATGACATAATCAAAGCTGATGAAAAAGTGTACGGGAATCTCACTCAAAATGCTTGGAACTTAAAGCCGATTGATCAAAGTGTTCCAGATTTTTGTGCCTCGGCGAGTCAGTCACGATGAGGACCGAAAGACTCCCTACGCTGATGGTGAGTGAGAGGATGATGCTCTTGCGTTCGTGGTCGCCGTCAACCACAATGTGAATTAAGTGGTGTGATATTGAAACAGTCAAGAAGGACTGTTCGTCTATCAATTAATGTAGTATGTCGACTTGATGAGATTATTGTAATCAGGCTGGGACTCCGCTCTCGAATCGTTGAGGATTGTAATCTTCGTTGACGAAAGAAAATCCTTTGAATTCGATTTGATTGATATTCTTCACGATGTCGGTCGAAATCGGAGTGAGTACTGGATCTTCTTTCGTGAAATCGGCATCAAAGTTGTTGACATCACGTTTCGTTTTCTGTGGAAAAATGAATATGCCTGTCTTAGCGAATATTATATAAAACTCGAGAGAAGGACGCTCGATGGCGGGGAGGCATAATATTATTCACGGGATGACCAAATCGTCAGCGAATCTCACGATTTTCGGTTTGAAGGGAGGCTTCACTTTGCGAGCCTCCAAAGCGTCCCAGTCCATGTCTCGGAAGAATGGGTGGGTCAAAATGGCCTGCTCGGAGGCGCAGGCTTGAACGCAACCAAGTCTTTTCGCAGGGTTTTTCGTCATGAAGCCTTTCAGAATCGATACGGCTTCCTTACTCAACCACACCGGATATAGAACGTCATCGTGGAGGATCGACTCGAAGAGATCGTCCTCATTATCGGCTTCGAAAGGCGGCTGACCGGCTAACATTTCATACATCAGCACGCCTAGAGCCCACCAATCGACAGATGCTCCGTACTCCAGTTCTTGGAGAATCTCGGGGGCGATGTAGTCCGGCGTGCCACAAAACGTCGTTGTCGTGACGCCATCCTTGATGCCCTCTTTGCACATACCTGGAGAGAAATAAGCAGATTGCTGTCTTTTGCGCTCTGTATGTAAGCAGCTCCGTCGACGGAACGTGGACTAGATTCTGCGAGATGGAATGCTCACCAAAATCTGCAATTTTGCAGTGGCCGTCGGCATCTAGCAGGATATTGTCAAGTTTCAGGTCCCGATAGATCACTCCATTCTCATGTAGGAACATTAGAGCGAGAGTCACCTGGAAAATCCAAGGAAATTCATTCGAAGCCATTCAGGACCGAGCACGAGGGCATCCGGAATGGCGGTGCGCTTTCTTGATCGAATTCCATAGCGGAATGTGCGAAAGTGACGTGAAAAAACAGATTATGAGATCCAACGACCCCACCACTCACCCTCCCCAAGTGCCGCGCCTAATTTCACAGAGACGAAATGTCTCCGGATGAGGCTCGATACGGACACCGAGGAGCGTCGAGTATTTCATACGATCCTATGTCCGAATGGAGGGAAAGGACCCAGTTTCAAGAGATCAGCAAAACTCTCAAAGCTTACCTCGGCCGCATAGAACCTCGCTCGCGATTCTTCGAACTTGCGTGACTTCTGAATTTGGAACATGAGGTCGCCACCGTTGACGTATTCCATGACGAAAAATAGCCGGTCCTCTGTTTGGAAACAGCAGAACAGGGCCGTCAGGAACGGATGCCGCGCACTCAGACTCAGAATTCTCTTTTCTGTCAGCGTACACTCCACATCGTCGTCTTGGAGGATCACGTCTTTTTTGAGAACTTTAATTGCATAAACTTCTTCGGTTCCTTTCCGTTCTCCCAGCATCACCTGAAGAATCGAAGCGGGCATGCCCTTACTTAGATCTTGCCTTTCATATCGAGCACTGCTGAAAGGCTGAAAGCTGAAGACTCCATATACATCATGGAGATATGATATGATTGTTTCTCTGTCTCCGTGCTCATCGAAGGTCGCGATGAACGATTGAGTTCTCTCGGATGAATTCGTTGAGATCCTCATTATCCGAAAAAGAATCGGCGAGGGCCTACGAATCCAATGACGCGCAAGCTTTCATTGTACGGCTACGTTTGTTGATTGGGAAGAAGCAAAACCTCGTTATGTTTTGTGGTCGATACTCGAGCCTGTGAGCCGAGAACCTTAGAGCAACCACACGCTGAGAGACGTTTTCTCAGTATAAACAAAATGCGCGCCTCCCTCACGATTCAGCTCTGGACGCCGTGCTTCTTTACTCGGGAGCCAAATTGGTCCACCAAGGTACAAAGCCCGATTTCAATCTCGAGAGGCTTCCGACGCTCCCGGTTGACGGCTATAATTATTGCGCTCATTGGTGTCGTCTTGAGCTCCCCCCTTTTCCTCGCTATAGACCCACCGAAACTCCATCGTGTGAGGCCTATACTCACCTTCCCGAATGATCCTTTTCCGAGGACCTTGATGAAGTGGAAATCATTAAGAGAGTATTTCTTTTCTTTGTCGAGTGCAAGGGAGCTGAACTTGTCGAGCATTTCAGGGTTCGATGATTCGCTCGGGCTCCCCTTCTCGGCAGTTGTCTGATCGCTGAGGTTGCTGGGCGGACAATCTGCATGCGAGTTTTCGCCTATGGACTTTTTCTTTTTTGTTTGGTGAGCAGCTTATCTCCAGATATGCCCATCGTTTGGAGTATTTCACTCATTTCTTTGGGGTTGATTCCGCAGTTATTCGCCACATTCTTCTGGCATCTCTTATGAACATTTATGTTGCACGCCGCGCACTTTTGGCCTTGTCTAAACAATCCGTACAGCATCGATCCGCAGTGATCGCAGAATGTAGGCCTCTTGAAGTTGTGCACCAAGAAGCGGTGGGGTATATTGATTGAAAATCCTGTTCCTTCCAGATTGAACTCCTCTTTCTGGTTCTCACTCTTCATCCCGGGGCATTTCGTCACCACCATCTCGTGACATCTCTTGTGGACGACGCACGTACACACCTGCGGTCGATCATAGGTCTCAATCGGAGTATAAGCGGGGATGATGGGAAGGATAGCTCAGATATTGCGATTCTAGTCCTCGATCCCTCATGGGAACCTCTCCCAACGCTAACCTGGCACTGGTATCCCTGCTTCCCGATACCCCATATGAATTCTCTGCAATGTGAGCAGAAGGTTGGCTGCCGGAGAATCGTCGCCATAAATTTATGCCCGTTGACCTGAATGGAAGAGCGGAGGAATTAGGTATTTCAAAAAACCGAGCATCCTTTATAACACATGACGTCATTTTGCTATAATCGTGATCATTCGATGGATTCATCAGCGGACAAATATTTAGCGATTCGAGATCTATTACGATACTCGAGGTTCTCATTCTTACTTGATGGACGCGACGACGCATAGCACCGCGTCGTCGGTTGAGACCCGTCGCGCGAGCCTTGAACTCCCGCGGTTTCTCCTTTGGGAGAGCTGTTGAGGAGGATTGGAATATTTAATTCAAGAGTCTACTTGTGTCCTCGGAGTGAGATACCCTGACAGAATAATTATAAGCTCAGATAAATTCAAGTTGGAAGCGCCGATGCATCATTCATATCGACAATAGCCGCCGGAGACTGCGCGCTATCCGAAGAGATGGTGAGTCATAAGATCTATCGGAGACTGTTCGATCCCACATCAGGCATAAGTAAGGCTGGGAATCATTCACGGCAATTTCCTCGAGAATTCACGGCAATTTTCACCCCCTATTGACTTCCTATGGAGGATCGCCTGAAAATGCCGTGAAAATTCACGGCTTCCGGCGCGACCGCGCCAACTTCCCAGCCCTAGGCATAAGACATCGATACGATGTCGAGAGAGACTCCAAAATCGAGTTCCTCTTAAGTTCGCGTCGACGCACGGTCTTCGACGAACTTGTACGTCTTCCAAACCGGTATAACGAGACGGCACGGATGTCAGCATCGAATTCCGCGAGAAGTAAACTCTTCTCAAGCCAGTTACTCTCGGGTCTTCCCGAGCCCGGTCAGTGATTGTGCCTCTTGTGAATGATCGAGCCGGTCACGTTGGGAATAATAGGTGGAAAAATCGGATGAATAAAAAAGCGGATATGATATTCCGGTGGCTCAGTGTGTCAGACGTCACTCCCGGCGTTGACTATGTAAGTGAGTTTGTGTCGCCGCAGACGCCGTGTAGACGGGCTGAATCGTTCATTTGTCTGCCGTTCGCTCGGCAGTGATGTTCGCACTGCAGCGGAAATGAATTAATTGGTGTTTCCGAAAAGAATGTTCAAACCATAAACAAGAGAAAAGCGGTCGTGGGCCGATGAACGCCGCGACACGAGCGACTGCTTCATTTCATGTCAACATTTCCCTTGCCGAATAGCGGAGCCTTTTTATACTTGTTGGGCTGCTCTGGCAGCGAAAGTGAAACCTGTCGGGACCCGAGCAAAAACGTTTCTCAATGAAGTCAAGTCGCGTATCTCAAGTTGTCGTATTAACTCATCTGAGCGACGATGGGTCTATCATTTTATAGAAAAGCGATGAGCCCTGAGCTACCGGTTAATCGGTGAGGACAAATCAAGGGACGAAGCTCTAGAGTGAAGCTCCGGAAATCTCGAGTGGATAGAACCCACACTTGTTCCAGTCGTATTAGAAAATTGGAACGGCCGAGGAGACCTAGATAGCCCTAGGGATAATCGCGAGCTCCAGAGTGCCTCATCAGCTACTCTAGCCTAATTGATGAGCTCATTTCCGGAATGAATCATTCACAGGGAAGAACCTACTCTCCCCGCAATGGATGGCTCGTTCATGAGTACCATTGGAGACTCGGGGAGCGGTTCTGGGCCCCATCCGCAGCAGGGACCGTCGTGTCGATAGATTACTGAGGTTTCCAGAACCCAGATGGAATGATGCATCGGGATCCGCTCTCCCAGTGTTGGGATGATGGTACTCACTTGGGTCGAGAGAAACGACGACATGTATTTTGCCGCCGGGCTCGAGATTGATCCAGATGTCATGTTCGTGAGCTTCATCTTTTTTGAGGAGTTCTTCAAACGTGATCTGACAGTTGGCCACGAAGTCGTCAGATGACAGCGCCGTATGAAAAACCGTGAAACCCAAATTGATTGCTTCATGAACAGATGTTTGGAATACCTGGAACAAAGGCGAAAAGTCGCTAAGTATCTTCTACGCTAGGATCAGGATTCAGTACCTATTTAAGCACACCATAGAACCCCTCACATTCAGCCTTTAAGCAGCGCTGTGGAACTGGTCGTTCTCAGAAGACCTCCTGGTCGGCAGCAAGCCTTGACTTTCTAGCAAATCTGATATTTCGCAGGAACGCTCCCTGCCTAGCGCTCGGAATTTATCAAAGCTTTTCTTTCGGTTTTTATCAAAATTGAAGAGACCCTTCCCATACGTTCCTGAGTGAGATGATCGAGGCAGAAACCGGTACGGAACTGACCCAAGCGGAGGCGAACGATTCCGAGTTCAAGACCGGGGTCCGTGTCCGCGAGAGAGCTATGTCTAGGCAACGATCGTTCGATGGGCGAAACATCTCCATCACGACGCCGGAGTCCCAGGCATCGAAACTTGAACGATCTACAAATCCAATCGAATGACGAAGAAGTATGAGTCCATGTACTTTCGAGTTCCGGAAGCTATGTCTCCCTCCGATGCTGGGAAGGCCTGATGTTGGTCTGTCTACCCGCACATCATCTCTATTTAGCGAGTAGCATCTATGCCCGGGGAGAGGGTCTCTCCTCATTCGAGATAGATATAACAAGGAGCTCGAAGCCGCAGAATCATTGGGGCCATTTAAGAGCTTCTCAGCCTGGCTCAAGCGTCACGGCTTGAAGTCTCATGAGCGTTCTTTTATTTTGACAAATAGGAAGCGACTCACACAGCCTTGAGCATCATCCATTCGAGCCGTTCATCGCAACGGTAAAGCGAATAGAGAGCAGCAGTGGATTCTTCTCTCACATCATTCCCATCGCACTTCCGGGTATAATGAGATATTTTCAGTGATCCCCTTCACTCTCTCTGAGTGAGTTCTGTCCCGTTTTCCCCATGTTTTGCGGTGTAATCCACGCGGACGCAGACTCATGCCTCGATGATGAAGATGAACGGAGTACGGTGCATGACGCCATCGGGGTACGGTCCATAAGCGAGGAATTGAGTCATGAAGGGAGGTCATCCGGAACCCACATATCGATTAGCGGGAAGTTTTAGGTTCTCGAGAGAAATGTCGTCGAGTGAGCTCCTGTCACAATGACCTCTGTACCATCGAGGGCTCCGAAGCCCGGTGGCTCTCGTTTCTCTACATGTTGCTTCTCAATCAGCCTCTGTCAACGGCGAGAGAGAGAGAGGGTCGGACAAGAGGAGGCGAGTGGAAACAGTCGTTTCTCCAATTCGTCCACTCCACTCAGGCTTCGGAATGTCTTTAAACTGTATGTACTCAGGACGCACTGGAATTCGCGCTGACACGAGCTCATTATATTTGTTCCCTTTCGTTTGCCGGCCGATGCATCGGTCGAGCCGACCACAACTGCCCAGCTGCTGAGAGGGTCCAAGCTACGGCTAGCCGAATGATTGATTGGCTTCGATCGATGGAGTCTATGACTCTGACATCTTCCGATACAGTGTGAGCGCACAACCAGGGTCGAGCGTCTTGACGCCATCACAGAGGCGCTGTCTTGTTCAGCAGAGCACAGAAAAACTCTTTGCGCGTAATCGTGCCGGCCTCGAGCTTTCAGAATTGTTTTCAGGTCACTGAGTACTGGAGGGACCGAACACACCGCGCGATCGTCGGGGAATCTCCGAAGACGAAACCGGACAGAGAAAACGGTTTCTCGGAGGCCGTCTGGGGCGCTCCGTAATCGCAATCCATTTCTTAAGGATCTTCCTCACTCAGAAATGCGATACCTCGCCAGAACTGACCCAGTTTCCTCGGCTGTGCTCAGAACATTCCTTACAGCAAAGCCGCCTGGCGTGTATTGCGTACTCTATAACCCTGTCGTTGCCATGCTTGTCGCAGGATCATTGGCTCGCAGGCCAAGGGTCCCGGAACAGGAGCTTCTATTCTGAGAAAGGCAAGCCGGCCAGTCGGCCGAGGATGGGGCGCAGAGTTGGTACAGCTCTGGATGCGGATAACCGAGTCAAGCAGGCGGGGCGAACGTGCAGTCGAAGCGAGCAAGGGCCTGGCCCCATCACTGAAGCGGTGGCATCGGCAAGGATTCGAGCATTTCACCCACCGACTGACCGGGCTCGAGCTCTCTTCCGCGAAATTCGCCGGATATGTGACATCGGTCTCGAACAATTCACGGGAGCTACTAGGAGCAGCAGTAGCAGCCGCCTTTGCTAGCTTATCGGATTGGAATCAGGCGGATGTGGTTGTCACATCTCGCTGACCCGACCATCTCTCTCATTTCTATTGAGGGCCCTCCGATCGTGATCGAGCTTGCTCACTAACCAGGGAATCAGCTCATGTACGAGCCAATGCCCGAAATGGCGCTCGGCTGCATGCGAAACTTATGGAGCAATCACGGTATCATACGGCATACTGACTCGGGGAAAACTCTCCCGAATCAGAGCAAAGAGGGGGAACAAAAAAAACTGGGCTACGGCTTTATTCCGCAACCTTATACGGCCCTCTTATCAGACGAATGAAGGAATGGATTCCGGAATTTTTCCAGATCCTGTCTCGAAGCCTTGGACAAGTGTAGGCCCACCACACGGACACAGCCTGGGGTAAGGAGCTCTACCCGGCCGTGCGCGGTCCGAAAGAGATATTTGAGGAAACAGACGTGCTCGCACCTGAGGAGGCACGATCCTGAGACCGCCTCAAATGGAGGTCTGCCAACACGGAACAACACCATCTTGCATTAAATCGCTCTGAAGAGCTTTCCGAGATTAATTCAGATTCGGTAAATTTCTCTGATGGAGTCGGAGATTTTCAGGAGCAGCTTCGAGCTCGACGGGCACGACGTTCCCGACGATACCTAGTCCCACAGTCACTTTCCTGCTTTAATAGGCTGTGACGTGCCTCGATATTCCGACCTCCGGCAGGTATATCGGCGATCTGATGGTGAAACTGATCAACATGAACCGCTTTGAGACAGATCGACGCTCGAATAAACAAATTGAACGAAATCCTGCCAGACACAGAAGCATATACACACACTTGGTACATCCGATAACATCGCGATTCGCGATCACATACCTACTATCGTATCAGCGGTCTCATGCGATATTGGCGAGGATCAGAACTCGTCACGAGTCACGACGCTAACGGTTCGCCCGATCAGCTGTTCCGAAATTCGCGAAGCGCGGTCAGTCGAATATGAAAGTAGTTTCGAGAGTAGTTCTCCGTGTTTAGAATCACTGCGATTACGATACACCGAGAGACGAGTATGAAATGAGAGCGATATGCGTTCCAAACCTCAAGTTTTCTCGACCCGGTAGGTGACAGAAATTCGCTACCGCATTGCCCGCCGCGAGCTGACGCCACCTCTTGGATGGGTATAAACAAGCTCGCTTCCAGATGAGTGAACATGTGAATGAAGAACGGATATATGGATGAATAGAGGGACATTGTTCGAGCACCCTGGCCATTGTCCGGCCAGTGCGCGATGAGAGCTCGCCACGACCGCAGTGTATGTATGTAAACCAACAAGCTGAGCAGTCACCAGCTGAAGCTATACTCGCGTTATCGCAGGGACAAAACATGACGAGGCCAATGTATCAGATCTGGCCGATGAATCAATGCCAAAGCAAAGAACGCGAATTCTCAGAACCTCGATTTAAGGACGTCGGGCTCTCCCCGACACGCGGTATGGTGAATTTCCTTTCAGAACACATCCATGTCCGATCTACTCCTCCGTCACGAGAACTCAAAACGCGGGAAATCCGCGAGCCCCGTTCGTTTCGCAACTCAGGATCGATACGGCAGGCGTCGCCAGGCTGCAGGACTCGAACCACCCCCGTCGATTGAGTGATCGCACATGGCGAAAATCAGGAAGGCCGAGACAGGACTATAAATCGGTGTCCAGGAACTGGCAAAGGAAACTGAATGTGGAGGAATGTTGTTGTTGGCCTGTGGCTTTCCCCAGGAAGTGGCATGGAGGCTGATGGTCAGCAGCTCCTTTCTATCCGATTACGCGATGTCCGGGAGACTTTCTGAGGGATTTCGCCCGGAATTTTAGGAGTGGTCGAAGCAGCCGCACCACCTTTGGGTATCAAGGATTGGGTGGTTGAGCCCGGAGGAGGTCTTTCTCCACGAGCAATTCTATCAGGATTCATTGTGACGCTCTGGAAGGCGAGCGACAGCCTCTTATTACAGCGGGGTAAGATATCGGTGAAGCTGGGACAATGTATCTCGGGTACTACAAATTTTGGCCCGGGATTGAGTCTGTAGTCTTCACGCTGAGATCCAGAGCCCTCACGACCTTGCATCGGATGATCGATAGCTGCCTGTCGCTCCCCCGAGGAACCTCAAGGAACGAGGACCCGGTCAATGCTCCCGAATCACAAAAGATCGGAAAATTATATTCCCCCGCGAATTTCGATATCTTTTCGAAATCATGGTGGAGGCTTGGTGGAAACCTCCTGAACTTTTCGTGGGATTATAGTTAACCTAGTCACTGTCCCCAGGAGACGGGAACTGCGTTAACTCCCCAGCCGAACCTTCCAGGAGTGAACTAAAGAGCACGGAACGTGAAAAAAACACTCACCTCATTCCAAACGGGCTTCAACGTGCGAGGTTTACTCGTCGATTTGCAGACAAGTTCATCGTCGATATTGATGGTGACGTACGGATCGATCGTGGAGGGAGTTTTACTGCTCCCTGTTAACGCGACTACATGACGCGCCGTAATGTCGGTGGGTCGTAGATCGACCGCCTCGACTAACTTTACTTTTACGATTCCGCTGAACGGCATGCTGACAAATGCTTGCGGCAGTTGGAGAGGAGTTTTTTCTCCTTCGGCTGACACCGTACCCTATCGCTATCACGAATCCGCCCCGATCGAGCTCATGCCCGCAGAACCTGGGTTGGCAAACTAGTCGAGCCTACGTGTTGCTCATCAGGGCCGTTCGTCGCTGTAGCTCCTGTTGCTGTCGTTGCTGAGGTCGTTGTTGTTCTCGACAGGACGACAGCAGAATATCGCGAGAGAGATGTGCGTTCGGTTTGTGCGTGGCAAATTTCAGCTCAGCGACGGATCATCAACCCTCATGAAGACGGGGGACAGGTACGTTTTGTATGGTTGCAGCCGAATAGGCGAAGACGTCACGTTCTCACTCTAGCAGCGGATCCCCGGGAACAACACAATTCACAGTGAGAAAAACTCGGCTCCCTTCTCTCTCGCTCTTCCTCCAGAAGCACGGTTCCCTTAAAGCTCGGTGGAGCTCACGCGTCGGGAAGCTAGGATTTCAATAAATGCCCCAATTCGATGAGTCGCCGCTTCACAGCGCACAAACTGCTGCTATGGCCGCCGCTGTTGCTCGACGAGCTGACTGATTGTTGATAGCCCCGAATTTAGGTCTGACCAGCTCCAGTCAGACCGATTCTCGAGCTTGAAACGCTAACAAGTGTGTTGACGACGGTGGCGAGTTGCCTCCCCCACGAAGGAAGGGACGAGCGTTCTGTCACTGAACGTCGCTCCGAACTGCAGTTTCCACTCGACCTCGAGGCCGCGAGGACGTCCTCAGGTTGCACTCCGAGGATAACGATTTCGGACGCGAAAACAACACCTGCACACACTCTACTCGGGGATCTAGCTCACGAAGATGTCATTTCGGAGCGACGGCCTCACTCAAACTCGCCATAACGGCTCCCGAACAAGCTGCCGTGGACTCTGCCGTCGTCGATTTCGTTGTGATCCCTAGTCGATGGTACTGCCCCCGCTGCTGCTGCTGCTGCAGGTACTGTTGAGTCCGGTTGCCGTCCTCCTCCCTACGTTGGTGGTAGCGGTCGGGGGGTGGGAGGCCGACGTCGTCGTGTTGGCCGAGATGCTGCTGGTGGTTGTGGTGGTCGGCGCCGCCGCAGCAGCAGCTCAGGTAGCAGTCGTCGCGAGCCGCCTCCGTTTGTGGATTTTTCAGCTTGAGCCACCACCAGCGAACCTGAGGGTGAGGGAGATATTTCTTTTAGTGAACTCCGGGAAGCGAAAGGAAGACCCCTCTACCAGTCGACAGACAGCCAGTCGGCCAACCAACCAGCCGGAGCCCACCAGTGCCAGCCTACGCGGTGGCGTTAATTCACTCGAGTTCGCGCACGCTCTCCTGGAGGCTGCGGCCTGGCGGCGTGTCCGACTCTGCTCTTGGATGATTACCTGTTTGATAGGCTTTAAGCTTGATCGCTATCAGCCAACCCGCTCGCTCGCCCGCTGGTCGGCTGGCGCACCTTTCACGCACCCGCTGTTGAGGGCGGCAGCCAGTCAGACGTCGATTTTCGGTTTCTTTGGAATTCTACGGCGAGCCGCCACCGCGGACTCGAACTGAACCACTCGGCACGGTCAGGGCACGCACGGTGCGGCCAAGTAGACGCAGCTGTACTTTTTTTCAGCACCGCCGTCAATTGGTCTACGGGGACGGCATCACGTGCGAACATCAAGCTGAGAAGCAGCACCTCATCGAACCGCTAGGACTAACTGCATGCATGGATAGTCCTCGAGGGCACAGATCGATGGTCACGCCGCGAACGATCATCGCTGGACGGGATTCAGCTCAATCATGGCCCGCCGACTTCGAGCCCAGAGCTCCACAAGCGTCCCGATTCACTCGGATGATTTCACCTGTTTGAGGAAAATTCCCCAAAGTTTTCACTTCGTTCAACAGGGCCACGGTTACTCTCGACACCGTAGAGCTCACCGCTGCTTCCTGCGTCGCAGCCTAGGGGGCGCTAAGGCATACAATGCGCGAGTCTCACTCTCGGAAAGCTTTCCCGCGGTCCTTTCCAACCTGACTCCACTCTCCATGAAACGAACCAACCGACCAAAAATCGTACCAACCGACGACGTACCAACTTACCGACGAGCGAGCGCTACGTACAAAAGCACATATGTATATCCTCCCATTTATTTAGACCCCGGCATGCGATGCGAGACCCGTGTTGAAGGGACTCCCACCCACTGAGCTCCTCTCATGGAGGAGCGGGAGAAAATGCCTCGACGGGAACAGGTGTGATTACGGATGAATCTTAGAATGCAACAATCGGTATGCGCCCCGATTCGGATTCGGTCGCCGTTTCGGGTCCCGTGTAAACGCCAATGCGTTACTCAGCACCGTGGCGGAAAAAAAAGAGGAAATATTCAGCGCGCGTTCGTAATCACCTCACGATTGCATCACTGATCGTTCCGAAGCTTCTCCGAGGATCGGAGTAGAGTTTTCCGGGAGAAAAACTTCGAACGGCCTTTTGCGGAACGGCATGGGTTCGATTCGAGCGCACGTCCGACGTCCGACCATTCATTTATCCGATCAGTCGATCCTCGATTGGAAATTCTAAGCGACAACGAGACTTTGAGATCGGTTTGCTGAAGAGAAAACGGGACCCGGATTGGAGCACCGACGGTCTCGAAGATTTCGCGTCCGCGCACCTCTCAGGACACTTCGTTCCGCAAAGTTCAGGAATGTCATCCCCGCTTGATTTGTCGCTTCCCCCTTGATGAGTTCCCGCGTTGCTTTGACTCATTGGCGGATCGATTTCCAGCGATGGGGGAGGCGCAATGTGCGAGATTCCTACTATGAAGCCCCCTTCTTCGATGAAAAGATCGAAGGTGATCGAACAGGTAATCGCGCCGTTAGCGTTGCTCTTCTTTTCGACCTCTTAGATTCAGAAATTGCTCATCGGGAAGAGATTCAGAATCTCTTCCCGATTTGAAAACTTATGACTCTGAGAGCCCGTTAGCCGAGTCAGACCAACCAGCTCTGGAGGGCGAGTTGAGCGAACAGTGCTGAGAGCTTCCGTTCGAAACGCTCCTCCGATCGAGAGGTCCCCATTCGAGGTCAATTCTCCCGAAGCTCCGTGTTAAAATCATAGAGAAGACGTCCACCGAGTAACGGTTTCAGATAATTTACCCTGACGATGATCTCCTAACAAGTGATTCCCACGACAAGTAACCGAGTACGTACCTGTTATTAACAACGTCCTCGAGCAAGCCTCACGGAATCATCTTGAGTTCCACCTTCCGAATCAGGCTCTCGAGTGGAAGCCGACTCCCTCCAGACACCACCTCCGTCACCCTTTGTTGAACAAACGGAACGGCTTTCCGTAACTGTCACACACAGACTGACTGAGAGCAGCAACTGACCGCTTGACTGACAGCTCTGTCTCCTCCTCCTCCTGCTGCTGCTCTGGCCACTGCTCCTCCCCCTCCCTCCTCCTCCTCCTCCTCCTGAGTCCAGTACCGCTTAATTAGAGCGCGCCAGGCTGCCACTTCTGGAATGGGTGAATCGGCAACGCGGCGCCATGTGACATGTTCTATATTCGTACAAGCTCCATAAGTTTCTACGAGCCGCATCCACGCCCTGTGTTCCACAGCGATATGTACGGCGCCGCCAACACCAGCAGCTAGTGTATCGGGCTAAAAACTCGGAAGCGGCTACACTAGCCTTCTCTCCGAACATTAGCCAGACAGCCCGCCCGCGGCGGCCATCTGGGATCTTTCGTAACGAAATCCGAAAAAAAAATGCCGCTTCGGAAGACGTACGCTCGCATAGACATATGTTCGATTCGATGCAGAACGTCGACTTTGAGGAGGATCCGACTCCGGATCAACAAGGGCGTGAGCTCAGACCATTAATGAATATGCTTCACATGATCAGAGACATGGCGGGGCTGATGATGATGATCTCTCATCGAAGTACGTCCACGTGCAGGGCGGGCCTCGAGCGCGGTCCTCGATGTATGGACGGACGGAATCGGCAGGAATGTCCAGTACGTCGGACACCGGTTCGTGTGATTGTTTTCCCCGAGCGATAGGTCAAAGGCCGCTGCGATTGACGGAATGTCTGGTCCTGAGAGCCAACCAAGAAATGAGCACGTTCATGGGGAAGCGCGAGTCCTCATGAGGAAATCGTGCTCTGCCGGAGAAAATTCCAAGCTCCGTCGAACGGCGGGTTGGAGCCACTTCAATTCACAGCCCAGATTAAAGATAAGCGATGGCTGGGACACCAAGAAAGAGAACAGCGGGTCCTTCGGGGCCACTGAAGCCCAGGATCTCAAATGCGAGAGTTTCGTTTCCTGCTTGGGCTGCATTCGTGACGATTTCGATCTGAAGGTCGATCGAGGAGGAGTATTAAAGATGGCTTCCACAATTTCCCGGAGCAGGGTGCTCACGGAGGGCATTCCGGACGGAAAGACCGTGGTCCCAGACTATCCTCCTTTTCGATTCTTCGGACCTGATGCGAATCATAACGGAAGCCGAGGCTCGAAAATGCGAGCCCAGATCCGGGGTTTTCTGGCGGATTGATTCCATGGCAAGGGACTACCCTAACTGTAGTTTTTCTTAGACTTTGGATCAGAAGGTGGGCGGTGAACACTACGCTGACGTGAAGATCCGTAGCTAGGAGTGATTAAGTTTTCCGCCGTGGGGAATAGCTGAGAAGAATGCTCTCAAGAGCTGAGGGGCTTCAGAATACATCGGAAAAGCTGAGGGGCTCCAGAATACATCGGAAGACCTGATAGATGTTCTTCATCATCAGCATGAGATTCACTTTACTATACGCCGAAGGTCCCACACCGAACGAAATTCACCGAGCAGTCAGTCCGTCGAAGCGAAGCTCGATACATCAGACGATCAGACGATGAACTTATTATTTATGTGTCAATCTACATCGGAATCGACACCGGGTCAAACTTTTCAACATGAGGTTTGAGGTTCGAAACTCACACTGGATGAAGCGCCCCGTGGGACCCATGACACATGTCCGTCCGTTGAGCTATGACTGAATCTACTGGAGTACATCTACTATTCGGTGGCGCGCCGTCAAGTCAGGTGACGGCGCACAGCTCTAAACTCGGAGCTTCCCAGAGGAATCTGGCGTTTTTCTTTCCAGATATTTCGGCCTCGTTCAAGACGCCATTCTGATTTATTGGAAATTCCCTTGATTTGTCTCGCTGCGCGCAATGATCTGACCGTACGCTTTACTCTCCTAACTATTATGTTTCTAATTTCCCAAAAACTAAGCCTCCTGATTTCCCCAGGGGTATGTCTTCATTCCGATGTGTCTCCGCATCCTTCCAAAGACGCGACTCGACTCTCAGTTCCGTTAGCACCCGATCACTTATCACAGGAACTATGGGTTGGAGCAGTATGCTGCTGGTCCGGAGCACTTCAAACACTGTGTGCAGAACAAGTGCCCGCTCCTCCCCCAACATCCAGGGTTTCGTCAGGTCGATGTACTGGTTCGTGTCCCTCAGCGTCGCGTGGATGAGATCGACTCCGAGGTAAAAGTCACCTGCCTCGAAGTGCGGGCCCACCTGAAGCGTTCGGAGAACGAGTGGAGAATCAGAAGACGACATAACGTATGTAGATGGAGCTCTCAAAGCATTGTAATTGAAGTAGGAGGCTTCCTTCTTGGGGTCGCCAAACCTCACCTTTGCCGGGAGAGCCATCGATTGTTCCAGAAGACGCCGAGATATCGTACTGAACTCAGATTCCTCTCTCGGCATGCCTGGAATCATGTGGTTGGTGTTGATGTTCTTTCCTGTACAGCGGCTCAGGAGGTTACCGTAGCAACCAGCCAGCTCTGAATTCAATATCCGAGTCATCTTCAAGGCGTTGAAATCTGCAATTAAGCTTTCCTTGAACTAAGCCTTGTGGATCGGCGGGGAAGCTTCAATTAGGTACTCGCCCACGAAATGATTCGGAGTATTATTAATTATTATCTTGCAGGAATCGGGAGGGCATATGTTGATTTCCCGGTAGATTATTATCAGGATTTACCGCAAACCCCGATATTCAGCCCCTGAACTCACTGGTATCGCTGTGAGGCACCGCATGTCGAAGCAAGAAATACCTCAGACCATCTGCCGTGACCTTATCTGCCAAACCGATAGGATCCACCACGTTGCCTGATGACTTTGACATCTTCCTTCCGTCGACCGTCCAATGGGAATGACAGAAGAGTCTGGAAGAAATCGTCGAGGAGAGAAGGGAGAAGTATTGCCTTTGCTATAAACCTGCAGGGGAAAACCGCTCCACGGGCGAATCTGAACTCACCTCCGAGGAGGTTCTAAGCCTGCTGCCAGCAGGAAGGCTGGCCAATAGACACCGTGAAATTTCAAGATATCTTTCCCGATGACCTGAACCGATGGAGGCCAATGCTCCACGTTCGGGTAGCCAGATGCTGTGAGATAGTTAACGAGGGCGTCCAACCACACGTAGATCTATGATGAAAGAGTAGAAATCAGAACTTCTCGCATGTTGAGCTTTGAATCAGGTTTTGGCAGACTTACGCTTTGACTGTCATCACCCGGAACGGGAATCGCCCATCGCACTCTCTGACTGCATCGCGAGACAGAGAGATCTCCGAGATCTTCCTCGACGAGAGAACGGAGGATCTTATGGAATTTTGCCGGATATACTAGGTCTGGAACGTTGTCCAGCCAGTGGAGGAGATCGCCTGGAGGCGAAGAGGAAGCCTGTAGCGCCGTTCCTCAGCACTCAAATAAGGTGCGGTGTGTTCAGCCGAAAATTACCTTTGAATCTCGACAGAGCGAAGAGATAGTTTTCCTCTTCAACCCATTCAACGGGTTTCCCCGTCTCGACGTCGACGGTCAACTTCTGTTGGTCAACTTCGACTTCCTGAACGTCCGCCACGAAAGCCTCGTCGATAGTAGAATACCATCCCTTGTAGCTCCCCTTGTAGATATGACCTCGCTCTTCGAGAGTTGCCTGGATGTGGAGTTGACCTTTCGTTATAACACCCCCAGTGATGCATGTCTAGAGACGGCTTGAATTGTTCCAGCCTACCCAGAACTTTTGGACGGTGCTTTTGTGCCGGTCCTCCGACGTCCTAATGAAGCCAGTGTTCGAGCAATTTACTAATTTACAGAGATCCCGGAATCTATGCGATACGTCGTCACAGAAAGACTGTTCCTTCTTCTTCGCGAGTGCAGCCGCTTTTTGAACCTGTGGAGGGAGCAGAGGAGTGGGAGCCACCGGAGAATCAATATTGGCGGGGGATAGATAGCTGACCGACCACATTCATGGGCTCCGCCGACGGTTCTTCGATTTCCTTCTCAAAAATGCTTTTGACTCGGATGACCGAGCAATACATCCGATGGAACAACCTTAAGACCGTGCTCGTCTGTGCCCGTCACAAACAGAGTGTCGGAGTCTGGCGTTTTCAGTCGATGAAATCTGTGTAGTGCGTCAGCCAGAACGATTGTATGACAATGGCCGATGTGTGGAGCTTCAAAGAAAAAATCGATTGAGATAGGTCGTTCGCAAGCCTGTGTTCCCCGAGGAGGGTCCTCTCCGATCGCTAGGGTTTCTCAACCTGATCGCGGCAACTTTCGCACCTGCATTAACGTAGAATATTGGCGTAGTCACGAAGAATCGAGACATGCTCCAAGAGGGATATGGTTAAAACGAATCGATGCTTTGAAAGATTCTCTAGGAATCGATCCGCGCACCGGTGTTTCTCCATAGACACACTCGGATCAACTACTCTGTTTTGTTTACAAACACCGCCGTCTGCTGGGTTCCATGTTGGTGGTGGCGAATGGCGCGAAAGCTTTTGTCGCTCAGAAGGAGAAATCGTCGACTCGCCTCGATCGAGGATATAACGATATTACTCGCACGAGTTTGCATGAAGATCATAGCATTCATTATCGTCCCTGAATGGAGTAGAGAACTTCGCTGCTGATTCCCGGACCAGGTGCTGTCCCAATTCAAAGGCTGACTCAGTCAGCAGAAGAAATGAGGTGCCGGCCATGAGCAGATACAAAATCATAAGCTAGCTATTAGATCTTCGAGAGCCCAAAAAGGTCAAGGTACCCGAGAGCACCATGGGATCATAGCGGTCGTCATACAGTCGGAAAAAAGGCAATGATTCTGAGGTTGTTCGTATGGAATTGAGGCTTTCGTGGGAAATGCTGATGTCGACTTTAGTTTTCTCCCTCCTACTCCACTCGAGCTTAGAATCGTCAATAGAGAAAAGTTCATCTAGCGGGAACGCTTCAGAGGAGGGCAGACATCTGTGTTGACGTTTAAATTACTGGCATTCTTATTGACTAAGGCGGGAGCCTCTCGAGGAGCCGGCTTCTGGCGTTCCTATGTGTCAGATCTCTACTGACATTCGAATTCCTTCGCCCCCGATTCTTAGCAGAGGGGAATCCCTGGATCACCCCATAGGAACGCACCGTCCATCCCGCATCCAGAAGTTCCCCAAACATCTACAGTCGCCGCTTATCAGCGACTTCCTCTCGCTAGATCTGAAGTAAACGCATTTCGAACCTCTGGGACAGGTGGTCTGGTCACAAACTTCGTCAAAATCTGTAAATGAATCTCGTGAAGTGATCCGATCAATGCGTCCATTCGCGAACTCAGGGTGTTGGAACTCGCGACTCGCGACACTATCATTAATCATTATGTTATCGTTCACATATATGTTTTATCAATTATTATATCATACACTGAATGGAAATGGATTTCATCCCTTTCCCACCTTGCATGTCCAAGTATGTCAATACCATGGGCATGCTCGCCAGAATGGCGAATAGGAGCACTGCGAGAAGAGAGCACGAGGCTTCGATGAAGGCTTCCCCAATCGATATTCGCTGACTCTCAACGAGTTGTCGTCGAAGTTCTGGGTCGATCTTCTCTGCAATTTCAAAGAGAACGCCGATGGACAAAGGCAAGGGGGCTCACTGAAGTTTTTTGGCATCATCAATCTTACATCCTCGATTCCGTGGAATTCCTCAGGATTGTGTGCTGGATCAGAAAGTAGTGCATGTCCTCCTTACTTGCGCCATTTCCCCTCTCACGTATTCAGGCTCACATAATATCGATCAATTATTGCGCTCCGTCTGACCGGATGGATAACCACTGACCTGACTCGCGCATGCTTTGACGCATTTTGGTCGGGATTTCCTTGCAACGTCGACACCCCTCCGAGTGATTGCTCTAATTGGGGGATCGGCGAGTCGGCTCACGACCTCACGACGCCTCAGACCCCCATGCGGGCAGAGGCTCGATACTCGCGGTAGGCTACGTTCCCCGCTCGAGTTTCTGCCCTCAACTCGCACAGGTTTTATCAGCAAGTGAACTTTACCGTTCCATCGCGGTGGAGAAATTCGCTGACAGCTCTCCGAACTCCGAACCTCTGCTTAAGGATTGTCTGCTATTTGTTTTCACACGAGCATACGGAGGATGACATGTGTCATTCCGCTGGAGCTAGAATATTCGTTGACCGCTGTCGAGTCGTGTGAATGCGAAGGATCGAGGGAATTGGTCTTGCAAGATTATCAAATGGAGACAAGCAGCCTTTATTCGCATCGAGCTGAACGGGTCCCAAGCGTCGCGAGCCTTCTGTTCTCTCACGCGAGCGAGCTCGCCCTACTGTTCTCGAGTCATTACAGTATTTCTCTAGAGATAACCGCTGCCATGGAATTCGATAACGTCCACGAATAGATCTCAGGACCGAGCAGCATTCACCCAGTTATGTCGCATTCCATGAATCCTGGTTCTGACGTCGAGACCACCGATATTTCCGCGATGCGGGGAACGATGTTGTCGATCCGAGACACTCCCTCAATCTCCAGAAGATCGGGTACTTATCCTTCACCGTCCTTCCCCGGATACTAGTGGATCCGATGAGATCGAGGCGAATCACGTTTATGCCGACCTTCGAGATCCTCATATTTTACAATGGCGATCTGAATAGGTGCATCCCCGCTTTTACTGCCGAGCGGTCGCGCCGTGATGCCCGAAGTTTACAGCGACTATTAATGGTCACTAGATGCGAGATGTCTGTCGCGAGCCCCAAAAGAGGATCGATATCTCATATCATCGTCCACACGATCAGCTGTGCGAAGATTAAGGTCTGATTGAGCACTACCGTCTAGATCTCGGGAGGTGGCCGGGAAGCCTCACGCAGATCAGGAACATCGGCCGTGGATCGAGGATATCGTCCGCGGATCGAGGATATCGGCCATGGATCGAGGACATCGGCCACGGATCGAGGACATCGGCCACGGATCGAGGACATATCGGTTGCGGACCAGGTATGGGCAACAGATCAGCGCGAAAAAATCTGCCGTCACGACGGAGAGACTTCGGGCGTCCGATATTCTCGACAATTCGTCGGGTGAGTCCCGGGAGACGAGGCATTCAGCATGTTCCTGAGTTCGAGCCGAGCCGAGAAGAGCCGATTGACCTTGATCATCTCAATCCCGATCTCGTTTTGAAACATTATGTCATAATTGTAAACAGTTGACACCCCTAATAAATACGAGGAGCTGTACCGCGCAGCTCACCGATATATTACGATACAGTTGCCAGTTTAGTGCCCTTTTCTTCTTCGTCTCGGCAATTCGCCTCGAGATTCGCTTGCGAGTTCAAGGCGAGGGAAGCGACAGGTCTTTCGCACGCGCTATTTGAGAGCAACCCGTTAGCGGGGAATCATTCTCGAAGCTGGTAAAGCTCAGGAACTCTCGAAGCATTCGTTCGGCCGAGACTTCCAAGTCGGTCAGTTGGAGCATCAAAAAATGTGTTTCAACTCGTCCTCAATCGTGGAGGTGGATTCCGACTTGGAAGGGAAGAAGAAGGCTCTCGAACATCCAAAGAGCTCGCCCGTTAGGAATCATTCGGGTCCCGACGGACCTGAGAGCATCCGGATGGCAGTCGTACTCGGCTTCATGGCATTCTTGGCATCCGCCGGCTTCCGATCAGCAGGATTCCTCTACATTGGAATCATGGACACATATGGAGTGACTCGACAAGAAGCCTCATGGCCCCTGAGTCTCATCGGTGCATTGACGAATCTTTCCGGTGAGTGAAGGCGCCTTTCCTCCAAATGGCGTTTAAGTCAATTCTCTGATGCGAAGGTTCGTATCCTGCGGTCGGGCATTGGTAATTCGTCACCCTGTGAAGATCTCCCCGAAGGTCTTGCCCGATAGGCGACGATCGGTTCGCGCTGACAAATGCCTGTCCCGAGGCGAGACGTTCGATTGAGGGAAGAAAATCGCGAGCACCTCATTCAATTGAAGCGTCCCATTGCACAAAAACGATCCAGTGACGAGCGGTTGGTGACTAGCCGTGGATCTTGGACTCCGCCCGATTTGAGATGAGGCTTCCTATCTAATGGACTTCGGAGCTCACCCGACTCCAACAAACGGTGCGACATCGGGGCAGCTCGAACCGGTCGACAGCACGATATCCGTCATCGAGACACCTCCTGACACCTTGCATATCTGATATGTCGCTACCCGCGTTTAGGAGCCGGCTAACGGCTCACTGTCATCTCGCGACTTGAAGCTTTATGAGCGAGGAGTCCGTGACGACCATCGGGGGTTTCCCTGATTCCCTGGTTGCTTTTGGCAACAACTGGAGAAACGCACCCTCAAGTCGCGATTAGCGGCTCGTTTCACGTCTCTGTCAATTCAGGGGCACGTGGCACAGTTTGGACAAGGTTCGGCAAACGATCTCTCGATCCGTAACATGATCTCCCGCCGCCGATGTCAACGCGATGCGGAAGGGAACGCGGGAGGGCTCAGTCGAGATTAGCGTCGCGCCGTACTAAGCGGGAAGAATTGCAGATTGATCTCATCCTTATTATTTGAGGAATTCCTGAAGGTCGTGCTGGATGACCCACGAGAATTGAGCTACCGGCGCTCCATCTGCCGAGGTTCCCTCTACGGAGGAGACGGCTCATCACGCTCTCGTAGAATTCTTCGGATTCGACTGAAACCGACAGTGAGCTGATTTCTTCACCGCAGGTGTTTTTTCTTTTCCCAGGAGTCATCGCCGGACCGCTCGCTCAGAGATTCTCGACCCGACCCGTGGTAATTATGGGAGCTATATGCGCATCGTTAGGTATGATCCTCTCGTGCTCTGCGGCGACGGTACCGCAACTGACGCTCTCATTGGGTGTGCTCTATGGATTTGGCAACGGGGTCCTTTTCATAGTCATCAACTCGACCTTGACGCAGTACTTCGACAAGTGAGTTCATCAAAATAGTTTCTGCAGACTTTTGTTCACAACGCTCAAAGAGATTTCAGTTGAAATTATCATAGGCCGCTTCCCTTGGGCCGCCTTCAGTTGAGAATATTCCTTTCGCAGATATCGGGCCGTGGCTTTCGGAATTGTTTACGCGGGCAGTACCATGGCATCGTTCGTGTTCCCGTCGCTCCTCCTCGTGCTGAATTCACTCTATCCTTTCAAGAGCGTGCTGCTCATTTTTGGTGAGTTTCCCGGGGGTGGAGGATCACCGACTTCGCTTTGAACGCTGCATGATTGTTCTTCATCGGGCGAATAAGCCCGAACCATCGGCGACGAGAAGGAAAATCTGATCGGAGAAATTTTTGCCTCAGGTGGAATAATTTTGAATCTCTTCGCATTGTCGCTCTACGTCAAGGAGCCATCGTGGATGAGGGAGCCGGGGTCGAAGACCAGCTCGCACAAGAAAAACTCTTTGAAGGCATCGTTCACCATCTTCAGGGAACCCATATTCTATGTGTGTCTTCTCTCGAACATTCTGTTCCAGTACGGCTTCGATGCGTTCATGACAACACTGGTGAGTCCGCTGCGGAGGTCGACGCTCGAATTTCCTTCTCTGGACTTCGACATCGTGTTTCTCATTGGTGTTTGCTTCTCCGAAGGTCGACTTTGCGGTGGATCGTGGGGCGACCCTCCAACAAGCCGTTAATCTGCTCCCGTGGTTCTCGGTGGCTGATTTCATGTCGAGGAGCGTTTTCCCCTTTGCCGCAGACAAGGGCTACATTCAGAGACCAACGCTCATCATGCTCTGCTATTTCTTCACTGGTAGGTCTCGAAATTCAGTCTAGGGAGCCATCAGGAATCGGGAGGTTTCATGTCTTCCGGAGCCGGAGACGCCTAATGGAAGCTCCTTCTGATTCGAAGAACGGCCTCGCTCCTTTTTGCTTTGTCGAGCATGAATTGCTTCGTTCAATCAGTCTGATTCGGTTTCCCAGGTATATTTACCATGTGCATGCCCCTGTCTACGAATTATGTCGAACTGGTTGTTTTCGTCCTGCTGATGGGATCGTTCTGTGGCTGCGCGAACGTTGTCTTCTGCTGCGTTTTCGGGGATTGCCTGGGAGTCAGTCGAATGCCCCTAGCGTTCGGAGTACTCGGCACCGTTAATGGCGGCTTCTACTTCACCAAACCCTTCTTCTTCGGACATTTCCGAGATGTGGTTCGATCCTACGACGGAATGTTCTGGATCACCGGAGCGTTGTCGATACTAGTGGGTCAGTACTCATGGAAAATTCCCTCGGAGCGATGTGCGCTGCAGAAGTCTGGGAAATATCGGACTCTAAAGACACTCGATTATAATGATTCCTTTCTTAATCTTCCCAGGTCTCATGTGGTTGATGGTGATCATCAAGTGGCGGTTGGCAAAGAACGATGCGAAACAAGTTCTGGAGGAATCAAAAACGGCTAGCATCATCGTCATGAGAGGGTGTTCGAACCCTTCGTTCTCTGTAGAACAAACGACGGACGATGCAAAACCCGAGAAAGTCGTCCCGGACGAACGTCTGGTTTAAGAACCTACATTGCCTATGTTCTACAAGGGCCGATGTCGTAAATTAATTTCTCCATGTACATAATCATCTGTACCATTCCATCCTCGAGGGGAGTACCCGCCCCTCGTCTGTACACATAAATAAGAAATGACTCGTTAGCGGTATCCGTTGTCATTTGTGTCGAGCGAGTGATCCAGTCGCGCTCGGTGAGACATGGTTCCATGCCTCCGCGGTCGTAAACCACTGAAGCCCCATACTGGGGATTTCCTTCCGGAACTCGCATGGAGCTCCCGGGGGAATCACATGGCGACCTCGGGGCAACCCTCGAACTCAGGGAATGATCTGGGACTTTCTCATGACTCCGCAGCTTTGCACGCTTTCGTTGCGCGTCCCTGGGTGGCTCAATGATGGCGACGGTTCTCTTGGACTGATTGCGGATCGTTGCGGTTCTCGAGACGTCGGCGCCGTTTTAATGAGCGACGATACAAGTCAGCGCCCTTTCTTAGTCTTGGATGAGGATGTCCATGGTTCGCGTTTTTTAGAGAAGGTTAGCGAGGCTGGTCCCTTCGCACTCGCTGACCAAATATTTTAGGCTCGACTCCAGTCCGCCAGATAAGCTGAACATGAGTGTCTCGCCGATGGAGACAGTTGAAGAAAAGTGCCCTGATTCACCGCGAGAATCTTGTGCGGGGAGACTCTATGCCAGAACGATGATGGATTCCGGAAAACGACTCAAGCCTGGCCCTGATGGCGCTGAAAGCATCCGAATGGCCGTAGTACTTGGCCCAATGATTTTCTTGGCTGCCGCGGGTTTCCGATCCGCGGGCTATCTGTATGTTGGAATCATGGAAACTTACGGGGTCTCCCGACAAGAGGCTTCGTGGCCTCTCAGTCTCGTTGGTGTCTCGGGGAACCTCGCAGGTGAGTGCCTCCTGCCCGCTCTTGCGGAGCGTATACTCGACCCATGAAAATATGCGAGATTCATCTCCGGCCCGCGTTTTTCCCGACTTTTCCGATCAGTCAGAGACTGGGGGTTCATGGGGGAGGGAGCGGAGGATATTCAGGATGGAACTCTCTCTGTCCCGCGTTACCTAACGGGAATTCAGATTTCCGTGATCCGGATCTATCTCTATCCCGAGGACTCGAGACCACGATTCATGTCTGACCCCGGGACTAGCTCAGCACGATTATGGCGTAATAATCCGTCCGGTCCTGATTCAGTTTTCCTTACGGATAATTTCGAAAAGGATTCCAGAACATCTATTGCCTGTAAGTAATTTGCTCCACTCAGGTATCATCGCTGGACCCCTCGTACAGAAGTTTCCGGCTCAGCCGGTGGTGTTTTTCGGCGCGGCCTTCACGTCATTCGGAGTGGTTCTCTCATCTACGGCATCCACCATTCCCGAACTCTCCCTTTTCTTTGGGGCTTTCTATGGATTTGGTTTCGGAGTCCTCATCACATCAATCAACGTAATCCTGACGCAGTATTTCGATAGGTGTGTCCATCCGGAATATCGGACGGGCATGCGAATTCCTTGTGGAGCGAAATTTCTTCCTAGGATGTGAACATCCGCGATTCTCAAGTTCTTTGCGGAGCGAGATTTTTGATTAGGATATAAGCATCCGCGATCCTGAATATGCTCGGGAATCTAATCGATAATGATCAGTCTGATCGCTCCCGCAGATATCGAGCCATGGCGTTCGGTCTCGTCTACTCGGGCGGCACAACAGCATCGTTCGTCTTCCCTCATCTTCTGCTGGCCCTCAAGTCCTGTTATGCTTTCAAGGGTTCACTCCTCCTTCTAGGTGAGCTGATCTCAATCATTGTTATCGACCAGTCGATATTGATGTCCCCCTTGACTGTGGGGGCATGCTTGCTCTTATTCTCTCGAGGAGCTCGCACGATGGGCTCTCGCGTTCCGGTGTTCGCTTGTCCCCGCAGGTGGGATCCTGCTCAACTTATTCGCTCTGACCCTGCTCATCAAGGAGCCGTCATGGACGAAATTGTCGACGTCGACAGTGAACATACACAGCAAGGCTACTCTGACCGAGTCCTTCACCATCTTCAGAGAACCCATCTTTTACGTTTTCCTTGTATCGAACGTTCTCTTCCAATATGGTTTCGACACCTTCATGACGACGCTGGTGAGGCTTTCCAGAATTTTCATTGGAGCTCTTCCACATATCCGCCAGAAATGAAGCACTGTAAGCGGGATCCCTGTTTTCGAGGTGGACTTCGCTATGGACAAGGGAGCAGCACTGCAAGAGGCCGTGAACCTCCTTCCATGGTTCTCCGCGGGCGACTTGGTTGGCAGAGCCATATTACCCCTCGCGGCTGACAGGGGATACATTCAGAGACCGAAACTGATCACCCTCTGTTTTTCTTTCACGGGTAAGACCGCACGAGGCTGCGTCCGATGGCTCAACGCCATAAAGGTGTTTCTAGAATGCTTCCGGTCCCTCGCGCACGCTCCTCGGTCTGCATGTTGCTCTCGGGGATTTCTGATGGTGATCACGATCACGGAAACGGATTTCGGGACACGCATTCAACCATGTTCGCAAATTAATGCATATACTATTCTCCCAGGAATCTTCACCATGTGCATGCCGTTCGCCAGGAATTATTTCGAGCTCGTAGGATTCGTTCTGCTCATGGGATCGTTTTGTGGGTGCGCGAACGTTGTCTTCGCCTGCGTTTTCGGCGATACTCTCGGAGTGAGTCGGATGCCTCTGGCGTTCGGCGTACTCAGCGCCGTGGAGGGATGCTTCTTTCTCACAAAACCCTTCTTCATCGGTGTGTTCCGAGATACTGTCCAGTCATACGATGGCATGTTCTATGCTACGGGAGCCATGTGCTTCCTCTGTGGTAAGAAAAATCATTTCACCTTCGACGAGAGTTCCATATGTCGACCCGTCGACCCGATAATTTCCCTTCGCGACAACCATAAGAGCGGCGAGACAGGGTAGCAGGCTTAAGGCTATCGAAGATCCCGTCGGCCCGATGCATCATACTAATGAAGATCTCTGAATGCCCCGATAAATCCGACTGCAGGTGTAATGTGGTTGATAGTACTGATTCTGAAAGCTCGATCAGACAAGGAGTCGGGTCAAGCCGTCACCGAAGAGTCGAGAGTTCCGAGCGCTGCCTCGGAACAATTCTCAAACAGTCAGAACATCGGTGGAGAGTAGGAGCAAATCGCTCAGGCCAAACCATCGCACCCTCGGCGAATCCACCAAACTCTCCGGGAGGAAATCTCCCATCTGTTGATCCCTCAATTCGATCCTGAATCGCCGCAACGCCTGGACGCGGGAAGCTGCCTCGGGCCATGGCATTGGATAAGGTCGAGAGGCCCTCGGGCACGGCAGCCATGCAATCATCAAGCCATGAAAGCCGTTGTTCCATCCGCATTGCGCCGTGTGAACTTGAAACTTTGATTTCCATCGTACCACTGGTACGTAGGGATCCTAATCCACGGGAATACTGCGCTGATCCCCTAATCTCCGCGAAAATTCTGATATCTCGAAAAGCTCATATAAGAGTAAGTTCAGTCAACGACTCCGTGAGTCTTTCGCAGCCATGAAGGGCTACTATACGGCGTGTGTGACTTTGTTGGTGACTCTCTGTGTCGCCAATGTCGTTGAGGGCCACGGTAGATTGACGGAACCGCCGGGCAGATCCACCGCTTGGAGATTCGGATTCAAAACTCCTCCGAACTACAACGACAATGAACTGTTCTGTGGCGGACTAGGCGTAAGTAAACGAGGTTTCCGAGTCTTCTGAGGGTCGGGAATGTTGCCTTGTTCCCCCAGGTATGATATCGTTCTCTCCTGTTTCCAGAGGCAACACAAGATAAACGGAGGTCGATGCGGAGTCTGTGGCGATCCCTGGGATGTGCCAACCCCGAGAGCGAACGAAGACGGTGGCAGATACGGAAGAGGGGTCATCGTTCGCAAATATTACCAAGGAGAGACCATTGACGTCTCGGTTGACATCACGGCGAACCATAACGGGCGTTTCTGGTTCAGGCTCTGTCCTGCTGACGGGGAAGTCAATCAGGAGTGCTTCGACCGACATGTGTTGCACATCGAGGGATCCGGCGACAGGTATTGGGCACAAACTTCCGCTTCGATAATTATCGACACTTCGTCAGGGACATACTCATTCGTTTCTCACTCGGATCCCCTTTTCCAGCTGGGAGCTTGTGAACAATGCGACAGGCTTGTACAAGTTCAGAGTTCGACTCCCGGAGAATGTTACTTGCGAACGCTGTGTTCTGCAGTGGGACTGGACCGCTGGGAATCAATGGAACATATGTCCGGATGGCCGCGGACGCAGAGGCTGTGGACCTCAAGAAACTTTCAGAGGCTGTGCAGATATTAGCATCGCGTAGAGAGGGATAACGAATAAAAAATAATAATACTGATCAGTATTAGTGACGTTATCGGACTCTTTCGGGAGAGAAACTCCGCTCTAGCCTTTCGAATTTCGGATATGTCCCGCGGAAATGACTCGGAAATGTACTGGTGGGATTTTTTATTCGATGCGACTTGAGATGCCTGAACGAAGCAATTCATCGGCATTGACAGGATAATTTCAAGACTCCAAACCCTGGCTCAGTAGTCGACCCCGACGGGTGGAGAGGAATCGGGAAGGTAGTAAACATTTCCCCCGCAGGACTCCCCAGGTCGCGGACTTCTGATTTCGGGTTCAAAAATGTTCATATTGGGAACGATAAGGTGCTCGAGAAAATTCTCTCTTCAAGGAGTTGTGTCTCACTTACGGAGGACAATCCATAGCTTCGAGGTGTTCGCTGAAGCATACATCGATTCCTTGCAATACTCGTCCTCTCGGCCGTCCACCTTGCTCCTCCATCTCCGCCTCATTCGGATTCTTCACATCACGGCAGCTCAGCCGCACCTCGCCATGAAACGGGATAGGATCATCGAAATGAGACGCTTTCACCGTGAATATGTGGATCGGGTCAATGTGAAATCGATCTGGAAACGTCGAATCCGTCAATCAAATCAATATTTCCCTGAGGAATGGTCCTTGGGAAAGATGCGGACGTACCACCCAGAGCGATCTCGGCTCCCAAAGACACGATTTTGTCCAAGTACGGCAGAAATCGTCGGAATCTGGGACTGGAAAGAAGAAAACCGGATTCAGTTGGAAAGGACCTTTGCGAATACACGGCTAAGATTCTTCGACACCGGGGATCTTCCCCCGGCTTCAGAGTCCGATCTATTGTAAAGCTCCTGTCAAGAGATGTCTGACTTGGCTCACATAATTTTCAAGCTCTTCTGATCTCTGTAGTACTGATTAACTGGTGAATCGCTCCGCGACTCCAGAAGTACCGGCCAGATCGTTTCCAGGAACGCCTTCGACTGGATACGGTACGAATCATCTGTGTATCGAGGTCTCGTTTGGACTTGAAGGGATCTGAATGCTCCGTCAATATTCTGAATCACTCACATTCTATCTGCAACTCATCTATTTCGCGATCCTGCAATTCCAAAGCCTCGATCTCCGCCGGATCGACCTCTATGTCTTCGAATCGACTCTTGTCAACGAACATACCGGCCACGGTCCAGCTGGGGGAATTATTGCCACGACATTTAGGAATATGGCCTCAGGTGCGGATTGCTATGACTGTATGAGCGAGCTCGATTGCTACAGAACTCACTCGGAAGTGCTCATATTCTGCAAACATCTCTCGCCGTTTTCTGTCTCCCCTCCATAGCAGTAACCGGGAGCGTATACGTACTTAAGAACGAACGTGAACTTCGATCTGTGAACAAGACGAGCTAGTACTACTATTGTATGTCTATTATATAATATTATAATACATATGTAAGATTAGATATTCGCGACATTCTGCCGGCCCGTGTCCTTCAATCGCACCGATAGGTACGAGATTCGCGCAAATATTTAGAGGTACGGATTCCTCGCCAAAGACTCGCTCATTCCCTCGGATGACGAGCTCTCTTCCGGCGAGGAAGAGGAGAGTTGACATGAGCTCCGCATAGACAGGCCCACAGGCAGCGATCCTTCGATCGGCTGCTCCCTCACGAGTCCGGGATTACATATTCCGCGGAAGAACGAAAATTATAGGTAAGTTGTGCTGAGGAGCTTACTCGCGTTCCCCTCGCACAAATGGTACTTGTCCTTCTTGCGACCATTGGAAAGGCTTTGCCAGTCTTTGCAGAAACAATCTGACATCCATTGGATCCACAGTTCCTCGGCGTCGCGTGCTCGATCGCGATTCCACCTGCACTCTCGCGTAATGGTTCCGCGGGTCTTCAACGACACATTCACATGCTTCGCAGTAGAATTTGGTATTCTGGTTCAGTACTATGGCTCCTCGATCGGGAGGTGGTTCCTCCGAGCGCATTCGTTCCAGTCGTTGCTCTTCACGAAACCTCTCCTCGAGCCACGGGAATCGGCCGGGAATCTGACGACGGGACCGCCCGCTGGGTCGATCACTACCGCCGTGCAGCGTGCGCGGAGATCCACTCGATACCGACGAATGAAGAGCGAGCAACGCCAATGTACCGATGAGCTGTACAGCACCGAGAAGAACAAGGTTTCTACGCCCCGCTACCGAGCTACCACGTCCTCGAAGTCGTCCTCGGTGCTCGAAGAGGATCAGTCCGAGCATTATGCTGAAAAACATGTGTGGAAACATTCTGCATCAGAAGATGGTCGACTCCACTAATGATTCTGTCCCTAGCCAGCTTCGTCGTTGGACTCTTCTTGGACAGCGTGTTTTCGTGCCATGTTCCCGACCAGCCCCGTGTACGGTTCGCCGGGCTCTCCCGTCGATCGCTTATCCGTATATCTCCACAGTCTTGTCTGCGAGTCGCCTCAGCTGAGGGTTCGGAGTTCGGATGCATAGCGAGGTCGTTTCCTGATACCCGTGAGGGCATTCCTCGACTTGATGGATCGGAAGGCTGGCATCAGTATTCTCTATGCCAGAGGTTCCCAAACTCTTTCTTCGGCGGAACCCTTCGCGGAACCCCTAGTGTTCCGTGGAACCCGTCCTCATTTTTCAAAAAATTCAAAGTCCTGTCAATTGCTCTTTCCTAGCAGCTATTAGAGGAAAAACCACTCGTTTGTTCCGGAGCAGACCCGAATGTTTATTGCTTAAGTCAATTCTTGTGTAAACTAGGAATTCTCATCTAGTGGGAACGTGCCTTGTGCAAGGACCTTCGCAGTGTGCATTCGATGCCGATCGATGCGCCAATTAGAACGATCCCCTTCGTATTGAGGAAGACATTTGGAGTCAGGAAAAGAAGTTGCCCACAGGGCTACGTCACCTAGGGCCCGTTTATGACCGTACATATGGAAGCAGAAAATCGTCGCGGAACCCCGAGTTGCGCAAAGAGCAGCCCAAGGAACACTGGGGTTCCGCAAAGATTTTGTCACGGAACCCCCGGAAAAGAGCGATGGAACCCCAAGGGTTCCGCGGAACCCTCTTCGGGAACCTCTGCTCTATGCCATACGGCCCATGAGATGAATAAATTTCGCCAAAACTAAAGGCTCATATTAAAATCGAATGTCTCTGGCGAGTCTGAGAGAATCGTCCGGGACGCCGTGGCATTCATCGATCTCTCATTCATCGCTGAATTTATTCATTCATTGATAGGGTTATTCAGGTGGGAGACGGAGTTCGGGTCCGACGCTGATTCACGTGGACCAGCCCAGGGACACGAGCAACGCTCCTGAAGGCGGATAGGTTCGTTACCATGAGACCTCCCGCTCCTCGCTGAATCTCCGAAACCCGACGAACTCAAGGAAGGTGTCTTTTCCTGTCGGGCACCGTGAGCTGGTGTCCCTCTCTGCTCAGCTCCCCGATGGATCATCAAATCGAGCGTCTGATCTTGTGAGTGAGCTTGCCGGCTCCATGAGACGTCGAGCTTCGAATAACTGTGAGTCTCTGATTGGGCGAGACTGAGGCCTTGTGTCCGTTGTAGAATCGATGGAAGGCCATTTATCGAAATATATATCGGAAGAAACGTGACTTGCGACAGAAAGCATTGAATTCACCAACCTTCTCTCTCGTCAGATTTCAGAACGCGACGCTCAGATTTTGATGGAGGAGGAACTCTCAATGAGGTATCCGAACGATGTTGTGGGAGCTAGCCCCGGAACACTTAGCGGACTCCGTCACAGCTTGTCTTCTTCAAATGAGCGTCCTTTGGTTGTGTAGAAGGTCACCTACCAAGATCGGATAGATACGCTTCCCGATCTCACTCAACAAATAGCGAAATAGTCCTGACTTCGACCCGTATCAGATCAAGCATGAGAATGGGGGTCGATTCTCAAGCGTGAGCGGATTGATGAGACTTCTCGGATGCATGAATACAGTTTTTTTCTGACTCGACTCTGGAGTTTCCGATGAGATGATCTCTATACGAAAGCTCTTAGAGCCTTAGATCCGTGTGCCTTGCCCAGTCACATGTCGGGCCTCGATCTGTTCGCTGCCAATAATTAATTATGAATGAATGAACGGACAGGGGACGGGACTGCCCAATCGCGATCCCTCTTAGAACTGAGTTGGGACCCGGGTTGACTTTTCCTTTCAATCAGAACTCCTCAGAAGTCAATGGTAGAAAATGTGGAGCAAAGTTTCGCTGATTACCGATGTATTTTATTATGTGACCGGTGACAAACATGAGCAGTTGATACCCAGTGTCGTGCAGCTGCTTAGACGAGTCGCCGAGCAATTTGACTGATCGAATTCATCGGAATTAAGACGATATAAACATCAATGACATCATGGAGATCCACAAGTATCAGTATCTCTTTATTCTCCCTTTGCAAAAGGCTCGCGAGCGACACTTCGGAGACATACACCAGTAGCCCGGTCCCCGAGCACAGGGGTCTGCACCAAATGCTGCAATGAAGCGAATGGATATGCCGATTAAGGGCTCCGCTATCTCGGAGAATACTCTGCGTAACATGGGTCAGCCTTTCAATTTTCTGCAACTCGACTGAGTTCCGAATCTTGCAGCTGGTATCGGTCATGCGTCATTCCGTCATCAAATATCTGCCGACTATGGGTGCGGATCGACACACGTCCGTCGGACGGTATCGCTCCGGATACTTACGCGGAATGTTCAAAGGGGTGGTCGGAGACCCCTCACAAAGAAAAGCCATAATCAGGGAAAACAGGATCGAGCTCGGGAAGAACCACTTCGACATTTTTTCTGGGCTGCAGGAGGCTCACTTTTCGGAAGGAATCTCCTCGTAATCCATTATATATGCCCGCTCGGAGCGCATGGTCTAATACGATCATATCATATGGTCTGAGGTCAGACGGCAATAGCTCGATCGTGACAACTTCAACTCCATCGCTTTTCTAAAGCCGTGCACGATCTCATGTGAGCTCGAGAGTAGACGCGATCCGATCGGCTCGAGAGGTCGGCTATCCCAGACCACTGTTAATCCGAGACACTGGATATCAGAGCTTCAAGCGATGGGTGAAAACTCGAGGAGAACTACGGTGAGCCTCGTATCACCATGCGGATTACTTCCTTGATTCGGTGAATCTCATCGTCTCTTAGGTCTCGCCAACAGAGCAGCATTCTCGTCTATGTTTTTAGCGTAGAACTACGCTTTAGCCCCCGGTGGGTGGACAAGATGGGGTGCGAATCGTGATACACGGTCACAAACTTGATCGTCGAAATCCTATAAAACAAAGCATTTCCTGAGGAAAATTGTCATGGTTAATAGGTGGGACTGCTCGTGAGGCATCGTCAGAAGGTCATCCCGAACTCGAAAATCCTTTCTTCAGGTTGGAATAGGCCATAATATAGGCTCTGGTCCAAAATACTCGAGACACACTCATCCTAGCCCATATATAATGATGGCAAGAAATGTTCAGCTTCGGCAGTTCCGACCGGCTAGACGATATAACGATAGCGGCTCGATTCCGTCAACTAACTTAAGAAAAAGGAGGCGTTCTCACTCTTCGAAATCAACGAACCTTATCATATGATAATTTTCTCGCCCGAAGATGTCACTTAATGTAACTACCTTGAGCGTACCAATTGCCTTGCCGGAAACCCTCGAACGATGTATTCCAATTATAAAATCGAAGTGAGAGGCCAGTGCAGTAGAGCTGATGTCGATGATCTGGAAACCCTACCAGAGGTGTGGGAGATAACAGAGAGCAGAGCAGTCAGAAAAAGTCGCCTAATCTTATCCCGGGATCACGTCAACTGGAATCATGATGGCGGTGAACCTCAACCCTACGATATATTGCATATGTTCTTAAGTCTACGTGCTCCAGTTCCGCCAACCTTCTGGTTGCTACGTTTCGTGGAACAAATATTCGGACCCGTGAGGCATTTGGAGGAAGGAAGCCGATTGAAAAAAAGCGTAGTCCTACGCCCATTACCCGACTGAGTTAGAGACTCAGTCAGTAGCCTGCGCTTTTTTCTCCCGGGAATGATATTCTCGTGGCCCAGTCATAATTAATGGGTCACGGTCGGTATCATATTTTGGGATCTGGGAGGTGGAAACGATGAAGAGCCGCCCAATCGCATTCCAACGATCATTAAAGATCATCAGGATCATTCTCTCTCTTTTCCAATCTCCGGATCTCGCCTGGATTCAATTTTCCCCCGCGTACTTTTTCGCTGGTCTTTCCGCAGACTCAGAAGAAGTGCCCTCGGACGGTATCCCGTCTCTATTGGTACGAGAGAGCGGAGTCTCAGATGTGGATAGAACTGTGCGAGTCCACGGTCATTGATGCGGGTGAGGGCTGTACCGGCGGATTCTCGACAGTCCCTGCGCGCGAGACAAAACAGCTGAACGTATTACGAATCGATGAGTCAAGTGCACGACCAGAATTCGAAACGCCCACGAGGTTACAGGCACCGATTCGAAATTCACTGTTCAGGATCCTCTCTCGCGTGTGCTCGCGAATCGCAGACAAGCTCTGGGTTTTCAGAAGAGAAAAGACAAACTACAGCACTTCGATCGAGTGAGTTCTGACTGTTCGATACTCCTTCTTTTTTCTAGTAGGTGTCGATCCGAGAGAATTCACCCTCCACGAAAACCAGAGCCCAGATTCGATTCCCCGTCGGGGAACAGCGAGAAGTCAGTGGCCTTCAAAGCGAGAACGTCTCGCTGTAAACGGCGGGTCAGTTTGTGTCGGCGATATACCGAGGCCCCACAGATACTCCTTGAGCCCGTGATGATTACTGTTACTGCCGAAAACATGGATGCTGATACTGTGTCATACCCGATGTGATTGCCGAATCGGATGATCCGAGGCCCGAAGCCTTACAGAGGCTCAATTGATCAGAAATTCGAGAAGGAGCTCCCTGCTTGAGAATCTCAATTGGAATTGAGCCCGGCGAATCTGTGTGTTGAGCATTGAGTTTCAATCCAGGCTACTGCTGGTCAGGTCCAGTTGCAGCCCTCTGCCGCGCAGTCGACACTTCCGCGCGGAGTGGCCAGCGTGCGTGAAAATTATAAAAATTATAAAATTACACGGATCCTCTCGGAGCTGCCAGCTCCCTCGTCCATGGTCCTATTCTTGAGTGATCTGTCCAGGGAGCTCGATCAGTTGCCAAGGCTCCGGGTCCATTCGCTTCCGCTCCTTGGCGTCCTTAGCTCAGGACGGGCGAACGGAAATGCTCGTCGGCTTGTATGGGAGAGCTTGAAGAAACATACATATATATGGAGCAGTATTCAATTACTGGAGTGCGGTACCTGTTCCGCTCGGATCTTCTCCTCCTAATGAAGTCTTCCGACTCGATTCCAGGTTCACAATGGATCCAGATTTCGTGAAGAGCTTGATCGATCAAAACGGTGTTCCTGAATCCGGGAGACTCGAACGTATTTACCGTGAAGGAGCTTCGCTCGATCCGGAGGAGTTCAAAGCCGCCGTGGAGACACTGCGATACTCGACTCGTTTCCCTCGTCTGCTGGCAGCCCTGATCGATGTATCCAAGAACGATGAGTTGGCAATCGAAGAAATTTTCCTCGAAGACGCGGTCACGCCGGACATCGTCACGGGCTTCAAATGGCTCTACACGACCGAGAACAAGGGTCTCATAAACGAAGATTTCGTCAAAAACCTTCTGCCGACAGTCAGCTGCTCGAAGCAGAAGCGAATCTGCAACAAGATATCGAAATGGGTCACCAACCTTGATCTGGGCGACAGACTTTGGAGAATCGTCAACTCGAGATCGCATGAGCTCTCCTCACTGCTCTTGGGGGCTTGCTCGGACAAAATCATTCTTGGAGAGATCGAGAAAGATGTGAAATGTATGAGCTCAGCTCAAATGCTCGACATCCTGAAAAAAAGATTCGAGTCAGGAGTGGAACTCCTGCGGACCATTGGCTTAGCTGGGAAGCTCAAGAGCTCCCGCCTGAAGACCCATGACTTGTTCCACTACATCCTCGAGAAAAACCTCGCTGTTGGTCTTGAGCTCATCCACAGTATTCGCATGCAATTGTTTTTTGGCCGGAAGCTGACTCGGAAACTCATCCAGATCGCGAGCAGCGACAAATCCAAAGTACCTAATGTCGTCAAGCTGACGGAGACCATCAATCAGAAGACACTGGCGCGATACGCCTCCGGAGATCTTTATCTGAAGTGTTTCCTGGCCAGGTTCAAGCGCGAAGCTTTCAACGACGAATTTGAGATGTTGAAGTGGCTCAATCATCTGAGAGACGATGCCAAGCTTGAGGTCTTACGGAGTTGGTTCGAGGAGTTTTACGGCTCGGCTCTGGTGGACCAAGCGGAGGAGATTCCGGAATCATTCCTCTTCCTGCTCGACGAGAAAATCCTCGGGGATGTCATTAGAATACGCATCGCCTCACAGAAGGCAGAAGGAAAACTTTCGGACACGAAGCTTATGCGGTTGCAATCTGCTTTGCCAGACGACGAGGAGAGTTTCACCCTACAGCTTGAGCGACTCAAAGGGGAAAGCAACTTCGAAAACCGGCGGTCGATCTACGAGAACATGCTGCGCTCAGTTAGTCTCTTGAGAAGGCCACAGTTCCTCGAGAGGAGGCTCCAGTTCCTCGTTAAGAGAACTCGTAACGAGCACATATTTCCAAAGACAATTCTCGAACATTTGGTCGAGACTATGCGGGAAGATTACAGATTCAAATTCAATGAGAAGATCTGGCCCCTTGTGAAAGAAATAGTTGATCTCCGAATATTGCTCGATGGCAAGAAGTTGGACGGGGTCCACAGCGAGATTCTCATGCTAGGACTGAGGGATATCGGTTTCGACCAGGCCGATTTCTTATCAGCGGTGATGAATCTCCTGAATGAAGTCCTGAAACGCACTACGTACTGGCCGATGTCTGATCTGCCGAAAGACAAGGAGCAGTTCTTCTGGAAAAATGTGCTGGCCTACTATGAAGCTCTCGAAGAAACGCTCGAGGTCGCGAATGGCGGCCCGTGTCCTCGTTATCTGGAAAGGCTATATAACAATCTGAAAGATAGTCCAGACGCCACCAGAGGACTTCTTCCCGCTTATCCGCTAACAATGCGTGTTCTGAAACTCATCGTCAGTCCTGAAAGGGACGGCAATAATTTCCCGACTTACCACTCCTTTGCATACTTCACGATCTACGATTATGTCAAGCCCCTGCTCTCCGCCGAAGACGCCATCCATCCGGACATCGTGGAACAACGTGAGCGGGAGGAGGCGGAGTTGGCGAAAGAGCGAGTCTGGAAGGAGTTCAAGAAATCGAAAACCATACGCGACGAGGTGCGGACGCTCTATGCGGAAAAACGCCGGCATATCCATTATACGCAGCTCTGCGCTCGAGGTCTGGTATACGCAAACAAAGAGCAGATGGAGTTATGGGAGGAGATGCTGTCACTGGAAACGGACAAGGAGCTGTCAAGAGATCGTGAGGGCTCTGCCTACGAGCTCCTCATGGTTCTCCGCAGTCCACAGCAAACGCAGGCTGAAGCGAAGTATCTGCACCCACCTAGAGCCAAGATAGATCCGGGCAAGGGAGAGGAGGAGAATAACCTCGTTCTGCGACGAATGAACTTCGTGAAGTCACTCCGTTATTTCAACCGGAGCGGCCTCGCGGTTGAACTGATCCTTCCGTTTATGGCCGGCGACTATATGAGAAGCGCCCGACCCAGCTTCGACCGTCACCTGGCACGAGTCCCCACCCCACGAGTCGACGAGTTTCTCCGGGAACCCGGGCTGAAAAAGAACTCACCTCTGAACGTCAGGAAAACTATGCTCAAATCCTACTTCAGGAATACCTTGATGTTCGACGATAAGATAGTTCTCGACGTGATGAAACAAGTCTCCACCGCTGACGAGCGCGACGAAATCAAGAATGAGACCCTGCTGGCGGCGTACGAGATAGTGAAAAGCGTCGGCGAGGAGAGAGGCTGGCCTTTGGTCAAAACTTGCTTGGACGTAATTACCGTCAATGATCGAAACTCGTTTTCTACTCTCATGGAGAGAACCGGCATCGATGATCTCATTCCGGAGCATCTCGAATACCTCCTGAGAACCCTCGTCGGTCTGTGTGATTTGAAACTTCAATTGACCGGATGTCCCGACCGGCGCCTGATGGATCGGATCGCAACAGATGTGAGGTGGATGTCTCCGGAGTTTCTGTTCAGTATGCTCGGCAAGATTAAATCGGAGCATTGGAAATCCGTGAGCGAGGCTCCGAAACTGGCGGCAAGCATAGTTCTGCATTGTGTGCCTCGGCATGCGGAGGCGCTCAAAGGCCACTTGAAAACTTTCGCCGATTCGAAATTGACAGAGCTCACGAACTCGGGAATTTTCACTAAAGAGATCGTTGGGCGATGCTCATTGGGGAAAATCGACAATGCCGCACAAGTTCTCGACTTCCTCTCTCAAGTGTTCAAGGAACGGTCATCCGAGTATTCCCGAGATGTCTTGCTCCTTGAGTTGGCAAGAGGTATCTTGCCGCTAATACCCCGATCGTGGTGGGATACAGATCTCAAAACTGAGCTCCCTGGAATCCTCCGCAGAGCCATTCAGATCACCGCAGGTTTCTTGGAGGGGGCAGGACTGCTGTTTGTTGATTCATTCACTAAAGACCTGCAAACGTCCCTTGAGCTTTCGCTCCCCAAGCTCTCGCCGTTCGCGGGTGTGGAACACTTTTGGAATCGTTACCGAGCGGAAATGACCCCAATGGAGATTGTCCTTTTAGTGAAACTTCTCGCCAATGATACTTTGCAGAGCACTCCGTCTACTATCCGTTCCCTAGGAGAGTGCCTTGCAGAGCACCACGATCCAGCAGTCAGATTAGCGACCAGAGACTTATTGCTCCTGCGCGACTTTCGTTAATATTCGTGTTCCGATCGCTTGTCGCTGTCTTGATTCTGGGATCTGATAGTTTGGTGCCAGAATGGCTTCACTGGTCTGCGGAATAAAATAATTTGATCACCTTCAAAGTCTTCCCTCCGACGCCTCAAAATTCGAGGGATTCACGTTCCACGAAGTTCGTGGAGATTTTCGATTAACCGTGTTCTTCAGCGGTTCTTAGAGCTTGAGTACTGTCGACATACAACCTTGACAAGGGTTATGAGTTATGATGTAGAATCACCGCGGATAACCGACGGGGTTTTTAGGTTTCAACTACGCCGGTGATGTCTAGGATTCCCACTTGCTCATTCCATGCATTGAAGCTCTCGATCGATGGTGTGAAGAGCCAGAATTCCCAGTATGGGAATTTAATTGAGCTGTTTGGTAGTCGAGCAGCCGATCGATGATCGTCAGCGACGTCGACGCTCAGCAGCTGGGTCGGCTCGAGGGATTCCAGAGTTCGACAAATCGACGAAGCTCTGTGGCTCGAATGTGATCGCTAGAACCTCCCTCCACAGCCGAATCTATCGCATCGATGATGGATCTCAATATTCATTGCCGCTAAAGAATTTCTCAGCATTTCTCAGCTGAAACGCCGAAGGATGATCTATCCTTGCTTGCCCTGCGGACGATGCACCTACATAGAGCAGTGAAGTCTGTGACTTACCTCTCGTGACTCAACCCACAAGGGATCTTCGGGTTTTCTGTTAAGCCCACATAGTCTGATTGAACAATACGTCAGATGCGGGATAGACGTTCCCGCATTCGTTCCCCAGAGCCATACCCCGCCCCAGTCTAGCTATTCTATGTATCCATGAACTAATGCAGGTCACGGAGAGCCCGACGCCTGGCTCCAGTTTTCATTCTTAATCGTTCTAGTTAGTCTATTGGAATATTCTTCCGGCAAGCTACCGTTCGCTCCGCGTCCGAGCGTCGATTGCGAGAATGGTCGAATCGGCAATTTGCTCGGACGCTCATTGAGGTTTCGTCGATCTTCACTTCTAGGGTTCACCGTGGTCAACCACATGCAGATCGCATTGTCAGCTAGGAGGAAACGCGTTAAGAAGAGGTAGCGCTCTCACTCACAGACATTTCTTGGGCGTATTCGCTAACAGCTTCAATGATAGATCAGCTACGGCGTTCACCAAAAACGGATGTCCCGTATAAGGTCGATTGCTCGTTTGGTTGACACAGACAACAACGTTTGACTTAGACAGCGTCAGCAGCTCAGACGCTCCTCCTTTTCTTCCGCCGTGCCGTTGTTAGCGCTTGTTCGGTGCGTCTTCGATTGCGACTGGAAGCGATCCGCGCACCTAGCTCACTCAGCCTCCTGTCGTGTCGTCTTGAGACAAACGAAGACATCGGTCCACTACTTCTGGGGAGTGTCTTACGGAAACAAGAACCTTTGTTCGTGCCTTCCGCTCGGGCTCGAGGACCGAGCGTAGATCTTGCTCTTCGCGCATTCGCATATCCGCCATCACCGATACGACTTCAGGAAGCTCGTTTTTGAGTCTCTGGGGGGATTTCCAGAACGACTCGTCGGAGGTTACTCCAGGTTATACCCCTGAATAGAATATGTGTAACGTCGTCTATTACAGATTTTCCAGCGTGACTCGCCCCCGGACGGACTCGTAATCAATATTGGCTCGACGAAACATGCGGTCACTCTCCCTCGAATGTTGACCAGATGCATCTACTGCCCGAACGACCCGATGGAATCCGCTGCTGCTGCTGCTGTTGTTCCAGAAGAGCAAAACCCACACAGACTTAGAAGAGCGCAGTGCCCATTTAGAATGGGGAAGCCATTTTTGGAAAGCGCCGCCTTTCTATATTTAGTTAAGTGAGACAGATTAGGCGACCGGACGGAATTACCGTTCATTCTACGGTGCTCAGTATGCTCGGTAGGGGAGCGTTTGGTATATTCAGGGTTCAGATCTGTTGGACGATCGATTCCGAAGCCGAATCGATAATTTCGAAGATCGACTTCGCCACAAGAATAATTTTTGCTGCAACTCACCTGGCAACGCCGAACTCCCAAGACCTCGATGACTAGGCTCAAGTACGACATCTTTACCTGACAGTATTAGACCGTTGAAGTTGACTCTAACGCTATCAAGTAAGATGTAGCCTTATTGCCTTGAAGCGGCTGAACTCCGACACGTTGGAGCACCGGCCAGGAGAATCCCGGTTTCCCGATCTGAGTAGTGACTGCGGGCGGAGGGGGGTGATGGAGCATCCAGGAGGGTCAAGATGCAAATGGCGCGCAAAATTATAATTACCCACTTCTTTGGGATGGTTCTCGTGCATGATTGACAACGAATGTTCAAGATGATACCCGGAGTCTTATCGACACGGGTTGGAACTCCCTCGCTTGAATGGGTTCGGTCTGGATGGTTGGACTGTCTTCTACGAAAGGAGCTCTTCGAAATCCGAGCGCGCCCACGGTCTCAAAATCTGGACGAGTTCTCTCCGTCGCTTGGAGATTATAAATTTCTACAGCGAAACGACTCCTATGTTCCGGGGGTTACCAGAAGAGCCGAAAGAAATGCAGAGAAAGGGATATCACAGTCCACTCGGAGAGATCACAGTCCGAGAATCGCGAGTCATGACGGCGCCGCATACATACGCGCTCAATTTCGCTCATTGTATGGGTATTCGAAGGATACGTTGGAGTTCTGATCGCTTGAGTCACCTCTAGGTCACCGGAGATAGACGATGAGAACGTCTTGAGACCGCGAAATTCTGTTGAATGAATCCGATGCTCTACGTACAACTTCACGGCACCGAACAGACCCACCTGTCGTCACTGTCTCCGCTCGCCATGGATGGCTGAAGTGACTGCTTCAGCAGGCGATCGAGCCGACGCTGCCCAACGTAGCGAAGTGCTGTGAGCGCTCCGTAGCGTCGACTATCTACTTTTGGAGTTCGCCCCACGCATTGCTCCAGAATTGGTTTCGATCGGGGGCGGCTCATGAGAAAGGGCTTGAGAAATCAGCGCTCCTCGCAGATGGTCAGTGTCTTACCCAAATGGCAAGCTCTAAAACTCGCGCTCTATCAATCATTCCCATCAGTTATGTTCCCCCAAAAAGTGGGTCTCGAATTGACATCAGTCGGTTCCAGCTCCCGCATCCGGTCCACGCGTACCAGACTTTTATTTTTCATCCGAGACCAAGCCGAGAATCGCTTGGTGGTATGTCTCGGACGCTCCGTCTCAATTACCGCCTGACCAACAATCCAACCAAGCGCTTCATGGATGTTCGGGCCGCTAGTCGGCCGATTGCACTACGGAGAGCTCGATTTTTCCAGCAAACGATGTCCCGTGGGAAATACCTTGATGCAACAAAAAATATATTCAATCGACTCGCGTACTTTCGGAAAAAAGTACAGAGTGTGGATCATCCCGGTGGGGAGAGAATCATGGAGAGGATAACGATGGGAAGAGAGCTGGAAAACTTTCGCAGCGTTCTGTCCAACGTGGGCGCGTCCGGGTGTCTGACCCGGTACATGAAAAAAGCACCACTACGTGCAGAGTCAGTAAACAACAATTCGAAGGTCGCCAGATGAGGGTCCGCACGCGCCTGGCCATGACCGAGTGTTAGGATCGGAACGGCGACCTTCGGTGTTTTCCAACAAAGCACCATGATCTCCAGATGCACGTTTCCGTCTCCACAGTGAGAAATCGACGGAAAAAACTCACAACCTGTCCAGGACAGAGCTCGCGGCCCAAGTACAAGGCGGCATCGCCTGCTTGGAGCTTATGCGGTACTCCAGCCTTCTTGATGGATCCAGGATCGTGCGTCTGGAGCCTCACGCACTGGCACAGAACATTTATCCGCCACGGGAGCGAGCAGCTCGAAAGCCTCAAATGGTTTTGTCCACAAGCCGAGAATCACAGAATACCGGTAGGGCGAGCGTCCGAAAAGAAGCCACACGACCGCTGCAGTGACCGCATAAGTCACGCTCGATTCTTTAGTTGAAGATCCATCCACGTCTCACTTGATCGGAGCTCAATCAGAACCTTCCCGGCGTTCAAGAGGAATCGAGCACGGACCAGAGCCGCCCGGTACTCACCTGGCACGGACGAGTCGAACCGCGGGCGGCCGCGCTGCACTTGCCGCGCTCAAGTGGAAACGAGTGTCGCTGCGATTCTCGAGCAGCGAATGGTAAACCGTGGGGAATGTCGGGCATTTATATAGAAAGAAAGGGAGTGTAGGTTGGGCACGGGGGCCTGAGATCGCGACGAGCCTTATAATGTGGCAAGAGCTCTCTATCTCTCGCCGTGTCTTTCTATCCGGAGCAGTCGGGCGCGCGGGCAGGCCACAGGCCGGCAGGGCATGCAGGCCGGCGGGTCGGGCAAGCTCGCTCGCGAGCCGGCCGCCCGGCCGGCTGGCCTATCAGCTGGTCGTTTCCTGTTCAGAGTCTCGGTGAGCGTCTCGGCATAGCGCGTCCCTAGATGGAATACCCATCGGCGGCTGGGTCCGCGGCTCTGTAGGAAGGGTCGCTTTAAGGCGGCTACTGCCTCTGTCCACCTCGTAAGGGCTGCGACAGAGGCAGGTCTTCTCTCGGAGAGCTGCTCTGGCACCAGTGGTCGTCGTTGCCTCCTTCATCGTTGATGTTGGCGTCGTCGTTGGCGACTCAGAAACTATTGCCCTCACGATAAAAGACCATCCCGGCTCGGACATCATTCATGATGAACCCGCGGGCCTCCTACGCTCGTTGGAAGCGCTTTCATAATCCATTTAGTTTTTTTACACCCCAGCTTTTGCTGGGACGTGTTGTTATGAAGCATGAATCTCCAGGGTGCTCGTCGAAATTCGGGGGTTGTGCGTTGGTTTCTCCCGAATCCCGATTCGGCTCGAAGGACAGGGGTTCAAGAATCCGGAATGGTAACATTGGTGGGACAAACAGAGATTTGTTCAGGAATCAAGCTCACAGGTCTGGAAAGACTGAGCGGAGTCAGTGTTCGAATGTTTCGTTCATGACCAATCATAATGGCAGTCGCCGGATTTATGTCCCTTCGAGGCTCTTCGGCGGCTCTAACCACGGTCTCCGCTCAGGAAAATTGCTGGATCCTTGCACCGAGCCTCGACGCTGAGGTTCTTCGAGGACTCCTTTTCGCCGAGTCGCTGGAGCCGGAGCTCATATTTTCGTTTGTAGGGATTCGGAGTCATTGTCTGCCCGAACTGACCGAAGACCCATGAGCCTCGGATATCCTCGTCGGAGGCTCATAGAGAGAACTGCGATCACAATAAGCGCATAGAGCGCTATCCCGCATTGAGTTGGATCTCATTTCTCATTGGATTTGAACCATCTCTTCTCCTATGGCAAACGTGCCGCTCATTGGCGATTTTCAATCTCACTCCGCTAGACCCATCGGCGCTCAAACCTCCTCTTCCCTTCATATAATCGAAACTGCATCCGCGGAGGATCCTGATCCCACGGATTCCGATATTTTGAACGTCTTCATCCACACCTGGTTTCTCCCACATCGGGGGCCAATAATTTCAATCCAACAGTTTGGAACGCTTGAAATCAGGAATCGCTGAATCTTCAATGATGGACAGCCTTCTGGTGTAGGGACGAGACAGCTGTACTCTCAGGGACAAGAGCTTGCTCAGTTCCTCGAGGCTCGAGGGAGCTGGTCAGCGGGCTGGAAGTGTTTCTTGAGCCCGCGGTTTTTCTCTCTGCTGTGTATCGCGTTCCAAACTCAGGTAGCGTGAACACACCACTCCTCGCTCTCAACTCATGTCGTACGGAATACCCTTGACCATATGATCAAGAGGCATAACTTGCTCGGACTTATTCGCCCAAGTCGCTCCTCCGTTTCGGGAATACATCCGATTTCAGTGTCGCATCTCTCGATAGCTGCGCAATGGAGGACGGAAATTTCGAGACGAGACCTCTCCAAGCTGGAACTGGAGCCCCACAGCCACGGTTCCAAAGCCCTCTCTTGAAAGACCTAGAAACCGTGCCCTCCCCGCAGTGTAGCGAGTCCCTAACTCCCGTATTTTAATCGGTCCGCTCTCCGAATATATTGAATCCCCTCGGATGATTCAGAGAATTGACTTGGTCCCCTCATGAGGCTTGATGCCTTCGGTGAATGGAAAGACAATAGCATTCGTACATCGACTCAGAACTTGATATCAATGTCGACGATTGACCACCGATATGTGAATAAGCGATGAAAGTATTCCGTATTAATCCCCTGCATCCAGCCGAAGTCGGTCTTGCTGAATAGGCAATGGACTCTCGGGTGCGCCGAGATTTTTTCCATGAGAGCGTGTCTCGTCCGATGGACCGACAATCCACGGAAGGGTCGAAAAATGATGATAGTCTTGATTCTCAGAGTGAACTGCGTCGTATATTCTCCCCATGACACGATGATAATCAAATCAAACGAAAGATATCTCCAGCGAAAAAAGATGTGCCAAAAGAATACATATACCGTATTTCCTCTAATAGTGGGGCATGCCCGATAATTGTTCAGAGCCCCCAGATGGGTGCCCGTTAAATGGAAGTGCCCGGTAATTGGAGCATGCCCGTTTGGATTGGATGACCTATCAAGGGACTCAAGAAAAAACAAACTACAAAAAACACAAACTAATGCTTGCCTGTTTCTTATATTACAAAGGTGCCACCTCACTATGGTTTTATACATGTTTCTTCGCTTACGCATCACATAACAGCTCATCATCTGTGAGCTCGTCTATGTCCGTCTCGTTCGACACCCCGCTTAGGTTGCATTCGTTTCCCGAATCATGACTTTTTCGAGCTTCAGCGAGCTTCTGGCGACCGGCAGGTATTTGTCCATGGGGTCTGAAACAGTGGATCTGGTCATCCTCCGAACCGTCGAAGGCGACAGTGATGCCGCACTGTTTGAATGACCTGACAATCAAGTCCTCGGGCAACTCCCGCCACGAATCCGCAATCCATGACAAGTAGATTTCCATTGGGGGAGCACCACATTTCCGCCACGGGTCAAACGTTTCTCGCCGTGCGCCATCCATTCCTCGTAGCGACGGCGGATCCCGGCTTTGAACGGGGCGTTCCAGGAAACGTCTGGAGGTTGTACAAAGTTTGTTCGGATGGTGCCCGTCAAATAGAGGTTTGGGAGAGTGCCCGGTAATATGAGCATGCCCGTCTGGAATAATACCTGTCGAACCATGTCCGGCAAATAGAGCATGCTCGAGAATGAGAGTTCGCCCCGAGGAAATACGGTATGTAAGAAAGAAAAGAATGCTAGAATGATATGTGTTGAGAGGAGAGAAAGACACTGACTGATGACGGTTGACTAGGGATGCTGTCACACTCAGGGTACCCAGGAAACTCCACGGAGCAGAATGAGAAAGAGAAAATCGAAAGCATCATATCAGGAGAGGAAAGTGGGGGATCAGGAGACATGCTAACCTCCCTCCCCTAATAGATACTTGAATATCGTAGAGTCAGCTCTTCAACTAGATAGAACGCGGCATGTAGGGTCGAGTTTCTTCTCCGGGTTTCCGAGGGGGCTACGTAATGATCCTTTATTGGATTTACCTAAGGGAGCGTTGACAAGGAGGTTGGAAAAAAAAGTCGCCCGAATTTCTTGCTGATGCGGACTGCCGTCCAGACACTCCTGTATTGAAACGAGGCATCGTCGTGGAAGCATTCTCGAGGGATATGATGACATTCGAACAACCGAGATGACCCGACATTGGATTCCTTCCGACTCCGTAGTCTCGACCCGCTCCTCCCAATAAGATCTCAACCGTGTGTCTGATGGAGAACTTCAGGGAGATGAAGGTCCAGAAATACGGCATCGACCATTAGGATGGCGAATGGTAGCTCGAATGTTGACGTTGGAAAGCATTGATCCTGTCTAATCTCCTGTCATCATCTCCATGAATTCTGCAAGGGGCAAGGTTTCATGATAGAAAGGTGGAGCAAAATCAGATTCTCAAGTTCGACTACCATATTGATCCCCTTAAGCTCGAGGTGAATTTCAGATGCGAGAACATTAGGGCACTGACCGTCGAAATCAACGGTCCCGGAGCCGTCGGTATCGATTTCGGCGATCATTTCATCGAGCTCATCCTCGGTGAGGGCATCGTCGAGAGCACGCAGGATCTCGCGAAGATCAGACACGTTGATGTAACCGTTGCCCTCCCTGTCGTACAGACGGAAAGCCTCACGAAGTTCCTCTTGCATGGCTTCGGAGTCCTCTTCGACAAGGAAACGAGCCGCCAAAGCGACGAATTCGTCGAATTCCAGCTCCCCGGATCCGTCCTGATCGATTTCTGCGATCAGATCCTTCAAGTCCTTCTCCTCGAATGTTTGACCAAGAGTCCTCAGGATAGCAGACACCATGTTGGTGTGGATGAAACCCTTCTTGTCGCGATCGAACATGTCGAACGCCTTGCGCAACACTGCGAATGAGAGCACGGAATGAGAGCACCGCGGGAAAAAAACGGGGACTCTGCTTCGCCGACCCGGAAGCTGCCTGCTCGAAGGTGCAGAGCCCGGAAGCGCGAACGATTCATTATAATTTTTGGACTCGGGAGGGCTCGGGGGGGCGTAAATGGTAGTTATCGGATGAGAACTCACTCGTCACCTGTTCCTTCGTCAGATCATCCTGTAACAGATGAGAGAACCGCATTACAGGAGAATACCACTCGGAAGTCACTCCGGAAGATCATGCCAGCCGGTGAAATCTGATCAATGTTTCGTGAACGGGACTAGTTTCTATTGATGAACATGAGAGACTCCAGACAGCACCCCTCAGTCGAATCTCCCTCAGCTGAGCATCTGAGTTAGCACGTGATAGTTACACGTACCATTTCGCAGACAAGTGAGACGGTCCTAACCTACGAAGAATCGACTGGAAACCGTTTCGTGTGGCAGACCTTTTTCTCCGAGTCGGCGAGGGTGTGCAGAAGCTCTTCCAGAGTCAGTCGGCCTGTTCGAGTAGTGCTGCTCCTCGCCTCGTTGAAGTTGTCAAAGCTGAGAACTGCTGCGACGAGTCAGCTCTTTACGCCCCGATATTTCAGGGCACATCCGATAATTACCTACGAAAGAGGGATACGGAAAAAATCGAGAGGACCACATCGGGAATTAAATGGAAAGAGGAAACACGAACGATCGATTCCAGAGAAGTCGATGTCCATAGAACCATTGGTAAGGCGACGGGAGTACTACGATGAGTGAGTTGATGATCAGGGCTGTACGTTCTATGCAATGCCTATTTTGTCGGAGATATGGATGCATATCTCAATGGTGTCAGGAGCTCTATATACATATGTATGTTACTATTTCTGACTTGCTCCGCGGGTCTAGCATTTTCTAGGGGTTTTTCAGTCTGTTTGCCTCGCTCGCGTGCTTGAAGATGATTCGATTTTCATCCCTTGCAGTTCAAAACACCCAGCCCTGCTGATGATATACTCGATCCATCCGGGGTTTCGCGCTGATTCCGAGGGAGAAGCACGGAAAAACTTTCACGTAAAAATCCTCTGTCCGGAAAAAAGTCGAATAAGTCTTTGGAACCTCTCCGGTACGGCAATGACAAATGGTGCTGATAAGCGAGACTTCATACGATTCCCTTCGTAAACTAACCAGAATCGATGGCGCCACTGACTCCAAACGACGGGGAAAATCGAGCTCGGGCAACACTGGAGTCAATATCGAAATATCTCTCCCTGGTATCATCCCACGAAGAGTGATGAGCAATTGATCAAATCTCGAATTTTTGTCGGCACTAGGCCTGCAGTCGATCTGAGAAATCTCGAACAACGTTGTTCGGAAAACTCTCGCCTAGAGAAACAGGAGTTCGAGACAGTGGCCTCGGAAGAACACCGACGACTTTGGCGAAGAGGAGATTCTTTGCTTTCCCGGCAAAAGAAGTGTCGTGCTGTAAGAGAACAGAGCTTTCCCTGACCACCAATCTCGTAGCGGCGGCGGAAGTCGCTCTCAGCAAGTCGTAGTCGTCAAGCAGTCGTCTCCTCAAATCGTCTTTGTCATGAGTCATGACCAATTTGTCTGTTCCCGTTCACTACCAAATCACCGCGATATAACATATTCCGCTCGCGCATTAGCCGTTTCTGATGACCCCGGGAGATTTCAGCCGCGATTGCGTTTTTGGGAATATTCAGGCGGGATAATCGTTCGGAGTTCCTCATCGGTCGGAGTTTCCCGAATGAATTCCATGGGATCACCGAGAACTCCACGGAGGCATCCTCATTTTTCTCGTCCAACTCGGCTGAGTATGCGATCGGGGAAGCCGCCGGATGAAGCGAGACAGTCGAGATGTCTTCGAGAGAGGATGTCAATCGGAGGAGGCGATATAGCGACAAAGAGCTTTGAAGCGGCGTCGAATTATTGTTTCGGAGCCCAAGTGAGTGGCAGCATCCACTCCCCGAATCCGTTTGTCGTTGATAGTCATAGTATATCTTCTAGGTCCGGATAGATATTCGGAGAGGAATGCGCTAGGGAACTATGATCTCCTGTGGGCAGCGGCGGTCAGGAATTCGCCGCCCCCAGGCATATTGAGGACCCCCTTCCTGATGCAACCACTCTGGGAATAAATACCGGTTCTTCCCGGCGCTTGTTCCAAGATCTTAAGATTTCTTTTCTATTCCACAAAAAGCCTAAGCATCCGTAGACTTAAAAATCGTCTCCACTTTTTCAGTCAATCCCAGAAAAGAGAAAAAGATCCTTCTCAAAATAGTTGGTCGGGTATCCAAGAAATAATGTCTCGCTGTTCGCTTTTGAGACGGCTCCTCGCCCTTAATCGAGAATTAGAGTCGACGTCCTCGTCTCGGTCTCGATTGATTTCACTGAGTGAGTTGTCGAGGATCACAGAAGTCTAAAGCCTACTAAGCCTACCGGGTAAATCCGCCACATGATGTGGGAGAAATTGCATTCCCGGAATGAGCATTACATGAGCGGAATCGAGGGACCGTACGTCATTTAGCTGTATCTAAATGTGGCATCTCGATAGCTGATTCACGAGGGGGCCCACGAGAGAGGAGAGGATTGGTGGGGGTTTCGCGTGGAATAAGTTTGGGAAGCACTGCTCTCGGCGGTTGGGAAAACTTCTGAGGAGGCCGATTTTTGCGGTTTGAGATCGCTTCAAGGGTGGAATGGATTTCACAATGGAACACTGCGTTCCCAGGATCATCCCCTGTGTGACACCGCTAGAACTCGACGGCATTCATTCCCGATTGTCTAGCCAGCGCGAATTGAGTCAAACTTAGAAACGGGAATCACCGAGAAGGATGGGCTTGGGTCCGCGCGCAGTGCTGCTTCGCGCTCCCACCATCTCCTACCAAGTCCCCATCGAATCATCGACAGCGAGCCAGGCGAGATCCTACACACGCACCAATTGCCTCCTGTGATTCTACTTCCACAGCTCACGGAACACAGAACCGCCGGCAGCTGTTGTTATTTCTAGATAGACGTGGCATTGCTGTGAATTCGGCGATTTAGAGCTTGCCCCGGCGGAGAAATGAAGTCGCTCTTGCCCCTGTTCCTCATTTGTAGCTTACTTTTTGATGGCGTGCTTAGTTATTTCATCGTGGTGGATGCCCACGCTGAAGAGTGTTTCCATGACCGAGTAGCCAAAGGAACCAAGATGGGTTTGACGTTTGAAGTTGTCGAAGGCGGATTCCTGGATATCGATGTCAAGGTTCGTGATTTTCCTGCTGCGAGAAATACTCCCCGGGCCACGGGTTGGAGTCCGAGCCGTAACCGTAATATCGGGGGCTTCCGTCGATTTTGGGTTTCCAGTCTCGTTCGGAGCTGTCAGGAGCCCCTGGGCCGCCCTAGATATGCTTGAGTTTCATCAGGACTTGACTGGCGTCAGCTGCTGAGATTTGGTGGTTCATTTGTCCATCCGTAAAGATTCCATGTATATTCCAGTACTGAAGACTTGATTTTCCCCGCATTTCAGATCACTGGCCCGGACGGGAAGGTTGTGTACAACGGCGAACGGGAATCGTCGAATAAGTACACGTTCGCCGCGTACGCCGAGGGGATGTATGCGTATTGCTTCAGTAATGCGATGTCTACCATGACACCCAAGACCGTCATGTTCTCAATGGACATCGGAGAGGAGCCGAAGAACGAAGAAACCGGAAAGCGTGAGTTTTTCGCGAATGCCCGTGGCGGCGCTTGATTCTCCAGGGAAACGCTCTCGTCGCTCATGAGTCGAGTCGATCCATTCGGATACCATGCTGCGAAGCGAGAAGCAGTTTACCTGGTTCCCCAAATGAATTAAAAAATGAAATGAATTCCTCTCGCCCGACGTGACGAGCGAATCCTCCGCCGAGTTTTCGACAGTGAACCTCAGCGCACTCGTCGCATATGTCGCGTGTCTTCTCGATCTTCAGTGTACCGGCTCCGGGAAAATACCTTATTTCTGATCTTCCTTCACAGCTGCCGCTGACGCCGTGACTGGGGCTGCCGGTGACACGAAACTCGAGGACATGATCAACGAACTCCACACGGCCATGACCGGCGTGAAGCACGAACAAGAGTACATGATGATCCGAGATCGAATCCATCGGTCGATTTCCGAATCCACGAATTCTCGAGTTGTCATTTGGGCTATCTTCGAGAACCTGGTCATTTTCGCCATGACATTCGGACAGGTGAGGGATAGATCGATAACAGGACAGACTGTCCCCTTTCTAGTCTGTATGTCGTAGCCTAATCCACCAACGAATGAATGTTGAACCGATGCCTGACTAATTTCCCGATGCTCTTCAGGTGTACTATCTCAAGCGCATTTTTGAAGTTCGTCGACTAGTTTGAGCAGCGGACAGAGGAAGAATGTTAATAAATAGGATCCATTCGAGCGGGGGGAGGGAATTCCTGGGACGCAATGTGAAAATGTTCGATAGGGATTTGATGCCATCCATCACTTTTCGGGAGGCATAATCGCTGAGTTTATTCGTCTGGTTAGTCTACGTCGTCATTTCCTTTTTATCTCAGAGAGAATGAGCTGTTCGGTGCGAGAAATGCATGTAAGTATTTGAATGTGATTTTTGAAAATAAAGCGAAAAACTCTGTGGATTGATGATTGTCTCTTTCATGATGATGCAATGAATAATGATGTCACTCTCATATTTTTTCTTCGGAACCTGTTGAGCTTTATTGCTTCCGCGATCTAATTGAAAGCTTCGAGCTCATTGTCGAGCCGACTGACGCTCCATTGAGAGAAAGGCGCACCTCGATTTACATCGTTTGCTTCGTTCGTGTACATAAATCGTACATGTATCGTGACCTCTGATGACGGAAGATAGCGCTGGCGTAGAAAACTTCGACACAATGGAATATGTATAAAAATGAAAAGATGATTTTTTCTCTCCCATTAAAGTGTTTGAACAATGATACAAGCGCGATAAAGTCCTATAGTCGCTCTCGCTCTTCCACGCTGCGAGCAGAAATGTTTCGATGCTTGCTAATCTAAAGGAAAAGTTTGATTCTGTTGAAATCATTGAGTCTTCTGTTTTGATGATGGAACTTTTAAAAGAATCGTGTTTGCACTACATTATTGTGTGATGTCATTACTTAAATACTTCGTCCTGGGGGAACTTATTACTCTCCAACAGCTGGACCCAAAACCGAGTCCATTCTGTCTCCTCTTCTTCGGCGCAGGAACAACTCAAGAAAGGCCGCCTATGGTACAGTGGACGGCGATTGGCTGGTTACAATCGCAGGATTTCTCGCCACGATGATCACCAGATGATTTCTGACCTCAAAACGAGTTCGAATATGTCCCGATAAGATTTTCCACGGAAGGCCTCGAGGACCCGAAGTTTTCCGGCGTGCTCTGAATATACAATGAAACGTGCTCCGGGTATTGAGGCCCCGTGTGCGTAGCTCCATAAGCTTGCCTCAACGAACGAAACAGGAGTTCCCAATCTCTTCTCTTGTCTTGATTCGCTCTGAATGTCTCTCTCGTACTCGACTCTCTCTTTTTCTCTGCCTCTTCCTCTCTCCATCTTTCTCGCAGGCTTCATGAACACGCAAGTCTCATTCGCTCGATACACCCACCCAAGCACTCAGTCGAAGCGCTGAACCCGCCTCACCAAATTTCGCATGCATTCCTCGCGACCATGTTGCTCTTCCCGGAGCAGCTGAAGGCATCGGCGAAATCGGGCGTTTGTTGCAAGCTTCGATGGAGTCTCAATCTTTCCGGAGCGCTTTTGAGCGTTCCGTTCAAGAAGGCGACCCGAGAATCGGTCATGCGCTCGCACATAAGCTGTCCATATGCGATGTAGAACATCTGTTTGGGTTCATAGTCGAGGCCAGGGAGTTTGGGGATGTCTCCGGCTTCGTCCAGAGCGTCTAAGGCTACGCGGAGTCCGGCGATGTCCGAGATGGCTTCCTCGACAAATTTGTTCATTCGGCCTCGGGAAGAGAGTTCGTTCTCCGTTTCCTCTTCGATGCACTTGAGTTTCTCTTTGAGCGCTTCGAAGGTGGTGTTCGGCGAAGTGCCGAAGTCCCTGAACTGCAGTCCGAAGCCGTCGATAGCTTTCATCGCTTCTTGGGCGACGCGAACGAAAGCCGCGAGCTGGAGAGCTTGGTTCTGAGTCGACGAATAAATGGGATCGTAGAGGAATCCAAGAGGAACCGTAACTTGATTGTGGTTGTACGAATATCTCGGCTTGATATCGAGGGGAGAGAAGGATCCCCACGGCAGGAGACTTTTCGCGATCTCAGCCCGGTCTGGATTCTGACGCTCCCGACGCTGATCCATGGCAGCAGCCAGCCACCTGAGGCGAAGTCGGTTCTGCTCCATTATGTTGTCGAGGAAATGCCTGTTAGTTTGTCCCTCTTTGTAGTAGGACATTACTCGGGCATCCGAATCGGCAACGTCGGGATATCCGATTTTGACGGCGAGATTCTCCAGGCGATCGCTTGCCGGGAACTTAGCCTCTTGGAGCCATTCGACATTCTTAACGTTTTTGCGTGCGATTTGTCCGACTCTGTTGAAAAGTTTCTCAGCGCTTTTCATCGAATCCCGACTGTTGAACTTGTCTCTGAAGATATGAGCGAGTCCCAAGCCAAAGTAATCGACGGTGAAGTCCAGGCATCTGGTAAAAGTGTCCTGAAAAAAAAACACGGAACTCAGGAACGGGTTTCAGCTTCGACTCCGAGTCGGATTACGGGGTCGCGCATAATGATCCCGCATCAGGAGTCCTCCATTCGGAATTCATTCGTCGGGGAGCTCCGCGGGATCGAAATGCCGTGGTCGAGATGTCTCACCTTGTATTCCAGCGAATCGAGATAGCCTCCGGCGACTTCGGCACGGAATCGGGCCTCAGCCAGACGGATCTCCTTGCTCATGAATGGCGCGTACTTCATGACGAAGTGCCAGATCATGTAGTTGTTCTTGATATCGTCCCTGGTCGTGGACAAGATGCTGCCCAAGTTTCTGGGGGTTGGAAGGACGCGTTACAGAATAATCCACATATTCCACTTCCAATGAACGGTGCCCGGGGAAAATCCTATACCCCCATTGTTTCACATCCGACGATACACCAAGGGAAATCCTCCGACTCACTTGAAGTATTCCTCATCCTCGATGAGGACTCTGAAGTTATCGTTGATCGGGCTCCCAGGGAACAAGCTCCCGAGGACGTCGCGCCAGATGATGTTCGGGGCATAGGTCCTGAGCTCTCCGAGAGTTCTTGAGACGTGATCGCGAGAGAGATTGCGCGGGACGGTTTCCGACCATTTCTGAAGATTTAAGATGAACGATGAGAACGGAATCAATTATTTCCGAGAGAATCATAATTGTTTTGGGGATACATTCATTCAGACGGAAGAACTCACCTGGAGGAGCCGTTCCTCGAAGAAGAAAATCTCGGGGCCTTTATCAGCAGTGTTGATGTCCTTGTTCCGATCCTTGAGTTCATCGATGACCTGACATGAATCAAACCAATGAGATAGGAATTGATTGCGTCGCATTAGCTCCCGACGACTCGACTTAGCCGATGAGGAGGTTTTAATAAGTAAATGGGCCCTATCCGTATGATCGAGCGTTCAATAGGGTGACAATGGAAAAGCATAATGCTGAACCGGAAACAATCAAGAAGGCGAGTTCAGTCGTTCGGACGCCGATTCGGTACAATCGGAGAATATCAGAGCCTTACCTTATTTATGAACTTAACGTAAGCGTCACGTAAATAGGGTTTAGTGATCCGTTCGTAGTTGGCGCGATTCGCTCCCAGACCAAATCCGGAAGGCGAGATCTGGAACAGAGATAAGCTTCGTCAGATCGGAGTTTCATGCTAATCTTACGATGTTGTACGTTTCCCACGGTTCACGATAAAGCTCCTCATTCTCATTATGGGTCTCTAGGGAACAAAACTCCACAGGGTCAAGTCATTCGATTTTCACTGGAAAAATGTTCAAATGCTGAGAACGCGTAGAACGGAGGAATCTTCTGTAATCACATGGAGGGCGTTCTTTCGCACTGATGGCTATAGCGGACGGATGGGGCGATAGAAGGATACCATGTGTTTAGCCAAGTAAAATGAGAAGCCCTCGGTGGAAGAAAAATAGAATTCACGTCAATGCCGCACCCTAAGCCGGAGAATGGTCGCCTCATAATTCCTCTGAAGGTCTTCGTTGATAAGAAGACGGTCTCATGTAAACCGCGCTCTCGTGGCGCGAGGCAGAAAAATCCGTGGATTTGCATCGATTTATCTCAGAGATTCGACGCCAAGCGTTTACAAACCACTGAAGCTGGCTACTTCCATGCTCATCCATTTCTATCTACGAGCTCCGATTGTGATGTGTTTCCGAAAAAATAATAATCAGCCTTTGACAAACGCTGTGTCGAGGCTCGACGTGAATCGCTCTGTTTGTGCGTCACAATCAAGTAATTATTTCGCTGGGTTCTCATCCGAGAACGAAGCAACACGCCGCCACCGACTATGTTGACGAAGTGCTGGCAAACTTGGCAGCTTGGCAGGCGAACTGTTAGTGAGCTGGTTTCACCGGTGAGACAATTGAACACAGAGAAGGTTCCTTGTGTTCTGTCAGGCAGTAGCGACAGCGTTCTGAGGAAGGTATGCGAGCCCTGGCCACAGTGAAGTCTTCCTTCCTCTCCTGCGTGAGATAAGAATTTCTTGACACAGGCACATCCATGCAGTCGGTGGACGGGAGACGGAAACGACTTCGTGCCTAGTCTCGATCTCGAATGAAACTTCACAATATGCGGGTTCTACATGCTTGAATGTTCGGGAGGGGATGTTGACTCGATTGCACGGGGAGAGCGAAAGTCCCGCGGGAATAAAAAGAATGCGCCGAAAAATTTTCATCTCTAAAATTGCTGCGGCTATCGCTGCGAGCTGCTAGAAGATGGACGGAGGTCACCGCTGACTCAGACGCGAATCATCGAGGCAGAAAACACCATCCTATGTATTTTGCACGACGCTCCACGATCGATAGCCTGTTCCGTGTGAGGGCTTCCTACTTCCACTGAATTTTCTGAATCGTATCGAGCCGGAGTCGCAGCGGGTATGAAACGAAGAAAAATAAAATGCAGGTGGGATAAACAGGTAAACGATTTCGGTGAAAATACACCCGAATCGTTTAGCCCTCCACGCGAGGAAGGAAATTCTCTTGAATTCGTGAACGGACGAAGTTCGGAGGAACGAATTTGGAACTAGATGTCGGGCGAGTCATTCCTGAGTCATGCGACCTCTCACGAGAATTCGGTTCTGCCGGTGTGACCGAATCGCCGCGAATGTCTATTGAATGAATAACCCCGCAGAAGATTCTGAACGCATGAGTCATTCGACGTAGCGGCTGATGCTGGCGCCCGCCGTACGCCAACCGATTCAGTCAGTCAGTTGCTCATGCGAGCCGGGATAGAAAAATCGATCGATTCACGATCCAGATAAGAGACTCGATCCAGAGCACATGACTCGCTAACTCTTCACCTACACCTTTCCTCCACCGGTCGACAACTAAAAGTGGATAATTCTGGAAATATCGTTTGCGCAGTCGGTCGGTCGTCCCGACGGTTCCAGGCAGCGATGACGGCACCGTCACCGAACTTAAGTAGGGAGCTTTGCTCATGTGTCAGTCAAGAGAACGGGTGAGCAGCGGTTCTCGGCAGGTTATTTCGCTTCGATTTGGGGGTAGATCACCTCGGTGATCGACTGGGTCTTTGAACCGTCACAAGACCCTATGTAGGTCGTCCGGTCTGCGCCGACTAGACCGATCCACCGACATGTGCGAAGCCCCGATTATGATCCTCGAGCTCGGATATCGTCATGTACACACCTACTTATGTTCACTAATCCTTTCGAGCAAGCGCATCGGGAAACCAAGCTATTGCTCCCCGCACGAGCGACCTTCAACGGTCATCAAATACTGTACTCAATCAATGGTACAGATCGGATATAGTGAGCGTCGAGGAACATACGTATGTCTTCCTCTGACTCATTATCGTTCCACCACATTTTTCATCGTACCGCCCATGAGTCATATTTTTCCGCGACTACGGAGTCGCTTAGTCATACGAAGTGGACGAACTGAAACCGGCGGCGAATTTGCCTGTTCATGAAAAATGTTGGACCCCGCGGGAAAGCGTTTCGACTTGGCCCGGGCATTTCCTAAAGAATGCGTAGAACAATTCGACTTGAGTTGCTGTTGGTTTGTTCAAAAAACAAACTCAGGGAGCGTGGAACCTTGCTTCATCGATGCTCGAGACTTGAGCTATCCATGACGAGGTTTTCGGGGGGAATTTTTTTCCATGCGCTGGAAGTAGTGGGCATGATCGATGCGCGGCGGGGAGCTTGCTCTCACTTGACAGACGGGGTCCGATCTTGCGGCTCTCAGACTTTTCCTCGGGATAGGTGAGGCGAATCTCACCACTGTCCGAATCTCACCGAATCGGGAGCATTCGATAATAATCGTCACGATAATAAACCACGAAATCGTCTGATTTCCACTGTATCTCAGACCATGAGGGTTTTTCATGAAGGAGTAAAGAAAGTTGGGGGAATTTCGAGTGAGAACAAAAAACGGAACCGCCTTTTTCTTGAAAATGTCAGGGCTGACTGAGAGTTCCCAGCGTGAACACAGTGAGTGTCTGTTAGGTATTTCACAACACAGCGTATAACACCTGAATCGGATTAGTGGGACTGCTGGGGAATCATAGAAAATCGTGTAGGATCCATGAAATCAGACTCTACGATACTCCCGCCTGTCATACACTGTTTCTGCGGGCAGACCAGACAAAATCCCTGACATTCCTCCACAATTCATGAAGGAATGAGATACCTTGACATGAAATTCCTTCACAATTCAGAAAGAATCCCAGACCTACATCACAATAAGTCGCTCCTGCCGGCATGTATCGCATTTGTTCAAAGATTCTTGTCTCATATCAGTTCCAGGATTATCATGGTGAAGAGGTCAGCAGATCAGAAATCTACTTGCTAGGGAACTCGCTCAGGATCTCTAGGGGGAAGTCGACAGTCCCACCAACACCGTCCGGAAGCAGGGAAATTCGAGTGCCCTTCGTCGCCAGGGGCGCGGGTGTACGCCAGAAGCGCTTTCGAAAGTTCGGGGCGAAGTTTTTGAAGTTTATCTGCGCGAGTGCTCTGGGATTTTCATTTTTTACGCAACTCATTTATGGACTTTTCCTGAATCATTATAATTCGCGAAATCAGATTTCACCTTCGGAGTCAAACTTCCCTGCGGGTTTCTTGAGGCCTCAGTCGCAGAAAAAAGGCATTTTGAACATTATTCTCTGATCGCTGGACATCCAGCCGTCAAAAACCTGAAATTTACGAATCCAGACTGGAACCGTCTAGTCGTTGAGTCGAGCACAGGGAACAGGAAGGAGATTCCAGGGATTCGATGCAAAAGATGAAGCAGGAACGAAGCCGAATACGAATCTGACCCCTTTCCATGTCTCACTCAGTCAAGTGCTTTCACAGGTATCAGAAAAGCTGTCGCGTCACCAGATTATAGCCCGTTGAGCACCCAGGAGTGAGTATTCGGAAACTTAAAAATGCTCAACGCTTCGAAGGAATCACACAGCTTCTTCCTAGCTGTTGTTCGGAGACGACGGCGGTGGCCTGGATGTTCGGTTCCACCGCGGACACGAGGTCCGGATCCATCACAAAGAACGCTCGCCAAACATGGACCCATTATTCGACAACGAGCTATCGAAGGAGGAAACTTCTACAATTGGAAACGCATTTGTGGGATTTTCAGAGCAAGTAGACATGGATTCCAAGTTAGCGAGAGCGCGAGCTGGTTATGCCGATCCGCTGATTCCCTCGAGCCTTATCCGTAGCGAACACCGACCGAGATTGGAGATTTTCCCGAACGAGAAAAATAGCGTGACTTCCAACCGGAACAGAATAAAGATCTGAACCATTTGTGTACCGTTTTCTGTGATCGTTACCTCCAATGCGCGGGCTTTCGGCCAGCTGTGTGAGATATGTTGTATGTGCGATCGACGCGGAGATTTACGGAGGACTTTGAAGTGAGGCGAAGGTGAGAGGAATGTGAAAAGAAGAAAACGGTGATAAATCATCGCGATGGAAGTAGAAATAAATGATATAAAGCAAAACGATCGGACCGGCCTTCGTCCGGGAGGGAGACAAAGACCCAGCCTGGAGACGGCACTTCTTCCTGTAGCATGTCGGGGACTGTCGCTGGTCCACAAGGTGGTGCCCAGGGAAATATGAGGAAACGCTGCGGATTCTTTATTCTCTCGCTTGCCGTTCCCAGATTGGCGCTATGATCCAGCGGACTTGGGCCAGCGGATCAGAAGATGTCCATTGTCGGAGCGAGACAAGGATAGCTGGACTCACTTCGGGCGTTGCTCGAGATCGGGCTTTCGGGCGGGATTTGAGGGGAGAAAAAAGCGTGAGGTGTGGATTCAGCTCTCATGTCCGCCACCACCACCGCTGCCGCCGTCGTCGTCGACGATTTCTATGGCGGGTGGTGGTGGCCGCATGCCACACTTGAGTTCGTCCTTTAAGCCACCGTAAGACGACCGGTGTCCACTCGGACTGCGGCAGCGATAGCGCCATGACCAACAACAGCGACGAACACCGCGCGAGTGTGGGATGAAGAAAAACCCATCTTGACAATAGGCCACTTTGAAGCCGAAGCGGTTCGACGAAGGAAAAACTTCGGCTACTTCAAGTTCCGCCAAGAGTAAATCCTCTTCCCGATTCGGAATTGAAGCTACCACCACCGTGTCCCCGTCTCCATA